TAGCCCTCTGGGAGTTATTTTTACTGTTAATGCAAGTGTACCACGTGACTGAGAATTTTGTACTGTTACATAGGTAACAGTATTTTTTAACGGGTCACGTGGTCTATTTCCTAAATAAAATGAAATAAAATGGCCGCCATTTTTTCTCGATTCATTCTTATTTTCAACGTTAAACCCAGATAGGACATCAATTTCTCCTCGGGAGTCACTATGACACTCATAAAATTTAGTTGTGTGCACCCTGGTGTGCTTTTCGCGTATAAAATACCTTTTGGTTGAATAGTCAAAAAGTGAACATCCGTTTTCAACGGAAGCAATTGCAATGTAAATAATTATGGCTGTGACTAAAAAAAGGATTGGAGCACCACACTAAATACCGTATTCCGGTATATACCGGACAAGGCGCTTGAATGATAAAATGCTAAAATCTTGTCTTTTTACCCAACGGAATGAACTTTAACAGGTCTAATTCATCTTTTCACACCGAATCAAGTACTATAATCAAGGAAAAATGTAAAATTCGGCGAAAAAAACGATATTTGTGTATTTTGTGATCATGATTTCTGCAAGCGTCTAGAGGTACTGCTCCAATCCTGTATTGAGCTAAATCCAATAATTATGTGTCAAACTGGAACATGCAGACGATTTAAACATGTAACAAAGGATTATTTAACAAATTTAATCAGTGAAACGTTACAGATATGGTGGACTTAGGATATCATCGTTATTTTGTCAAAAACCGTGCTAAGAATATTCTGGAAACAGAAGGATCATATTTCACAGATCATAACCGTGTAAATGGGTTAGTGTTTTGTTTCCTAAATGAAACCTAGCTTATTGTATGTTTATGGTTTGTAGGTATCATCATTTGCTTAAAAAATAAAAGAAAAAGAAAACTTCTCAAGTAGGCATACAGTAAAGTACACTAAAACTGAAAAGGTAAGGACAGTTTAGTTATTGTTACTCTTGGTTTAATTTTGTTACAGTTAGATTTAGTTGACAATTTCACATCATCTCAGTATTTTTGTTCGGGGTAATAAAATAAATAACACATGGGTTTGTGAGTAACAGTAAAAATATCATCCCTCGTAAAAATACTGTTACCCTCGGCGTAAAAATACTGTTACCCTCGGCTAAGCCTCGGGTAACAGTATTTTTCTCGGGATGATATTTTTACTGTTACCCACAAACCCATGTGTTATTTATATACTATTATTACATGGAAAACCGTAGATGCTACCTAAGAAGTAGTGTTTGAAAAGGGCGCGAAAATGTCGCATACTGTAAAGTGCGATGTCGAAATTAGGTTATACATAAAAATGTTAAATTGTAACGAAAATTTATCATAAGGTGTCGAAATATGGGTACTTTACTTTATGTCTGTAATGTACGCGACTGTAATGTTCAATACAATAAAAATGTAACATGGCTTTAGTATACTTAATTTTCAATTAACAAAGACTTAAACTAGTCATTTTTGTGTTATACTTAATCATAGATACAGCATAAATGTATACATCCTTTGTATTTTTACAGTTATAATCAAATTTTCTTAATTTTGTATAAGTAAGGCTTTAGAATCTAGTAACTGAATATCAGATTCTAGTAACTACAAAAACAAAGATGTAATACGTTTAATATTTATTTTCTTCTAAAGCCACAATCTGTATGCAAGGTTTTCTTACTGAAATTGTTTAGATATAGATTATAAGTGATATGCCTTTCATAATAGGTATTGTAATGTTCACTACATTACGTATCGGACATTACTGAATTATTCTGATGGCAATCTATACATTTGTTAATGTTTTCAGCGATTTTGCTTTTGTTTTGAGAAAATATTCCATAATTATATATTGTTTAAATAAAGTAAATAGGTGTTTGTAATTTAAATGCGTAAATATATATGAGGCAATATTGTTGATTATCATCTAAATCAGTTTCAAACCCCAATAACGTTTCACCGCGTTAGTAAAAAAAACTACTATTATAAACATACATATAATAACTGAAAATATTATCAGATACTATTAACATAGTTGCTGACATGTTTAAAATATATCATCTACAATATTATACACCTGATAGCGTCTACAAAATATAACAACGATGTATCAAACATTACAATATTAGTATCGAACATTACACGCAGATCTTGAAAATTTTCTTCATCTCTACAAACATGTATGGTGAAATCTGTATAAGAAATAAGTAGCAATTGCACTTACAAGTGTAGAAGAGGAAAATACAATGTTGGGTCTTTGTAATTGAAACATTTTAAACTACGTAGGAAGCACATAATAATTTACAATTAAAATACATTTTATCTCAATATTGCTTAGTAAGATGCCCTGTTTGAAATGTTCTGTTCAAATCTTAAAATTTGATGTAGCCTTAATAATATCAAAGGCATGAATTGTAATATATGTGTTGTTATTCTGTACGCTGCATATATGCCCACGATCTCAGTAAATATGTTTATGGCATTGATATTAATATAACGACAGGTATATAACTTCTTTTGTATGCCGGATACATAGTTATACTCGTAATTTAATTAGTTTGTACAATATTATTTACCCATGCTATTAACTCAAGCTCATATGAACACACTTAAAAATATTAAGTTTAAACTTAAAAAATGATTGTATAATAAAATGATAATAATAATAACTATGACTATTACCCACAACAAATATTTTTACTGGATTACGTAATGTCCGAGACAATTGATGTTCTGTCAAAAAGACTCTACCAAAAAATTTTAGTCATGTATTTTGTTTGCAAAGTTTTCTTTCGTCACGTTATCATTATTGAAGTAAGGTTTAAACAAAACATAAGAACAAATAAATGGAATAATACAATTGAAATCAATCATCAAAAATTCCGCATTTTAAATAAACGTACTTTTGTAGAATTGCGTTTTATTGCGATAACTTTGCAAGCTCAAGAAAAAAATATTTCAAGCGTTTCATGGTGAAATGTTTTGTTATTTTATAAATGCAATGAATACATGGCAAAAATAAAGTTCTCTGAAGTGGATATGTTTAATATTTCTTATGAAATTCGGAATGTTTTAATTAATAAACTGGTAGTAGCGTACATTACAATAGGATAAATTTTACAACTAGGGTTGCTTCTTTCAGAGAGTAGAACTCGCAAAGAATTTGGTTGATGTTCAAAAAATTTCACAATTGTCTCCTTTAAGGGTTCTACTTTTCGAAATCTTCGAAATTAGGCCCTATTAAGAAGATCGATTTTTTCGACTTTTGATCTGTCAATTTCACAATTCTTATGAGAATCAGTGTTTGCAGATGAAAAATTCCATATGCATGTACAAGATTTCCTTACCATACATGTATACCAGACAGTGAAAAAAAGGGAGTGCAGATCGTTGAACAAACATTGCACATCCAAAATAGATAGAATTTTCAGTACAACATTTTATTGTGCTTTGCTTACTTACATATGCCGAAAATTGAAACATTAAAAGCGTGTTTGTACATAATATACCCGACAATGAAAGAATGCAAACTTTTTTGACAACACGAATCTATTTTTGTTCTAACATTTGCTTACCCGAAAATTATGCGAAAGTAATAATGTTAAAGTGCAGCCCGTTTGTGTGTGTGTGCATTTTATAAGATACATGTACTTACAATATAAACTGAGAAAGTACATGCATACTTATATACTCGGAAATGATATATAATTGAAGAGTGCAAGCCGTTTTTGTACCTTTATCAAATTTGTGTATCTGTGCATGTGCACCATTTATCTCGGGACTTAATGATCACGGGGGAGGAAGTGTTACACGAGGGATGGAGTTCTAATGATAACTTGTCAAGGAGTTCTTGTGATAACTGTCACGGATTTCGACGGAAAACTGTTGTATATAGTGCAAAAACCCTCGTCAAAAATGGTAATTTTCATCTTCAAAAAGTGAGTTTTAGGTGCTAAATTAATTAATTGATTAAGGTTGCCTTACATATTGCATTATGTGCCAAAAACTAATTCATAGTCCATTTTTCATCGCTAGCTCTTGCTTACATTTTCCAAATTATTTGCCATTTCCCTAGTATTGGCCTGTTTAAATATTTAAAGTAGTCATCCTTGCCCTACATGATTACCTAATTATAATGCAAAATTGCAGCAAACATAAACATTATACCCGATTTTTCTTGTGATACCTCAAAATATGTCCTGGAGTTCTATGATAACTTATGTTACTGCCAATGTGTTTCTTGCTCTAAATCACAGCACGTTTTAATGTTTTTTATTATTCAGTAAGGTTGTAAATCATTATGAAATGTAGTACGCTAATTCCAAAGATATATACTTCATGAACATAAATGCCTTCTTGGCTTTTGAACTAGAATATGATGTCATTTCTTCCAAACATGTACAGGTATCATCAATATTTGAGAATCTCAATCCGAACATACAACATTTCTCTTCATTTTGTTTGGTATCAATAAACGTTCCAAGTTCAAAACAATTTTGCATGAAAATCCACAAAGACAAATAATATAACAAAAATCTGTTGGTTTTTTTTAAACAATTTTATTCATTATCTTAACATTTGTTATTTCAATGACCTTGAAAAAAAAACAAGCAAACACATTACCAATATGGAGGAAATACCTTCATATCTTATTGTTTCTTTTTCTTTTTTTCTTATTGAGTTTAAAAAACAAATTTTGCTTGAAAACTTAGTTACCATATCAACCCAGTGACCTGCTGAATTTATTAAATGAACTTGCCCAGATTTCATTTTTGGGACGGTCTATTTTCAATAATGGGGATATCAAGATGAAAATGTTGAGTCAACCAACAATATACAACAAGGTGAGACTACGCAAATGTGCAGGGTTGCCTGGCTATATACTGGCAAACTCCTCACAGTGATTACCTCCCCTTAGCAGATTGTATTGATAAGGGGAGATCACTGCATAGGGCATTGATATACCAGTGACAAAGGCTAATCACTTCCCGTTTCTTTTGGCAAGATTTAATATAACACTGAAATCAATATGTTGAACAAACAAAGTGTTATTTATATACAAAATCAATATAACTATGGGACATGCCAATAGCAAGTAAATGTGGACAATTAAAAACAACTTTTGCCGCATTTTTTCAAGTTTCATAGTAAATAGTTTTATCTTTTTAATCTTCAACAATATTCCTATTTGCAATGCAAGACATAAAACAAATCTCCTTTAAAATGTCATCATCTGTGCTTCTAAAAGCCTATTTACATTTTTATATCAAAAATCAAAATGTTAACTACATTGTGTAAGGAAATCCTAATATACAGTATTTTGATCTTTACCCTTGATTCTGTTCTTTGTACAGACAAAACTCAGACATGTTTAAGTGACATTATACCAATCCAAGAGTAAATGGCGAGTGTTCAGGAAAAATTCAAAACAACTTTAAATTTTGTCACAATTGCTTTTAATTTTACTATAAACCCCACCTGGATAGTCAATATAACCCTGTGACCCACTAAATATCTATAAATATCCTTTGAAAATTACCGGTACTGATAATGTTCAATTTGAAGAATGGGGCATATTTTTTAAAATATTTTAGACAGTTTTTATCCTCTATCCTTTTACCTTTGTTCTTATCAATAATTGTTTAATTATCATTATAATTGTCAACCTTTAAAAATATATAACTTATACATATCATTTCTACGAAATTTGTATTTTTTAATTCTTTAGAGAAGTCAAACCTGTATTTAATAATGTTTTAATAATGGATTTAGAATATATCAGATGATAAACACCTGAAGAAAGTTGCGCTGAACATGCAGTAATCTGTCTTAATTAATTAAGGTACCAAAATGTAAACAAAGTAGTATTTAGACTTCCATACAAAATACTAATTCACTATAATTATAACAATTGCCAGAGTAAAAGTAGGAATAGATATTTAATGAATATGGCTTATAAGTTGGTTTTTGGAAACTGTAACAAACAAGATAACAGAAATAAGATGCATTTGAGAAATAAAATTCATAGCATATTTAGGCATAAATATCTCAGATTGATCTTTTATCTCAGATTGTCAGGTTGTGAAAAAAATGAGCATAATGTCACTTTAACCAGTATATACATGTACTTCACCTGATTAAAACAAGAGTGAAAGTTTAATCATTAGAATAAAAAAAATCCTGTAAGTCCTGTAATTACAAACTTTTTTTTTTAATTACAAACTTCATGTTAGATAAAAAAAAGATTTTTCTGGAAGCCTGCAATACTGTTATTTAGGAATGATCATGAATGGGGTACTGGTATCATTTTCTTCCACGCCTTGCACGTGCAGCGTAACCACCTCGTCTAGCTGTTGGCCGTTTAACCGCAACGACAGGAGAAGCTGTATCTGATCCTTTATCCTTTGATTCTGAGTCTTCAAGAGTGCTCTCCCCTTCATCCTGGGAATTATCGGACGTGTCTTGAGATCCCTCATTTACTATAAGCATATAAATGTAAAAATCAATTAAACTATCAGCAAAATGAGCTCAATTATTGATTATGATTCCATAAACGTACTGTACATAGAAAAGAAAATAGTTTAACCATTTTTTCAAATCATCTTAAATTACTGTAGAAATAGTTTTACTCTCGTTGGATTAGTTTTTGTTAATATTTGAAAATCAAATTCTTCGCAAATTCTTACTAATAATAAACAAACATGTTTGCCTGAATTTAAGTAAAAACTTATTTCATTCAGTAACACATTCCATATTGAATATAATGACGATGTGAATTCATGAATATGTGATTAAATAAAAAATGCAATTTTTGGATGAGAAACACAAAATTTTGACAATGCAAATTGAAAGCATTCTACAGTAACTGGTGAGAATACAGATTTTCAAAGTTCAGTTTGTAGAATATCAAACACTGGTCTGTATGAAAAGTCACAATTAAATCTTACCCGAGTTTTCATTTACATCAGCAGTTTCATCTACCGACTGATCCTCCATATTTGCCGTCTCATCCCCAGTTTGATCCCCATTCTTCATTTCATTAGACTGACTGGTTCCACTTTCTTTATCACCAGATTGAGGCTGGGACACATCCTCTTTCTTTGCTTTCAAACGTTTTGCAGCTACAGCTTTCTGGTAGAGAGGAAGTTAATAAAGATTATAATCAAAGGGAGAAAACTCAATTGTAAGTACAGGATAGAAAGTAAAAAGAGGAACATCAATTTTAACCCTTAACCTGCTGAATCTCTTCAATGGACTTGTCCAACTTTCAATTTCGGAACTGTCCATTATCAATTATGGAGGTATCGGGGTGAATCATTAGGCAGCCAAAAGTTTAGAGCCTGGTCAGAGTGCATGGATGTACATGATGGCTAGACTTGACACAGATGGCAAAAGGCTTATATATGGTAAAATGATTCAAATGAAATATAAGAGGCAACCAATATTGACTTGAGTAGATTTGTTCTTCTAGCCTCTGATATAGCCATTTCTTCATATTTTTTCATTTCAGTTTGTAACAGGTTTCACTATATAAAAATTCCATTGGGTTTAGAAAAAATAGAAGTTTCTGCATTTTATTTACAGTATATGTACTAATTTGTTTTACCAAAGCAACAAGTGTTTTAACTTCTACTTTAGTAGTCCTACATAATTAACTTTGAAAACAGATGATTTAATAATTTTGTTATTCACATAAAACTAGTGTATGTCAAAGAAAAGCATGCCAGTTAAGATTCTAGTTTGGAATAAATAGCTTTGAGGTTAAGGTCACTAACATCAATCATTTGCTCCTCACTGCTGTGCGTTTGAATCCTGCAAGGGACCTTAGATAATTTCATGTGAGGAAGCTATCCAGTTAGATTACAGAACGCTGGAGCCTCAACTCAGGTGCCCATTCATGTCTGAAATAATCCATTGTAGGGCAAATGAGGTCTTATTAGCAGGATTCCAGACGAGTACTGTTATAATTTTCACAAGCCAAAATATCTTATAGCAAGTATAGTAAAACACCTTCCTTCACTTACCTTAAGTCTCTCAAAGTGGGTTTCAGACTGGCAGTGAGCAACTTTGGCTGCTGCCTCATTATTGTAAAACTTATGACAAAGTTTGCAGAAGAAACCGGACACTGGAACCACATATCTCTGACCTGTTAAATACAAAACACAGGCCACTATAGTTATACAACTGTACTCTAAATAATATTCTCCTTAAAGTGAATAAAGCTATATATCTGATACAAAAATTATTGGTTGGATGTAAAAAAGAAATACTGCCAAAATGCTTGTATGAAATTAATATGGTAATTAATTGCCTTAAAGCGAGTGGCACATCCACAAAGTCATTGTAAAACTGATGAAACCATACTTAAAATAGCAAGATAATATTTTGTTCCAGAACATTTTTTTCTGTTTATATGTACATTATTCATGTGTGTTAAATAACAGCGACATTCTATGTTACAACTTTTTCGGGAATCAACCATATAATAATGGAACCAATGTAATTTTACTGTTGATAAATTTTATAAAAATGTTAAAAATATATAGACTTATACCCTTTAAATAAAACCCCCATAACGTTATATAATGCTAAACCATAACCATCTGTTCTCAAAAAAGGGTGAGTGTGAAGATCATCATAAAAATGTTAAAACTGCTAAAATCTTAATCAGAAATAACAGTAAAATAGCATAAACATTGAACGATACTCACATACGGTGTTTAGACAAAGTTTAAAATAAACACTGCTCTTCCATGACAAATGGGAAAAGCTTTTTTGTTACAATAGGGGCTTTAACGCAATAAACATTTATACCAGACAATATATAGAATGATTGGGAGGATGGACAAACCTGCTTCTGCTCTACAGGAAAAGTTTTAGAGCATGGATATAACATAATGCCCTTTCTCTATTTAAAACTACAGGTATGACTGTAAATCAAATCCTAACATACCTAGAGCCAGATTAGGGTCGTATGTATCTGGTATTTCTATATCTTCCTCTATCTTAGAGAGCGTTGGTACTTCCGGTTTCGCCTTCACCGGTTTCTCGGTAGGTTTTGGTATAGGAGTACTCACAGCCAGTGGTTTAGCAAATGTTGTCTGAAATGAAAACGGGGGAAATTAAAAATGTTAAAGATATACTATGCTCAAATTTGATATCAGAAAATTTTGATAATTGCTACAGTCTCTTTGTAAATATATTTAATAAACATGTTTTGACTTTAAACAAAGTAGTTTGTCATGTTTAAAACACACTATAGGTGGTCACAATATAAATATATAGTGTTTTAAAAAAACTGGCAGTTCTTTTAAGAAAAGACCATCTTTACTTGTCTTGTAATAGGAAACATAGTGTCCAAAATACAGTTCATTTTTTTTTTATTCAAATTAGACATATTCAATAAGATATTCATAGATTTCAATAAATTTCTTTGATTAAATTATTTTACTCAAGGATGAGACAGTATATCTTTAAAAGAGTTTTGTAACACTTTAAGACCACCCCAACATTGCCCTGATATTTAGCTAAAATCATGGCCATACTATAAGGAAAAGTTAGGGAGGTGGGGGACCCTTTAAGTATTTATGGGGTGAATATTCTATCTAATACACAATATCTACAAGACCATGTCTCAGATGAACAAATATAGATTAACAGATAAAAGTATGCAGAAAATTAAATATTAAAACTAAGATAAATATTCATAGACTTTTTCTAGTTCATTCTAATATTAACATCTTCACTTCTAATATTTCTATTGAATTTTAGCCTCAGAGATTTTGACCCATGAACCTGAAACCCAACCCATTGATAAGAGGTTCAAGAAAACGTTCCATCATAAAAAAACATAAAAAAAAATCTAAGATAACATAGATAAAGGTGCTACGAGATTTAGCAAATTTTGGGACTGTTCACAAGTTTTCCATGTGTCTTTTTACACCAATTTTCCGGGTGTCTTTTTACACCAATTTTAACACATTTTTTGTCATATCTCAGCAATGGAACCACCTAACCAGCTTTTCTGGGTAAATAACCAGTAATTACCAATTTCTCCGCAAATGACAATATTTAAAAGTTTCTAGTAACTACTGGTTACCACAAAATATTGCTGTTTAAAATATAACTTACATCAGTCTCCATTTCTTTTTCTTTCTTCTCTGCATTCTACAAGAAAATATGGGGCATATATATTATAATAGTTAATACAATGTAACATAATATATTATTAGTTATGAAGAATTTTGACATGTTATGTGGTCCTATATAAACGTTTGTTGGGAAATATAACCTAGGTGAGGGTAATATTGCAAAAAACCATTTAGATACCTGTCAGGAATATTTATAACAAATCTAAAATACAGCAAACTTCATTTATGTGCGAAAAATGTCAGATTTTTTCATAAATTGGCAGCAGCCATGTATGTAAAACTACATAAATGTCATATGCTAAATAACAAAAAAGAAAGATGGTTTGTGTTTACTGGGCAGCGGCACATGCTTTTATGAAAAACTAAATAATCTTATAAATACTTCAACTTACTACACTACTAAATTTTTTTCAATCCAGCTTTTAATACTGGAACTGCCCATTATCAATTTTGGGGACATCCAGATGAAAATTTAAAGTTGGTCAGCCAAAAGTATAGATCCTAGTCAAACTGTACAGATGTACAGGCTGGCGTGGCTCTATACTGATAGTATAGGCTAAACACCTTCAGTTTCTGCAGGGTACAGGAAAATCATATACATTTTGTATAAATTTTTCACCTCAAGAGAAAAAATTATTTCATGCTTTCCAGTGTTTTATTGTAATATATCAGATGATTATATCCTGATAAACCACTAGTGAAATTTATAAAATATAATTTTCACTGTAGCCGGACTATATCTGAATGCGGATGAAAAGAAAATCATAACTAAATGGAATAACAGGCAGAAATAAATGCCGTCATGCGTAAATTTTGCTTCTTTAGGAAAAGAAAATCGATGTCACTATACATCATGTTGTAAATGTAACAAAATTAGAGAAATTTAACAGAACTATATTTCAAAATTGATGATGTGACGTCATGATGTGATGTCGTCACAAAGGAGAATGCGCGACGTTACGCGGCAAAATCAGTAAAAATTACTTAAAATCACTTAAAACGCATGAAATAAAAAGAAAATTTATTTGTTTTACATATAAGATTGAAATATATTTCATTCGTGAAAACCAGCCATTTTATTTTCACTCGTGGCTACCCCACTCGTGAAAATATCACACCTGGTGTTTACTCTGTGAAATATAGTTCGATCTTACATGCACAACAAACAAATATCCTCTATGTAATCAATTACAACTACCACTTCATTATATTATGTAAAAGTAATTTTTTTATTATAACATAGTTACTTACAACAGAATCATCATCAAAACCTACGGTATCCAAGGTAACAAGTTCACTCATTTCTTCATCATCATCCTCACTGTTTAATTTCTTCCTATTCTGTTTACGAGACATGAAAAAAAAAATACAAAACAGACTGACTCTATCCAAATTCTATCATCAACAAATATACAATCATTTATATACAGTACACCAATATATCAATATACAAAATAAATAAGGAATTTTTTCATCAACATCTTGTCCGAGAAATTTAACAATATTTCAAATACATGTATTTCATAAACCTAAAAACTTTTAAAGATGTTCTGACAGTCTACTTAATTGTTCATGATAATTAAAGATCACATACTCTTAGGAGCTAGCAGGCATGCAAGCCACCATAATATAATTGAGCCGCGCCATGACAAAATCAACATAGTGTGTTTGCGACCAGCATGGATCCAGACCAGCCTGCGCCGTCTGATCAGGATCCATGCTGTTAGCTTACAAACCCTATTACATGTAGAAAAACTGACAGCGAACAGCAATGGATCCTGATCAGACTGTGCGCATGCGCAAGCTGGTCTGGATACATGCTGGTCGCAAGCACACAATGTTGGTTTTGTCATGGCGCAGCTCAATATTGTTTTTCTTTTGTTAATGGTGTCAATGTGGAAAAAACACAACATTTTATTATTACTGATTTTATTGGACAATTAGTCTTGAGAAAAAATCCAAGTATCCAAACAGTCGATAGAATTTCTTCATGACTACCAACTTTCGATAGCTATTTTTCCCACAAGGGGGTGGGGGGGATATATTTCAATAATAAGAAAGTTTTCATGATTTCTTTATTTAGAAATTCTAAAGCATATTCTAGTACCAGTCTTCCAAGAGAAAGCATGCCATTAGTCAATTTTAAATTTGAACTAAGCCAATCAGATGCATGAATTGCCCACCTGAATGTGATGGTCAGTTTTACAATGTTGAACAAACTTCCTTGGAGATTTAAACTTCTGAGCACATAGTTTACATTCAGGCCAAGACTCTTGCTTCATTTTCTGGTATCAATATGAAATGAGATATAAACAAATGTGTTTTTTTTCTGGTTTTACACTGATTTTAACTCATTTTTTTGCCATATCTCTGTGGTTGACCGACCTAATCTGTTTATCTGGATAACTAACCAGTAATTAACAACTTCTCCACAAGTGACCAAATTCCAATCCCACATGAATTCTGAATTAGCTGTGACAGACAAATTACCATTAGACTCTATGTTCAAGATTAACTGTGAGCCAAAGGCATTAATTATTCTAGGCATGCTAGTTGATTTTACTGGCCTTTTTTTTTCTTTCTCAAAACTATTATCTTTAAGGTTTCTCCAAAGAAATTTGAACAACTCTCAGATAATTAAGATTCAGATATTACCAGTATAATTGTAAATCCTGTAAAAGTAATGCACACAGAGTTTTTTGTATATTTTTAAGGGACTCCACATAGGTTTTTAGACATGACTAGTCTAGAAATTATTTTTTGGGATTATTGTTCTATCAATAAGTCTAGACCAATAACTACTGTAGTGTGCAAACGATCAAATCATTTGTTCACTCTTGTTTTTCAAGAATGATTATTTAGATTGCTAGCAAGTGACCAAATATTCAAAAGCGTTGCAATGCTTTTCATTCAAATCTGGCTAAGAATTGCACAAAATACATTTTTCAATTAGTCTCTTGGTATATTTCTTAACTATCTTTTGCACATATTTCTGTTTTAAGTGCCCCAGTTGATCTGTGTAAAAAATATAATTTTATGTTTTAAGACTTTTGGACCTCAGTGGAGTTCCGTTAAGATCAGGGTTACATTTCAAGGAAGATATATAAATTATACATATTCATATCCTGATAGATATGTTCACTGGTTACTATACCAACTGAAAGTTTGACTAATGTTTTATATTCTTTTGTAAACAGAATGAATAAAGTTAGAAGCCCTCTTTTTTACTTTTCATATCTCAAATATACAAGGTCACAAAGGTACATTTATCAAATCACTATACTGGTAATTATATATAAACTGTCCAAAAGCCGGCACAACAGAAGTTAACGCATTTGATTTGTATATTTAATCCACCAAATTAGTGTCATTCAAGAAAATGCAAGGACAATATTGAAAACACAAAGAAGAAATGACTTGAAAAATCACAATAATAACTGTTGATCATTTGTCATCAAATTGCCAAAAGCAAAAGAAAATACCTTTGAGAAAAGTAAAACAATTATTTAGTGAAGTTTAAGATATGAGAGGGTTTTTGAGATCCTTATTCATATACATAGAACCTTTAAACCATTTACTTTACATACAAGAATAGTATAGGCATATAAATCAAGATTTTGATGGAAAAACTGGAACAGCTATAAATAGTTTTGGGGTGTCCTATCACGCTTCCAAAAGTCTCGGGCGGGGAAAAGTACCAATAAGATAACCTAAAGGATAAAAAGGTATTAAAGGGTGAAAAAGACAAAGGGAAAAAACCACTATACCTTGAGGTGCCATACACTCTGAAGATGTTTCTTAAAACCATCATATGTACTGAAAGTCGACACATTACAGATCTTACAGCCTGCTTTGCTGCGGTCCTCCTTGGCCTGATCATTGTCATAGGGGAAAAAAAGAAACAATCCCAGGTTAAAACAGATCAGAAAGTGTTTTTTTTATATTGTAAAATAAGAGGTACCAGTAAGACATATAAAATAGTGGAGTGATGATGATAACACTGAACACTCGTAGAGCAGTAAAAAAAACACTCTTAATAACAAAGAGTGGTAAAAAGCACTCACACATGATCAATATGTATAGATAAGATCACTCATTACCATTCAGTGTGGTAATATTAAAAGAACAATCATGATTACACAGTACAGTAAAAAGAACATTTACCATTACATGCACTTATGATAAACAGTGTGGTAAAGATCATTCATTATTACGTACACTGTAGCCTCGATATATCGCTCTTCGTTACAATGCTAATCTCAGTATAGCGCTCATAGACCTTGGCTCCCAAATTTTTTTTTAAATTTTTTTAAGTAGATCTAGATTTATAGCGCGCTATAAAGCTTGTTCAATTTGACAGTCAAGTACAATAAACAATTGTTATTAGAACATTTATGAGGGTCAAGGTGTGAAAAACATGCCCAGGTAAGCATTTATCAGCTCTTTTGTTGTTTTACCTGTCCATCAGTCAGGCATCAAATTGTTTCCAAAATCTCAAATTCATATCATAACTGTGACATGGGCAACCGGTGGTGAGTATAAACAAACTAAAATTCATACACATATCTTTGACATGTAAACCTCGCTGAATTAAATAACCCACACAAGCCCAAAATCGATTTAAAATCCTGCACTGTAAATAGAGCGACCAAGACAGGAAGTAATTGGCGTTTGATTAACTAGGGGACACAATTAAAGCTGGACTGTAGATTACAGTGTAATTTACAGTCCAGCTTTAGTTGTGTCCCCTAGTTAATCAAACGACATTACAGTAATGGCTAACTGTTTACACTACATTCATGATTTATGTTTTTCTTTCGAAAGTTTTTGTTTCTTTTAAATATAGTTAGTATTATTTGTGAATATAATATATGTTTACATCATTGAATTGTTTTAGAAAAAGATAATGTTGATATTCATTGAACAGTAAGTAAAACAAGAGGGCCATGATGGCCCTGGGGTCGCTCACCTGAACATAGGCCCCCAGGGCGGGGCCAGTTTAAACCAAAGGGCATTTATTTCAACAAACTTGGAAGACACCCATTAGAAGATATTTCATGATGTTAAGTTTTTACTATACACAAATAATGAATAACAATGACTTTTGCCCCCCCCCCTCTCCCTGGCAGGGCCATTTTTGACCCAAGGGCTTTTTATTTGAACAAACTTGGTAAACATCCATTAGAACATGTTTCATGCTAAATATTTTAGCTCTAGCTCTTTTGGTTCTTTAATAGAAGATTTTTAACTTTTTACTCTATGTATATAGGGAAAATCAATAACCCCTGGACAGGGCCAATTTTGACCCCAGGGCTTTTATTTGAACAAATTTGGTAGACACCCATTAGAACATGTTTCATGCTAAATATCTTAGGTCTAGCTCTTTGGGTTCTTTAAAAGAATTTTTTTTTAAGTTTTTACTATATGCATATAGGGAAAATCAATGACCCCCTGGGGCGGGGCCAATTTTGACCCCAGGGCTTTTATTTGAACAAACTTGGTAGACACTGATAAGAAGATGTTGTTCATGCTTAATATCTTAGCTCTAGCTCTTTGGGTTCTTTAAAGAGAAGATTTTTTTTAAGTTTTACTATATGCATATAGGGAAAATCAATAAACCCTGGACAGGGCCAATTTTGACCCCAGGGGCTTTTATTTGAACAAACTTGGTAGACATCCATAAGAACATGTTTTACGCCAAATATCTAAGCTCTCGCTCTTTGGGTTTTTTAGAAGAAGATTTTTTTTAAGTTTTTACTATATGCATATAGGGAAAATCAATGACCCCCTGGGGCGGGGCCAATTTTGACCCCAGGGCTTTTATTTGAACAATCTTGGTAGACACTTATTAGAAGATGTTTTATGCTTAATATCTTAGGTCTAGCTCTTTGGGTTCTTTAAAAGAAGATTTTTTTAAAGTTTTTACTATATGCATATAGGAAAAATCAATGACCCCCTGGGGCGGGCCAATTTTGACCCCAGGGCTTTTATTTGAACAATCTTGGTAGACACTTATTAGAAGATGTTTCATGCTTAATATCTTAGGTCTAGCTCTTTTGGTTCTTTAAAAGAAGATTTTTTTAACTTTTTACTATATGCATATAGGGAAAATCAATGACCCCCTGGGGCGGGCCAATTTGGACCCCAGGCCTTTTATTTGAACAAACTTGGTAGACATCCATTAGAACATGTTTAATGCCAAATATCTAAGCTCTAGCTCTTTGGGTTTTTTAGAAGATGATTTTTTAAAGTTTTTACTATATGCATATAAGGAAAATCAAATGACCCCCTGGGCGGGGCTAATTTTGACCCCAGGGCTTTTATTTGAACAATCTTGGTAGACACTCATTAGAAGATGTTTCATGCTTAATATCTTAGGTCTAGCTCTTTGGGTTCTTTAAAAGAAGATATTTTTAAGTTTTTACTATATGCATATAGGGAAAATCAATGACCCCCCTGGGGCGGGGCCAATTTTGACCCTAGGGCTTTTATTTGAACAATCTTGGTAGACACTTATTAGAAGATGTTTCATGCTTAATATCTTAGGTCTAGCTCTTTTGGTTCTTTAAAAGAAGATTTTTTTAAGTTTTTACTATATGCATATAGGGAAAATCAATGACCCCCTGGGGCGGGGCCAATTTTGACCCCAGGGCTTTTATTTGAACAAACTTGGTAGACATCCATTAGAACATGTTTAATGCCAAATATCTAAGCTCTAGCTCTTTGGGTTTTTTAGAAGATGATTTTTTTAAGTTTTTACTATATGCATATAAGGAAAATCAATGACCCCCTGGGGCGGGGCCAATTTTGACCCTAGGGCTTTTATTTGAACAATCTTGGTAGACACTCATTAGAAGATGTTTCATGCTTAATATCTTAGGTCTAGCTCTTTGGGTTCTTTAAAAGAAGATTTTTTTAAGTTTTTACTATATGCATATAGGGAAAATCAATGACCCCCCTGGGGCGGGGCCAATTTTGACCCCAGGGCTTTTATTTGAACAATCTTGTTAGACACTCACTAGAAGATGTTTCATACCAAATATCTAAGCTCTAGCCCTTTGGGTTTTCTAGAAGATGTTTAAAGTTTTTTCTTTTGGTTGCCATGGCAACCAGAGTTCTGCATGGAATGGAATTCTTTGAACAACTTTGTTAAGGCTTCACACAAGGAACATCCCTGTGAAGTTTCATTATGATCTGCCTTATGGTTTCAGAGGAGATGTCGTTTGAAAAGTGTGAACGGACAACGGACGACGTACGACGTACGACGGACGACGGACACCTCAGGTGAGCTAAAAAATCAGCGTTATATATATATGTGGTGGGTGGGGTAATGCGGTAATTTCGCAATGAGCGTTCTAATGAGAGCCTCTTTAGAACGCGGTGTTGAGACATTGGACCCCAACATGAGTGTTATAATGAGGCTAAAGTGTAACGTGGTAAAGAGCTCTCACTCATAATAAAGTAGTATGGTAAAGATGACTTATAAATACATAATGTGGTACATGGCGATCTTGATAACACAGTGTGGTAAGAAGAGCACTCAAAATTATTAAGTGTGAGCACTCAAAATTATTAAGTGTGGTAAAAAGCACTCATAATAAACTTTCTAGCAAATAGAACTCATAATTTCATAGTGTGGTAAAAACACTCGTAAGAAACAAAGAGTGGTAAAGTGCTCTATTAATTACACAGTGCAATATAGATAATCACAATTACATGTGTGGTAAAGATTACTCAATAGGACAATGTGGTAAAGAGAACTCTCAATTACAAAGCATAGTAATGAACATTCACAATAACATAGTGAAGTAGATTGGAACACTGAATTTTTTGGGATGATAATACCATAAACTGTGAACAAAACTCCTCAATATATCTACTTATGACCATAGCAACACAGCAGATAAAAAATCTGGAGACAGTGTATGCAAGTGAATAGAAATATGTGAAACAAAGAATTATTGCATGCAATATATCATCTTAGCATTAGTATCTTTAGTCTCTAAATATAAAAATAGAAACTTGAGCAGAATGGTACAGAGTCTCAAACAGTGCAAGTGTCACAGATATTTTACAGTTCACAGATGGTGTCCATCACAAAATAGGATGAAGAAGGTTTTAAAGAAAAGAACAATAAATACATAAATGGATTTGGGATGTTGTATTTTTGGGGGGATTTTAAGTCACACTTTAAAGGACCAGCTTTACTGGTGGAGGGAGACTTCAGCTGCCCATTGCCGCATTATTATAGGCAAAAACAAGCATAAGTAAAACGACGACCTCTCTAAGCTATGTGTGGATTATAGCATACATTAAATCACTGTGTCCATAGAAAACATAATCATCTTTGCCCTGTTACTGTTACACAATCAATGTTCACTAAATCACTTTATCACTGTCAGTTTAAACTAAAATTAAATGAGTATCTCAGGTGTATACCCCTTGGACTGGTTTATGGTCAAGAAAAACCTTTGGCCAAAAACTTTTAATTGACATATGAAATAAATCTTGTGTACACCTCATTAGTTAACATGTGAAAACAACTATCAAGTGGACAAAAGTGTAAGTTCTGAATTCCGGAACTTCTAAAATCTGGAAACTTCTGAAATCCCAACATTTTTTAACAACTTTAACAAACCAGGGTGTACATATTATAACTAACTGGATATAAGAAAAAGTGAAAGTAGATACCTTATGATCAGGTGATTCTTTGTGATCCTTGTAGGCCCCTGTAAAATTCTTCTCACACACCTTGCAAAGAGTTTCCCTGTTAAAGACAACATAGATGATTTATTTAATTCTAGAGAAACAGGCATTGAAAAAATATTTTCATAGTCACTCATCCTGCAGGAGGAGTAGCTTCTAATTCCAATGTGAAGGCAACATTTTTCTACTCGTCCTGCATCGAGTTCTCTTAAATTCTACTTGTAATTATGAGTTGACAAGTGGAATTTTTTGATCTCTGAGATATTGAATGTTACATCGTCTGACTGCCTGAGGTAAATATATATTCCAAAATTTACAGGTTAACCTTGTTTCATTATAGATTTCTCCGTCATAATAGGGTTTCAGACCAACAGAATAGTTATAATGATATGGACAAAAACCTCGAAGTACTTACAATGCCTTTCCTTTAGGTCCTGGAGCTCCAACTGGCCCTTGTTTTACAGGTGTTCGTTTCTTGCTCTCTATTTGTCGTAAATGTTCCTCGGCTTGTAGACGTGATTTGATCAGCTCGGTCTGATGACTTGTAGATGACATGACAATCTTCATCTTATCACCGTGCTTCTTACCGCCCATATGTCGGCTAAAACTCTGTATAATATAAATTGTGAACTAATTTTACTATTTTATTTTATGTTTTTAACAGAATTTTTTTTCCTTCTTTCCGATAAATGGACCCTTCCGAATTGAAAATACAGATATTTCTTCCCAATTGTTAACAAAAAAATCCCAATTATATCAGCTTTAGATATCATTCTCACCGAGTAATTAATCACCAAAAAATAGTCAATTAAATTTACAATGCGCAGATGGAACATGTTCACATAGTAACAATAAGATAATCAAGGACACCAATTCCAATAAATCGATTTTCACGACCGTTGTCCCGTCATTACTTTTCTTTTAAAAATCCAAAAATTGCCATCATAGCACCCATTTCTTTCAATTAAAACTGACCCAGACCCATTCCCAAAATTATGAAAGAAATCTCTAACATACATTTCAACAATATTGCGAGGGTCTAACAAAAAATGGGTCAAAGACAGAAAAGGCCGGGAAAATTTAACTTAGTTGGTAAACCGGAAAAGAATGAGCATCAGACCTGAAATGGAATCCCACAATATGGGACCACATGTCAATGCTGTGAATCACATATTAAGAGGCTGTGGTAAGTAGTTGCTGAGAAAACTGTTACGAAAATTTCCTACTATCTATTGATCATTAATTATGTCAAAATTTAACTAAGTCGGCAAACAGGAAGTGGATGAGCGACAGACCTGAAATCGAATCCCACAGTATGGGACCATATGTTAATGCTGTATACCAGATATCAAAAGGCTGTGATAAGAAGTTGCTGCGTAAACTGTTACGAAAATTTCCAACCATTGACCATTAATGTTGAAAATTAAACTAAGTCGGCAAACAGGAAGTGGATGAGCGACAGACCTGAAATCGAATCCCACGGTATGGGACTATGCGTTAATGCTGTATACCAAATATCAAAAGGCTGTAATAAGTAGTTGCTGAGAAAATTGTTACGAAAATTTCCTACCATTGACCATTAATGTTGAAAATTTAACTAAGTGGGCAAACAGGAAGTAGATGAGCGACAGACCTGAAATCGAATCCCACAGTATGGGACCATGTGTTGATGCTGTATACCAAATATCATGAGGCTGTGATAAGTAGTTGCTGAGAAAACTGTTACGAAAATTTCCTACCATTGACAATTAATGTTGAAAATTTAACTGAGTTGGCAAACAGGAAGTAGATAATCGACAGACCTGAAATCGAATCCCACAGTATGGGACCATGCATTGATGCTGTATACTAAATATCAAAAGGCTGTTATGAAAAACTAGTTATGAAAGTTTTTCCCCGCCCGCCGGCCGCCAACTCTAACCCCTTGACCACAGAGGCGGTAGGGAAATAAGTAAACAAAAGATTTACCGCTTCATCATAACAGGACACTGAACAGATATTACATTTATACATCTTCTCCCGAGGTATCTTCTTTGACTCATCCTAAAATTATACATTAAAACATATTATTTTGCTAATTTTAAAGCTGCACGCCTCCAGATGACCAAAAATATTTCGAAAAAATCAAACCTGATAAAAATGTACTAAGATTCTATTTAAAGTATAAAGATTCAAAATTCTAGTAATAATTTACAAGTTATGTACGATTAATGACCGATTTTTTAGTATTTATAACTATATTTCTACTGCGTTACTAACGCAGTAAATGCTATTTTTGCATATTTTGACCTCTTTATGGCAATTAACATGGGTTGTAAGTGTCACTGATAATGTGTAAACTGCATTCTTTTGTTAACTTCACAATATTATACTGTTAAATACATTTTCAAATTTTCAAATTTTCATGAAAATTATCATGAATCTGGAGGCGTGCTGCTTTAATGCTTCCCAGAGATCACTTGTTACCAGATATTCCTGCTATGCATTGTTTTGTTGGATTTCTTCGTTTGTTTTTTTAATCATGCTTTTGGAAACAGGTCCACATGCGCTTAATTGGGAATTGTTGAAATCATGGGGAAAGAATCAACACTATGAAGTTTTATTAGGAACCTGCAGTTTTTGAACATCATTTTTGACAAAAAATAGGCACCTGTTTGAAGATGAGAAAAAAAAATAATACACTAATATTTTTTAAGTTTTGCTTCTGTTCTTATATCAATTACAAAAATTATCACCTGGGCTACCAGTATAGAGCCAGGCCAATGTGCACATCTGTGAAATCTGATCAGGCTTTATACTCGTCATACAAGTAGCTCAATAATTGTATTCTCGTATGAAAATTCTCCAAATAGGCTATGCCAAATTCAAAGTGGTGGCGTTGCCGAGTGGTTTATGAGTCAGACTAGTAATCAAAGTATTGCTGACCCTGTGTCGCTAATCGCAAGAGAAATTCTTTACAGGGCATTGTCCTAACATTTAATAGTTTTATTATCAAGCTTTAGATGTTTACGTATAGGTTAGTGTTTAATAATACGTATTAACAAAAATAATTGGTCAAGCCTGCCACAGGCAGGCGACCAATTATTTTTGTTAATGCGTATTATTAAACATTAACCTATTTAATGATCAACATTATTTTTTTCAACAAAAAACAAGGCATTTCTCTAAATCACTGATAGCTCCGCCCTTTCGCTCTATAAGATGTCTCTTTATGGAAAACTGTTAAAAATCTTGGTTTGCCTTCCAAGAAGGGTTCATCTTCAACCAGTTCAAATATTTGTTTAAATACAGATGATAATGTGTGTTTTGAAAAGAAACTTATTGCTGAATCATTTAACAAATTTTATAACAACAGTTGCATGTAAACTTGTTGAAAAGTTGCCAGAAAGTATGCATAGATTTGGTACGAATTTTGTTAATACTTTTTATGCAAACAAGGGTGTTTTTGCAAACAGTTTTTCTTTTTCCATTGTTTCTGAAAGTAAAGTTCTTAAATACTTAACTTCATTAGGTGTCAAAAAAGCTACTGGCTTAGATGGTATACCCTCACGTTTTATCAGAGATGGATCCCCAGTTATTGCTAGTCCATTAGCTCATATCATAAACTTATCCCTTATCCAAGGTCAAGTCCCTGATGACCTTAAATCTGCAAGAGTTGTTCCCCTCTATAAAAAGAACGACAAATTGTCTGTTGGTAATTACCGGCCTGTGTCCATTTTAAGTGTTGTATCTAAAATCCTTGAAAAGGTGGTTTATGACCAGGTTGAAGCTTATTTTAAGGATAAAGATCTGCTGTATAAATTTCAATCAGGTTTCAGGAGTGGCTTCTCTACTGATACTTGTCTGATTCACCTTACAGACTTTATCAGGTATGAAAATGATAAAGGTAATGTTGTTGGTATGGTGCTGCTGGATTTGCAGAAAGCGTTTGACACAGTCGACCATTCCATTCTTTTAATGAAACTGCAAGCATCAGGTCTTAGTATTGACGTCCTAAATTGGTTCAAATCATATTTATCAGATAGACAGCAGCTTGTAGATGTCTCTGGTACTTATTCTTCCAATTCCAAAATAACATGTGGTGTTCCTCAGGGCTCAATCCTTGGACCCCTTCTCTTTTTAATTTATGTAAATGATATGTCAGCTGTGGTCAAAAATAAATTGCTTTTGTATGCTGATGATTCTGGTATCCTTGTATCAGGTAAAAGTTTATCTGTTGTTGAAAAGGCATTGACAGATGATATGGAATTGGTCAGCCAATGGTTAGTGGACAATAAGTTGTCATTGCATTTGGGTAAAACCGAGTCAATTTTATTTGGGTCCAGGCAAAAACTTAGGTCACAATCTAACCTGCATATAACCTGTTCTGGTACATCCATTGAATCAACTTCATCTATCAAGTATCTTGGGATTACTATAGACCAAAATCTGTCATTTTGCGCCATGGCCGAGTCTGTTCTTAAGAAGGCCAACTCTCGGTTAAAATTTCTTTACCGCAAGAAAGAGTTTCTTACTCAGCATACCAAGAAACTTCTGGTTATGTCTCTTATTCAGTGTCACTATGATTACGCATGCTCTGTTTGGTATAATAGCTTGACACAGTCTTTAAAAAATAAGTTACAAACTTGTCAAAACAAAATAATGAGATTTGTACTTGACTTGGACTCTAGAGCCCACATTGACCCATCCCACTTTAAGTCCCTTAACTGGTTACCGGTCCACAAAAGAGTTGAACAGATAATGTTGTGTCATGTTTTTAAGATAAAAAATGGCCTATCTCCGGATTACATGTCTGAACACTTTATTTCACAAGATTCCATTCATAATTATAGTACAAGACTTAGTCAAAAGGGTGGATATTGTCTACCTAAGGTCAAAGGCCAGGGTTCTAAATCATTTGCTTTCTCTGGTATTAAATTATGGAATGATTTACCTGTAAAGTTAATGGAGATCAACAGGTTACAAAGTTTTAAGGTTGCCATCAAAAGTCATCTTATGAACAGTATTTAAATTTTTTTTTAAACATGTTTTTACATATTTCGGCTCAGGATTTTAAATTGTCTGCCATTTATCTTATTACAATTTTAGTAATGTGTTTTAAATCCTAGCTGTAAACAGGAGTATCATTAACTCAAGATTTGACTGTGATATACATTTTTATGATTTATTAGTATTCTTAAACATGATTATTTTAAGGTTTGCCTCTCTATGTCATGCCGCCAATACAAAGGACCACAATGGAAATAAGAGCTTTTTTGCCCTTTTTTGTGTTATCCTTGGTTTTGGTGAGCATGTCATAGTTTTACTCGTATGTGATATAGTATTTAATAATGCTCATTATTTTATCCTATGTTATATTGTCAACTATGTATATGCTTCCTTTGCCGAAATAAATCTATCTATCTATCTACACCTTGTCAAGTTTCTAACATGTCACATTTAGATAAGCTAAATAAATGGCCCTTTCAACATATAATCAGGCACATTTTTATTAAAATGTCACAGAATTTATACCTTTATCTACAGTAAGACTATCATGTTTCTATAAAATATCTGAGAAAAAAACAGTGATGCAATTAGGTAAAAACAATGGAGTTAATGAAATGTGTATATCCTTTTAAAATAAATGGAAAATGTGAGAAAAATACATAAGAGATTATTAATTAATACAAATTCGTTATTAGGTTCAAGTTATTCACTAACATTTAAAATCCCTATTGATTTGCTCATTTGAAAAACAGTTCTTTTTTTTATTTTTCTGTGTATCAATTTAGGTTTACAGGTGGAGGGGGTCCATTTACAATAAGTTTTCCAGCCAAAAAATGTAATCATTGTATTCTTAATATCAATGATTGTTAATGCAGTTCATTCCTATCAAGTGAAAAAAAAAAATGTTTTGGAAAATATAAGGAGACATTTTTCTTAGAGTTAAACGGATATAAAAAAGTTACTATGTAATCATTTGTCTCTGCGTGCCCAACATGTATTATCTATGTAATAAATCAATTGATTGTATCCTCACATTTAGAGACACCTGACCTCGACTTTTTTATGTTGGCATTGTTTTGCTAACCTTAACATTTTACAAATCAGAGTGTAAACCATACCTCTAACTCCTCCCTAATATAATGCATTATTGAAATTTGTTAGACTGCGGTTAGACGACAGATTAAGTGAATTTTATTTAGTTAGTACACATTAACCAAAGTTAGACAAAGCAGAAATTTGAAAAATACTACAATGTGATTGGACAAAAAATAATGTTGATCATTAAATTTTGTTAATATCCAGAAAAATAGTTATTTTTACCAGGACATTTCATTGGTTAATTGAGGAAATCTCATCACCATTTTTGGATGTAGCTTTTTGGTGTAATTTGCACACGGCTCAAAAGATATTTACTTTGGGCGTTGCCTTGATTTTTGGGAGTGAAAAAGAAACTTTTGTAGAAGTAACATCTAAAAAGTAATAAGAATAAAAGAAGAAAATTAATGTTAAAATTTTGGATAATTAAAAATATAGAACTGTAAAAAACTGTTTAAAGGGTAGAAAAATAAAAACTGTAAAAAGTTGAACTGTGTTAATTTTAATGTGGCGGAAAAACAGATAATATATCACGGGTCGCTACATTAATTGGTCCCGCGAACCGGATAGAGGATAGAGGATTGTTCTGGATTACTGTAAAGTAAAATGTAAATAAACGGATTATATAAAAAAAAGGGTTAAAAAAAATATTATAGTACGACTGGAAAAAATATATGGAATTAATTGGAAGATTATTCGTGATAGTCATAAACAGTCATAAATAGTTTTAAAAAAATCATAGAACAGAAACAATGAAGTGTATAAAATAACAATAACTACTACGACAAAAAACTACAACAAAGAAATATAAACAGCATTTATAAAAAAGTAAAAAGAAGAAGAAAAAAATCAGGCGAAAAGACTGGGGATTTTCCAAGATCATATTTCTACAAAGATACAGTAATAAAAGTGGTGTAGAATTCATGAATGAAATTCCAGTGTTATCATGAGAGTTGAAACAAGGGTTAGGATCAGTCGTTAATTGGGCGTTGAAATTTGATGTCATTAACTGGACCAGGCTTTGATAAAATTCCCATTTAAACTGTAATTACCAGAAAATTGTGGGAGGAAATAATGATCGTTTTGTTGTTATTATGAGATAGCAAGAAAAAAGAGAGAGAGAGAAAAAAAATAGGGGTTGGTCAAAAAGTAGCCAAAAGGTGAAAAAAAAAAGAAAAAGGAATTATATGAAATTAAAAGAGTTAAAAGAAAAAAAAGGCCTAAGTAAAAATATATTCGGCATCAGCTCTTCATTAACGAAAGGGTTGTTCAAAAAGTTAAGCGTAAAAGAAAAGTCTAGATATTAAAAAAAAAAGAAATGGCAGAAAAACAAATTGACAGCACAGAACCTATTAGTGAAATGGACTCACATTTAAATTTGCGGTATGTTAAAGGCGTATGGACACGTTTTAGAAATAAACTGAAAGAGGAAATTGAAAAAGCATCAGAATTGTTAACCGGAGAATCTGAGGAATATGATTTGAACGGAAAAATAGACAGTGCTTCGTCATTCATGGACAAAATTAATTTATATCGAGAAAAGGTAGAGAAGCAAAGTGAAAAACTAGTATTATCAATGGGAGATAGCGATGAAATCGATACGATTGTGGATGATGACTGCAGTTTGTGTTCCAGTGCAATGGACATATATGTAGAATTGAAATATTTCTTGAGTAAGCTGTATCATGCAAAAGAAAAAATAGAAGAAAAACCACAGGAAGATACAGACACCCATATGTTAATACAACTACAACAAAATATGCAAGAATTGATATCTTCACAAATGAATCAGCAAGAACTTGCAAAAAGGGCAGAATACGAAAAATTGTCAGCAGTAAAACTACCAAAAATAGATATGATATCTTTCGCAGGAGATAAAACAAAATGGATTGAATTTTGGGACTATTTTCAAAGTGCTGTTCACAAAAACAAAAAATTATCAAATGTTGAAAAATTTACCTACTTGAAAGGAAAGTTATATGGGGAAGCAAGAAGTTCTATCAGTGGATTAGCAAACAGGTATTTTTTGTATTTAACTTCTTTTTAAATAAATCCAAACGGTTTGAATTGTAACATCCACTATCATGTAAATTAATTATGTACTGTAATATAAGCACAATATAAGTATTATAAAGTAAGTGAATATAGTAAATCCAATAAAATTCTTCATAAACATTATTTACACTTTACAGAAAGCATTAATTACAAATTTTGTCACTTTTTGTTTCATCTTTTCATTTATACTAAATCCTTTTTATAAAAATCTTTTATTTTAGCATTAGCTTTTACTGCAGCTGTTCGTTTTGTACGTTTCTCTGTCTCTAGAACTGGCTGTTCGGACCTAGATTTTTGAATGTTTGTATCCTTTTTTTGTTCGTTTGTTCTCTCCCCAGAGACTTCGACAGGATAAAGTTGATTAAGAGGTCTCCCAATTGTATTTCCACTCGCTAATTTCACCTTAGCAGAACGACATTCGCCATCCTTTGAAATTACCAGTTTAGAAATGTGCCCTAGTTTCCACGATCCCCTTGGTATCTCATCTTTTATTAAAACAATATCACCAACATTTGGTTGAAACATAGATTGTATGCGATGAGACTTCAACATTGTTTGAGTTCGTTCACGTAAGCTTAGCAAATATTCCTTATGCCAAATTTTCCAGAATTGATTTAAAAGTTTTTGTCCCTTTTTCCATATTTTTAACATTCTTTTGGCTGAACTTTCATATGGATCATAATCAGGATCACTTTCATCAACATCAACTTCAAATATCCCAGTTTTAGGATTAAGTGTTAAAAAATGTCCAGGTGTTAATGTAATTGTTGAATTTATATCGCTGTCAACATAAACAAGTGGTCTTGAATTAAGCACACTTTCTACTTCTTTGATTACCGTTTGTAACTGAATATTCGTCAACAACTTGTTACATAATGTTTTTCTCAATGACCTTTTTACTAGTCCAACTAATCGTTCATAAAATCCTCCAAACCATGGTGCCCTTTCTACTATAAAAGTCCATTTTATTCCACAATCTGATACATAACTTTGAACTTCATCACATTTTATTGTTTTCTGCCAAATTAATTCTAGAGTATTTTTAGCCAATTTGAACTGACTTGCATTGTCACTAATTATTTCCTTTGGAGCCCCTCGTTGTGCAATAAATCGACGCAATGCTAATAAAAACTCTTCTGTTGACAAGTCCATTACGATTTCTAGATGTACCGCACGTGTAACAAGGCACGTAAACAAACAAATCCAAACCTTTTTAGGTTCCCCATTAGTTTTTATCATGAGTGGCCCTAAGTAATCTAACCCAGTTCTCGTGAAAGCTGTAGCCTCTGTCACACGTCCTTTCGGCAAGGCTGACATTTGCGGCATTTTAAATGCACCGCCTTCCGTTTTGCGACATAATATACACTTTTGTAACACCCCGCGTACAGTAGCGCGACCTCTTGGAATCCAATACTTGTATCTCAATTCACTTAACGTTTGAGATAATCCACTGTGAAGCTGCTTTTTATGGACCCTCTCAATGATTAAACGAGTAACATGATCCTTTTCTGGCAGTAGATATGGATATCTCGCCGTTTCACTAAGATCTATGTTTTCAAGTCTGCCTTTACATCTAAGTAAGCCATTTTTATCTATGTAGACTCCAAGCTGTTGTTTAATATTGTAAGCTAAGTCAAAAACTGTTCAAATAACAACTTTTATTGATAACAAGTTAATTCCACAATTTCTTTGTTCAACTCTGAAGAGCACTAAATTTGCTATATTTAACAAAAGAAAGTTCCACAAAATGCTCTTGTCACTAGTTTTCGCGACTGTCAGGATTTAAAGCCAAAATGCAAACTGAAAACAGCCTGTCATGGCTACTTATATAGACTCTGAAATAGCCAGGACTGTCACAATTGACCAATCATAACATTCCATTTGGCCTGGCAGTCTGGCAGGAAAGACGGGAACTTCTTAAAATGGCAGCCATATTGACAGGAATAATTTAGAAAAATGTAAATTAACAAAGTTAACAAATAACAAAATATGCAATAAACACTTTGATTACATGCCTAACTTGATGCACTTAATATTTGTACCAAAAATAATCATGGTTATAGCTTGAAAAATGAACTTGACATAAAAAGATTCCAAGTGCCAGGAATTTGAACTTTCCCTCCTTACAAACTTAGAGGTCATACCGGTCATCAAGATTATTATAAAATACAGCAATGCCAGCTAACTATTTGGAAAGTAACTTATGTCTTAGGTAAATATGGATTACATTCTATGTTCTTACATGTAAAATGATAAGTATTTGTATATGGTTATGAAAATAAATGCATTTAAAGTTTTGAATCAAGGTAGACAACTCTTATCGGCCATTTTGATGCCAGGATAAACAAAGTAGTAAATTAATCATTCCTTGAAGTATAGACTTTCTTAGTGTGCCTTATATAGTCATAGAGCCTCAGAATGTCCTATATCATGGTCTTAATTCCTTCATTTACCAGAAAATCATCTAAACAAATAAAATCAGCAAATATGAATGGCTGAGGCAAGTTCAGGAATCCTGACAGGTAAAGTTCAGGAATCCTGGCAGGTAAGTTTTAAGCAGTGACTGAACAGTATTACCTCATTTGTCAATAAATTATGCTAGTTTGATGTTCAAATTGTCATAAAACATAGTTTGTTTTAAACTGATATATTCATTACAAGGTCCTGAGATAAACATTCACAGTCCCTTACAATATTTAAACTCGACCCTGTTTGAATCGATTCAAATACATGTTTATACCATTTTTTCTGAATGTGTAAAATCCACTGTTTTTCTGCACAGACTAATTCATCTATTGTTATTGAACCATTTTCAATTTTTTCACATTTCTTCAACCTTTTGATGAATCTTTGTGCATATGCAGTCACCCGAAACAATTTTGTTTGTATTCAAACCCTGTCAGGGGCAAGACATTGTGTCTGTGAGAAAGAAACTTTACACTCATTGCTTACTACAGGTTGTTTCCAGGAATGGATTAGAGTGTTTCAATAAGCTTATAGCTTGCTACACAATCAAACTAAAATTAATTTGCTAAAACTAAAGCAGGGCAAACCAATCACAAAAACCACAGTAGGTTAAGAGTTAAAGTAAATCAATGGTAAAATGAAGTACAAAATTTTACCTGATCAGCATCATTTACAGAACGGCCCTTCTTGTTTACTGTCACAGTTAGGCTTATTTCCTTTGGTTTCTGGTCCTCCTCTTTATTTTCCTCCTTTATTTCCACATCTTTACTGTCATCTTTCTCATCAGTCTCCATCTTCTCTACAGCTACACTGTCAGCCTTTGCTACTTCCTCTTCCTGTAGTTTTATTTTCAGAATTTAAATTAGTTGAAATTTACATGTTTTGCCAGTTCACCTATCTAAATCAAAGAACTTGAAGTACTGATGGAAGACGATTTTTTTACATTTTGAAATTTTAGTTTGCACTCAGAACAACCATTATTTTAGCGGGGAAAATACAAAGTCAATCAATAAAGCTTCTTGTTTTTACAATCTGTAGTCATGGTAATTATGTCATTCTAGTTCAAAACTTTATTTGTGGAAACTTTGTGGGGGGCATACTTACTGCTAATAATAGAAATTCAAGAGGAATTCATTAAGGTTAAAGTATATATATGAACGAGACATATTACGTGTATGTTTACCTCTGTTATATCCTCTGTAGGTTCGGCAGGGTCGTACTTTTCTCCCATGGTAACAGTGATTTCAGTCTTTGGCTTCTCTTTGTTGGTATCCTCTTTCTCAACCTTGTCCTTTCCTTTCTCGTTCTTGCGGTCTTTCCCTCGGTCATTCCGATCATTCTTGTCACGACTTGGGGTAGATTTCTTGCTACTTCCATCACGTGAACCTGAAGTGTTCCAAAGTCAAAACATTGCTTAAATACTTGAAAAGAAAAACATTTTCCACCTCAACAACCAAACTTTAAAGGGATCATCTACATGAATTTATTTTTTTCCATTTTTTAGTTATTAAATGTGCTGAATACACTTCAAGATCGCTGAGAATACACTTCAAGATAGTTGATATTTGTTTTGAGTTTACATAGAAATGAAGGGAATGTAATTTTGTATTAATCTTAATAAATGAAATTCAAAATCTTCAAATAGATTTTAATGTTTTTTTTTGTTTGTCTTTATCTTTATATTTTTTATCATTATTATTTTATCTTTTGGTGCTATCATTCTTCAGATATTCTATCTAAAATGTTGTCTGTGCTTAATTTTTCTCTCTAAAGTTTTAAAGTCACAATAATTGTTATCATACACCTTATCACTTGAATTCTGCATCATTTACTTATAAATATTTTGTTTTTACTTACAATACCTCTGCTGAAAAAAAAGTAATCTATTTAACATGGTTATATATCTCTGACCATAAATTTCTTTCTTTTGTATTACTTATTTTATTTCATTTAAATAACATCTTACCACTTTGGGAAAATAGTTGTCATGGAAATAGAACACTTGACATTTGTTTAAAACCATGATGTGTGAGGTACTTGTTGTAATGGAAAAATGGCAATAGACATTTTTAGGTGAGTTGTTCTCATGAAAACAAGGCACTTGATATTTTTAAAATCATGAGGTAGATATTTACATGGAAACATGACACTTTGAAACTTGACAATTTTGTAAAACCACATAGTTGTTGTCATGGAAAAATGGCAACTTGATGTTTTCTTTTTAAATTATGTGGTGGATTTTGTCATGGAAATATGGCACATGGTATTTTGAAAACCCTAAGGTAGTTGATGTCATGGAAATAAAACATTTTTTACACTTTGTGATAGTTGTTTTCAAGGAAACAAAATACATGACAATTTCTGCAATTAATAGGCAGATGCTGTCATGGCAAAAGACACAACTTTGAGGTTGATGTTATCATGGAAATCAAGAACCTAAATTATTTTTCTCTTTTTAAAGATCATGCTGTTTCAAGTGTACCAAAACAAGACAGTGGACATTTCAATGGCTTTTACATTGTATATAGATCTATGCTATAAACTTCTGGGGATTATTCCCCACAGAAATAGCCTTTATTTTGGGATTGTTCTCGCAAAAATTACCTTTATTTGGGGATTATTCCATATAGAAATTATCTTTATCATCTTAATAAATTGTAGAAACTGGACATGTAAAAATAAAATGGAGACATTTTATAAATTCTTGAACACAATTAGCTGTTTCAACTACAATTTATATAAGAGAGGGAAAGGTAAACTTCCATGATTATAGTATACCCTGATAGTTTCATGATCAGAGGAGCATGCCAGTTGCAATTCTTCAAATTAGTGTAAACCACAGAAGGGTAGAACCATTAATCTTTTGTAATCAGGTAAACATATCATTCTTTTTCAACTGATATCAATTGGTAATTTTTTAACTGATATTGATAAACAAACAGAAGGTGAAGAAGGAGGGTAGCAATTTGGCAGTGACTGACTTCTATAAGTCACCTCTGGTAATGTACACATTAAAATTTACAAACATTACTCAACCTCGGAAAGTAGAGTTGGAAAATTCTATGTAAAATGTTTTATGCTGCTTGTATGCTGATGCAGGGCCTTTTCCAGGTATTTTGTGAAAAAAGGAAGTCCCTGACCTTCCTGAATTTGTAAAAAGAATTTTACAGCTGTTCGGGAAACTACTAGTACTATAAATATGGCTTTAAAGTGTTACTAATATGTATGTTCATATCGTAAGGACAAAAATGTCAAAACAAATCAATTTTTCGTGAGAAAGTGAAACAATTTGATTTCAGGGCTTTTGTTTTGATTCGGATAAAAATAATTTGTATACGGTTTTTTTGGATTGCAAATGGGGCCTGGTGATATGGTTACAATGTACGGGGTGATATATAAAAAGCACCAAATATAAGCATAAGAAAAGATGTTGTTTTATCATAATGTCCAGAGAAATATGGTCAACAGGGATAGAATGTTCACAAACTTTAAAATCATCTCAATAGCCCTTCATTCTGGTAATTAATGTCCATTGGCCCATGATGTCCTATGTAAACAGGTTATAAAATAATTCAGGTTTCATGTTCCTCATGCATATTTACTGATCAGAACTAACAATGGCCATTCAGCTTTAGTTGTGACAATAGACTTCTACTTCGATACCTATACATAATATATTTCCTAACACACAATTGGGCTTGTCAACATTCATTAGAAGAAGAGGGTTTTTTTTCTTCGTCAGAACCATTTCGACATGTCCCAAATCAGTGGTATTGAATATTTTTTACCATGTATTACTTGAAGTTGAAAAAAAATTTCTTTTGAAATTTTGACAAGCAAATTTTTCACCAGAAAGGGAAAAAGAAAGGTCCCATTAGTAATGATTACTGATTAGGCATATGACTTGATATATATTTATAAGCAGAAAACACTTGAAGAGGCACACACAAAATTTGCACAACACAAAATTTGCACATAGAGAAGTAAACATTTACCTCCCACTTGAGGGTGAACCTTGGATAAATATCACACTTGTTGAAAAACATTAACTTCCCAATCAAGAGTGAAATGTGGAAATAAGCACACTTAATGATATACATTAACCATCTGCTAAATGTTGAAACTTGGAACAAAAATCACACTTGTTGTTACAGATTAACTTCCCAATCCAAAGTGAAACTTGGAACAAATCACACTTGTTGATATACATCAACTTCCAAATTGAAAGTGAAACTTGGAACAAATCACACTTGTTATTCACTCCATGGTGAACTTTGACCAAATCACACTTGTTATTCACTCCATGGTGAACTTTGACCAAATCACACTTGTTGATAAACATTAACCAAACACTTGAGGGGGAAACTTTGACCAAATCACACTTGTTTATGAACATTAACCTCTGACTTGAGGGGAAAACTTGGAACAAATCACACTTGTTATTATACACTAACCTCCCTCTCCAGGGTGAACTTAGAACAAATCACAGTTGTTATTATACACTAACCTCCCTCTCCAGGGTGAACTTAGAACAAATCACAGTTGTTATTATACACTAACCTCCCTCTCCAGGGTGAACTTGGAACAAATCACACTTGTTATTACACACTAACCTCCCTCTCCAGGGTGAACTTGAAACAAAACACACTTGTTGATAAACCTCAACTTCCCAATCAAGGGTGAACAAGGAACAAATCATCCTTGTTGACATACATAAACATCCCCCTCTTGAAAGAAACCTCATGCTTATAAATATCCGCTAACTGTTCCTCCATAGTAAGTGTAATGAAGACAAAGGCATCAACAACATTGTTTCTACAGCATGAGTGCAAGAGGGAAACTGATGAATTTGTATTCTTTTATATCAATAGAGAAGTGAAAACACAGCTTACGTATTGCAGAAAGGTATTATGAAAAGAAAAGAGAATGAAAGTAACTAATTGCTTAATATTGTTCTTGTGAAATGAAGTACTATTTGTAGCAAACTTACTGGGACATGGGTCTTGGACGTGACACATCGTCATGATGTAATAGACATTTATGCCAAGTTATTTTGAAATCCTTCGATTCATGACAAAGTTATAGTCCAGACACAAATGTGTGCACCTATTAACTGTAATTGTGATAATATGAACTTAAAAAATGTAAGAGTGACCTTGACCTTTGAGGTAGGGACGTGGTTCTTGGACGCGACACATCGTCTTGATGTGGTAGACATCTGTGCCAAGCTATTTCAAAGTCCCTCAATGTATGACAAAGTTGCAGTTCAGACACGACTGAAGTGGAGACGCACAGATGGACAGACAAACAGTGAGCTTTTTAATATGTCGCCCTTGAGGGAGGGGGGGGGGGAATAAAAATGGGAATTTGTGCAACTGTAGAAATTGAGAAAGGATAAAATTAAATACATTTTGTATTTGACTAAACTGTCAGAAAATGGGAACTGCTGCAATTGTCAAAATTGAGAAATGATAAAGTAAGCCTTGAGAATGTACACTGACATGGTCATACAAGACGAATCTCTGTAAAAATTGACCTCCACAAATACACAAGAGTCTTTTGTTAATCATGTAAAAGTAACAAACTTTCTGATCCAGTAAGTATATCTCAAAACATATTTTAAGACATGAATGGTCATTCAAACAATCCTCCACTTTTATAACACATCTCAAAATCAGTAGAAAAGACCATATTACCAAAAGACTGTACAAACAGATGGGATATTTTTGTCATTTCATCAATAACAAAACTGGATATCAACTATCACAACCTTCCAACAGAGAAATGTTAATAGCATTTGCATCTTTTTCAAAAAGTCACATCATTTGATCACTGCAAGTCATAGCACACAAATTTGTGAGTGATCAGTGCTTGAAATTTTCTTGGACAAACAAATTCAAGAAAAATACAAGCAGAAAACAAATGTAAAGTACAAGATCTCTGCAATTTCTCTTGAGTCTAACTTTCGAAACAAATTCAAACAATAAATGCTATTGTGATATTTTGGTAAAACTGTCAATTTGTTTGAATTCTAGTGTCTGATTAATTTATTTCAAATTCAACACTGTCATGGCAAATTGTTTCAAATTCAACACTGTCTTGGCAAATTCAACACTGTCATCATGGCAATTTGTTTCAAATTCAACACTGTCTTGGCAATTTTTTCAAATTCAACACTGTCTTGGCATTTTCGTTTCAAATTCAACACTGTTGGGTCAATTTATTTCAATTCAACACTGTTCAAATTGTTTCCAATTCAACAATGTCTGGGTATTTTGTTGGAAACTCAACCCTGTCTGGGTAATTTATCAAAAATTCAACACTGTTTGAGAAAATTGTTTCACAATATTGAATAAACATTGGTTGATTTGTTTCAATTTCAACATGGGTCAATATGATTTTAAGCATGGTTTTTAAAGGATGCATAGCAACTTCCTCACAACGAGCTGTCACAAGCTGAATGGCCAATGTAGAAAAAAAGTGAATTATAGCTGTTTTTTGGGACTTGATGGCAAATCTTTCTGAAAGGTAAATCATAATGAAATTACTATCAGAAGTAGGCATACACCTTTTGAGGGGTAAATCGTAACGAAAATACTATCAGAGGTGAACAAAAAAATAACAGACTTGATGATTTTATTTATAACTTTTTAGTGCAGATGAAAATTGCTTACTGTGCAACATTAAATTGTGCTTTTAAATGTTAAAAGAGGTAAGCTTTAGGCAACAAATATGACAATACCTGAACTTATTTTACATTCATCTTGTAAAGATGGAAAGACTAGACCTGTACCCACACCCAATATCCAATTACACATAGCCATGTAATTTTGAGCCAGCAGTTGGGTGGGGGTCAAAAGGGGGACAGCATATTTCTTTATAAAGAAAGTATGGGAAACCTCATTTCTGTTCCAAATTAAGGTAAATTCTTACCAGATGAACAACATAGGTTAGTGTATGTTGTAGGACTAACAAGCAGTTTATATTTTTACTTTTTAGGAACATGGCAAAGGATGTGTTGATGATGAAACATCAAAAAGCCCGGAAAATCTTGACCTGGATAGGAAAGGTACCTGATACTCTTCTGTCTCGACTCTTACGGTCAGGGGAAGATTTCCGTTTTTGTAGACTTCCCCGTCTGTTTCTATTGTTTCTATCGTTTCTATCATTTCGTCGACCACCTAGGCGGTCTCGTGAGGAGGAATCCTTTCTTCCTTGCACTAACGGCCTTCTGTTTTGACGATCTCCAGGCTGAAATTTGGTACAGACAGAACGCAGGGGTTAAACATTGGCAAGAAATTTAAGTAATTTGATGGAACGGTGACGATCGACTTCACAGCAACTGGATCAGTGGTTACGAACACAAATTCATGTAATAATCATTATTTTCAAAATGGCTGAAATATACAACATGTAACTATATAAATATATACATATCAGTGCATAATTTTCAGTGTACACTTGGGAGACTCATATCACGCCATTGAAGGGAGCGAAATAGTATAAACATGATGGTGAACATGTGAAGTCCAAGTCACGCAAATATGAACAGATATGTGGTAGCTCTCATTTCCACATGAAAATATCTGTGTGCATCTCTCTTGTCCACTGGTCAATATAAGGTTTATCAGAACCCTTCAATTCAATACATAACACAAATAAATGTATAATATATGATCAATGGTTTTGGTGCTAAATTTGAACTCAAAGTTTATTACTTAAGAAAACTTTATATAATCAGTTCCTTGAATATAAATGCTTTTCTTATGCTTAATCTTCTTCAGAAATTTTTTCTTTTTTTAAGAAAACTTTAAAATACAGTAATCAGAATTTAGAGGAAGATTTACAGATTCCTAGGGAGATTTAAGTTTTGATTATTCTATCCGATGAGAACATGGATATATATAATATTTAACAAGATTTTTGAAGAATTGTTTATAGTTCCATGAAGTATACGATTGCTGTTTATGCCTTCATGGGAGAAGGGACAAAAAGCAATTGCATTTAAGTGGAAATTGAAACAACTGGAATCTGGTGCTTGAAGACTGTATAAATGGTAAACCATGTTTCAGCAAAATTGGTGTCACTTTGCCATTGATTTACAGTGACGTTATAGGTCTAGCCAAAACGCGTGTCACCTTTTAGGAGAAGAAAAACTGTAAAGCATCTCAAAAACATGATCTTTTCTACACTTTAAAGAATAGGATTGAGGAACACTGCAATCACATTTCCCGCAATCTGATGGTTCCAATCATTGTCAGTCTATGGACATTTTCTTTAGAGAAAGGATAGGAAAATATTCCTTACTAGCCAATGCTATTCAGACATATCTGTAAGAATTAAGGTACCATTTCTAATAACAACTGAATGGATCTGTAAATAAGGAAATGGATCTGCAACAAGGTCGCAAACTGGAGATTTCAAGATCTCACTGCTCTGCTATAAAAAAAAACTATAGAATTATGTCACTTCTTTCTCAGCTAATGCTTTTATAAAACATACTTGTGAAAAGATGGTGAAGATAAAAATGTCTTTTTTGTACATTTGAATTACTTAATCTATATTTAAGCAAGAAAACATTCATTGAAAACAAGATGGGTGTAAATAAAGGAGAACAAAAAGCTTACCCTTGCTCTTTTGTTATCAGAATTTCTAATTGGTGCACTGGGACGCTTTCCAAGAGTTGTTTTCCCTCTAGTTGGTACATCAAATAAAGATGGTATGGCCCCAGAGTTTCTTTGCTGTCCCTTTGTTGCATTCATTATGATTTCTGCTTGCTGCATCTGTTGTTTTATCTGTAGCTGTTGCTCAAACTCTTGCTGCTGTATCTGCTGCATGTGTTGTTGTTGTTGTTGCAACAACAGTGCTTGTTGTTGTTGTTTCAGCAGATTCAGCTGTTCCATTTGCTCCATCTCTCTCATCTTTTCTTGTTGTAGAAGCTTCATTTGAAGGTCTGCCTTCTCCATCAACTCGCTCTGCTTTGTCCTTGGTCTGTTCATAGTATTTTGTGGATTTGGAGACAATTGGGCTCTCTTCTCTCTCGGGGTGTCTAGAAGACCTCTCTGTTGTTGTCCCCTATTTCCTCTCTGTTGTACCATTGGCTTCTCCATGAAATTTTTCTGGTCTCTGCCTATATCCATTAGTCCTCTTGGCTCCATTGGAGTATCCATTAAGCTTCTTGGCTCCTTTCGGCTGTCCATTAAAGACCTTGGCGGCCTTGGTGGTTCAGGTATATCAATTATACTTGGAGGGTCCATTAAACCTCTTTGTTGATCTCTAGGATAGTCAAGTAGACCTTGTTGCTCAGTGTGCAAGTCAAGACCTGGTATTTCCATTAGACCACGACGGTCATGTACAGAGTCGATGAAACCGTGCTCCCTTTGCTGGTCTAAAAGTCCATGTTGATGCCTACTGGAGGGCCGACCCTGCTGATCTCTAGGTTGATTCATCATGCCTCTTTGCTCATCAGCATTCCTTAAAAGACCCCTTGGCTCAGCTGGAACCTCCAACAGACCTCTGACTTCATAACCGCCGGTCTGTCTCTGCCTCTGTGTCGGCTCTTGATGCCTCATTCCTTGCTCCTCGTGTCTAAAACCTCGCTCCTCAAACCCATAATCCAGTTCCTGGCCTCTACCTGAAGGATCTTGAAGCAGGCCTCTCTGTGTATTAGCCTGAGCTTGATACAAGTCCCTAGCTGGCTCATTGTTGTAACTGTAGCCATACCCGTCATCCTGACTTTCATACCGAACATCACCACCTTGGTCATAGGCACCAGCATTAGGATCTTCATACTCTTGACTGTACGCTCCCAGATTTTCCATGTAATCCCCGCCAGCTTCATTGTAATAGCCAATATCAGCTTGCTGTTCTAATCTCCCCCCTTGGTTATATCCTTGCCTATCTCTTAAATTAGGTTGATCTAGTAGACCCCCTCGCATGTTCGGCTGTTTTCTCATGCCACCAGCCAGGTCTGCTCTCTCCAGCAGTGAACGCGGCTGGTGCATTCTGTTTTCAGTTGGAGCCTTACCAAGCAAACCACCCCCTCCTATACCTGTAAATGTAAACATAAAATCTAGAATAAAAAAACTGTCATTTAAACAAAATGCCCGATTAGTTAAACTTCAAGTACAATTTTGCTTCTTGTTTTCAATGAAGTCTTATATATTGTAAATGGTACTACACAGCATTCAATTCATAACTGCACTCAATGTGTAGTGTATAATTGGATCTATCAAATAACTATTATTATGTATAACATGCCTTACCTAAAATCTACAATGCTTTTCATATCAAGCACATGCTTAATAAACAATATTTGGAAAGCAATTTTTCTACATGTAATAATGGGTTTTTTTGGTGTTGTTTTTTTTATTAACCACATATCCAACAAAATAAATGTTAAATTGAAATGATATTGGAAATTTGATAAAACGTGTGGTATATTCCATTCTTAGTTTTCAGAATTCGATTTCAGGATTTCCCCTTTTTCCGGTCAATCGTGCTATATTTTCCCCTTCTGACAGCCCCAGGTTATTTTGAAAGTTGAAAAAACAATGATTATATTTTGTTCTGGGACAATGTATCTGCTACATAAATGTATGTCATATTGGACAGGGCTCTTGTTTGGTAAAATTTGGGGCCGAATATGGGCCCCATTCCCCCATTAAAATAGTGTTTACCCCCCTAAAACTAAAAAAAAAAATCCCCCTTGAAAATAATATTTAATGGCCATAGATCAGGCATCACGTTTTTAAGTTGATATTTTATACAAAGTATCAACGATGTTTTCAATTTGATTAGAAATAACCAAAATATTTGATTACAGCAGCTTTTTGTTGATTAATATGTTAAATGAATCTTGTTTTTGCTTGTTTTTAATGAATTAATTTTCTTCTGTTGAAATTCCCCCTTGAATGAATAATATTTGAAAATCATGGCCTCAGTCTCAAGATGCTAACGAGAGCCCTGTTGGATCATTGTATCTCTTATTTTCCTAAAAAAATCCATTCATAATTGTTTCATAGTTTGTTGTCTTATTATATGATACAAAAATTTGAAAATACAGTCAAAATCAATCAACATCGACTTTGTGTGTTTTGACAAATGCTTGTAGATCAATGACTTACCTGGCATCATCCTCTTCATGCCGGGACCTTCACCAAGCAGACCAGAACCACCACCCACCTGTGGACCTCGAGGAGCACGATTATGCATCATCTTTAAACTATAATAACAATATAACAAACATTTAATCATTTGGATCACAATGCTGAGGTTATATATAAATAACTATTAATATATTGAAATTAGTTTATGATGAGTAAATAAGAACAAGAGCTGTCTGTAGGACAGCATGCTCGACTATTCTAAGTGCTTGATAGTAAAAGAGCCTTGATATTGTTAAATTTTTTAAGTTAACAAAAGGGCTAATTTTTCTTTATAAATTCATGTTATAGGCCTTAGAGAGAGTCTAATTATACAGAATTGGCTTGACTATTCGAAAGGTAATGTCACAAGGTTTTTTATTGAGTATAATAATACTAATTACCTATGAATACATAAATTTGACAGAAAAGGTACAAAGGCTTGTTATTAAGATGTTTTATCAAGTAAATCACTACTTTATTATTATGAATGCATAAAATTGTCCCAAAAAAGGCACCAAACCCTTTAGTAGTTATTGAGATAACAGCTTACAAGCAAAACTTTACCATGAATTTCTAAGTTGAAAAAGGGGGAGAAAAGTCAGCCTAAATGCAAGATAGAATTATGGATCTTTGTCAGTGACCTACAATTATGACCCTAAATGCATATGTGAAGTTTTACATAAATATCTTTAATAGTTATTGAGATATGTAAAACTTGCATGTAAACATTAACGAAGAGACTAAGTAGAAAAGGGGATATGAATCAGCCTTAATGCATGATAGAGTTATGGAACTTGGTCAGTGACATACAATTATGACCCTCCAATTATGACCCTAAGTGCATGTGTAAAGTTTCAAGTAAATATCTTTGAAGACCGTTAACCTTTAACCAAAATTTCTAAGTTTCAAAGGGGCAAATAATTCTGCAAATATTGCAGACAGAGTTATGCAATTTTGCAAACTGATGTACATTGTTACTATAAATAAGTATTTTAAATTTCAATTGATTATCTCAAGCAATAATTGAGATATTTGACTTTACAAAAAAACTTTAACCAAAATTTCTAAGTTCCAAAGGGGCATAATTCTGTCAATATGGTAGGCAGAGTTATCCAACTTGTCAATCTGATGTACATTGTTACTATAAATAAGTATTGTAAGTTTCAATTGAATATCTCAAGCAATAATTGCGATATTTGACTTTACAAAAAACTTTAACCAAAATTTCTAAGTTAAAAAGGGGCATAATTCTGTCAATATTGTAGGCAGAGTTATCCAACTTGTCAATATGATATACCTTGTTACTATAAATAAGTATTGTAAGTTTCAATTGAATATCTCAAGCAATAATTGAGATATTTGACTTTACAAAAAACTTTAACCAAAATTTCTAAGTTAAAAAGGGGCATAATTCTGTCAATATTGTAGGCAGAGTTATCCAACTTGTCAATCTGATGTACCTTGTTACTATAAATAAGTATTGTAAGTTTCAATTGAATATCTCAAGTAATAATTGAGATATTTGACATTACAAAAAACTTTAACCAACGCAGACGCCGACGCGGACGCTGACGCCGACGCCGACGCCGGGGCGACTACAATAGCTCTCATATTCTTCGAATAGTCGAGCTAAAAAGCAATTATCAAAGTATTGCAAGCAATAAATGAAGAATTTACAGTAAAGCTCAGTAAACAAGAGCACCACAAAGGCATCATGGTAATATATTCCACAATGTAAATTTGTCAAAAATAACCTTTCAATGAGATATTAGAGAAATTTACATAAAAACATTAACAGTCAGTTGATTTTTTTATATTATAGCACACAAATCATATTCTTTAAAGTTTCAACCCCCAAAATAATGTACAATATCAGCAAATATTTTCATTTAAATGTTTGACAGTCAAAGAATTCTAATGCAGTAGGCTGGAAAATATGGCAATGGAGTTTGACTTCCGGCGTTTCACTTTTGCCAGTTTAATACACAATGCAGATTAATATGCTAATTTAATTTGTTTTCTGATTTATTTCATCTGTTTTCTGATTTATTTCAATCATTTATTGTGTTTGCTACTGAAACAGTAACACTTGCACGGATTTTTTTGGCTTATTTTATAGCCCTTAATGGGTCATATTCCCAACTATAAATAGTATATTATTTTCCCAATCCACAGGAAAATATTCCTAATTGAAAGTTTTAAAATAGAAATATAGATTAAAGAATTCTAAAATCTTTGAAAATAAGGGCTTCTTCACTGTAATAGTGCTTCCATCCTAGACAATGACTGTATGCATTCATTTAATCACTGCTACATTTCAGTTATGCATTTTTTCCCAATTTTTAACAAAACATCCCTGAAATTCCTAATTCCATGGGTATGGGTCATGTTCCCAAAATCTTGTAACGGGGAATAGGATATGACTTTTAAATTCCGTGCTCAGTTTTTGTTAAACTGAAAAATTACCGGCAGCTTCATACATTTCTAATCAGCTGCCTGATCATTCTTATGTCTTTCAACTCAAAACAAAATCAAAAGAAGACACAGAAAATTAATTTCAGGTTTGTTTATTCATTAAATTCTGACATCCGAGTATTTCTCTGATAATTAAGGGATGTCAGGGAAATTAACGGATGACGCAATTATATCTCAATGCCTGAAGGCATGTTGCACGCAACATACGGTAATCTATAGACAGATTACAACCCCGGGTGATAACGACTGATCTAACAACAACATACTGGCAAACTTATAAGGAGAATCCTATTAATGTAAATCAAGCACATTTAATACGGGAAAGTCAAATGCCGGGACCGCAAGGCCCGGGCTTTAGCTTGCCCGGCTATAGACTACATGTGTATCCTTAAAAGAAACTCAAATTAAAAAGAATATAAAGAATTCTATACCTATCAATAAATTTTCAGTGTCAGTTCTTGTCGGGCACCACCTTTTTCAATGTAACTCAGTGATAATAGGCAGGGTATTCAGATAACAAAAAAAACGCAACTTTTCTGATTATTATAAACATTGACTATTCCAAGTGAAAATGGAAGTGGTGCATGAAATATCGAATAACACCTTTAAAAGGAAAAATGAACAATTTTTTTAAATCAACTTCCACGGTTATAGAGTCGATCCGGCTTACATCGGACATCGTCCTTTATCGGACACATTCACTCTGACGTAATTTTTAGAAGTTTTTCTCTACATATACACTGCTCTCCATGCTTTACTGGTTTCAGGTGATATACCGTAGAAAATACAAATCGAACTCGCCTTAAATGACGTAATTTTGTATCAGGTTTTTGATTGGTCAAAATAACCACTCTCTTTAATTCTACTTTCATTTTGACGTCACAGAAAATATCAGAGAACTCAAAAAATTCGGTACCTAGGGATCTTTATTTTTTTTATTTTGTTATCACTAAGAATTTAATGGAATAACTTCATAGCGATTAAATGTGCACAATAAATCCGTCTGATATTACCCTCACGGAAAAAGCACTCTTATTTTTGCTCACGGCTTACATCGGACAGTATGAAAATTCAGTAAATGTTTGATTAAAGTCTAAATACGTCCACACTTAAGACATCATATTCTAGCCAACAGACTTTCTAAAAAATAAAATCTATATTGATGTATGAGCTCTGTTTTGCAAAAACATTATTTAATATTGTAACACAAATCATTCTTTTAAAAAACCTAGCTCTGAATTTCATTTAAGGAGGCAGACAGCAGCCCATTTGTCGGCGTAAAATAAGATTCGAGCGGTAAAAAGAAACAAGAGGGCCATGATGGCCCTGAGGTCGCTCACCTGTATTTAGGAGCGGGGCTAGTTTAAACCCCAGGGCTTTAATTTGAACAAACTTGGAAGACACTCATCAGAAGATGTTTCATGATGTTAAGTTTTTACTACACACATATAATGAAAAACAATGACCTCCCCCCCCTGCCCACCCCTTTGGCAGGGCCAATTTTAACCCAAGGGCTTTTATTTGAACAAACTTGGTAGACACCCACAAAAAGATGTTTTCTGCAATCTAACCTCTAGTTCACTGGGATTTTTAAAAGAAGATTTTTTAAGTTTTTACTATACACATATAGTTAAAAAAAACACTGACACCTCTGGGGCGGGGCCAGTTTTAGCCCCAGGGCTATTATTTGAACAAACTTTGTAGACACTCACTAGAAGATGTTTCATGCTTAATATCTAAACTCTAGCTATTTGGGTTTTTCAAAGAAGATTTTTAAGTTTTTGCCATACACATATAAGGAAAATCAATGACCCCCAGGGCGGGGCCAATTTTGACCCCAGGGCTTTTATTTGAACAAACTTTGTAGACACTAACTAGAAGATGTTTCATGCATAATATCTAAACTCTAGCTATTTGGGTTATTTCAAAGAATATTTTTAAGTTTTTGCCATACACATATAAGGAAAATCAATGACCCCCCAAGGCGGGGCCAATTTTGACCCAAGGGCTTTTATTTGAACAAACTTTGTAGACACTCACTAGAAGATATTTCATGCTTAACAGGGATAAAAACTAACCATTTAAGCTTGGTGGCCACCTGGGCCACTGACTGTAAAATTTTGGTGGCCCAGTAAATATATTAGTGGACCAACAATTTATGAACGGAAACGGGGCTAGCACTGGCAAAAAATTTTTAGCCAATTTTTTAGCAGCGAAAATTGCGTGCCTATATTTTATTTTCAAATAAGGCAAAATGGTTCGGCATGAGGTACATTGTATTTAGAAAAAACATAAACTATATTGTCCATTTTTATTTTGGTACCTACATTTTTTATCACATTAACACATCAAACTTATATAATTTACAGTCAATAATCATAAAAGCTTCCAGCTCAGTAGCTATAACATTTGCCTGGTTAAAACTTAAGTCAGTGGCATGACAGTAACAGCAGAGACACATTCCAATGTGCTGCTTCAGCTGGCTTGGTTAATGACAAAGATTTGGCTTGAAGAATATCTGTATCTGAAATAATACAGAAGAAACAAGTTTGAAAGTAAGAAGAGTGAAGAAAATAATATTAAAAAATTCTAAACTAAAGATAATTCAGGAATAAAATCACAAACATGTACTACTGTCATTATAAGTGTACAGGAATCAGTATAAGTTACCTGAAGGCATTTTGTATGCTTCTTAACTGAATCTTTCTTTAATATTTCACAGTCATAAGCCATTTATAAATTAATACTTCTGCAAGAGCTTTAGGGGTTACAAACTTAAATTTGATTTTAATCCAAATCAAGGTCAATCTTTTTTCCCAGGAATTCTCTGTAAAGCCAAATGTCAAATAAATTCCTTGTAAAGGCAAAATTAGGTCAGAATTAAATGGCAATTTAATTCCCCCCTCCCTCAAAAAATATAAAAATGAAAAGAAAAACAAAACACAAACATAAAAACAACCATTACTCTTAACTAATAACTTCTTTGATCTGTTTATCAACAACGATAAGATTTACTGAATTCAAACTTACCGTCAACAGGTCAAGTTGTCAACTGCAGAACATAATTTGTCGCTTTTTCATACCCAAGTAATCTTGGGATGCCGCTACTTATTGTTTCATATTAAATATTAAGACCCAATTTTTCAATGCATATTCAACAATCTGCCAGGTATGTTCACGACAATTAGTGTGATGTAAACAAACGGTGAGGGCAAGTGTATTAGACTGTGTTACTGTTCATATCGATATTTAATTCGGAAGGTAAGTTAAAAATATAAACCAGTCAATGACCCACAAGAAGTAGACTGTGTCGCTGTGTTTTGAGATAAGAAGCGGTAAAGCGGAAATTAAAAATGGAAAACCAAATGTGTACTTTTCCATTCTTAAAATAGCAAATGCTAAATTTAGACTGGAGATTCCAAAAGTCATACTTTTTGTAAGTTTGAGCCAATCGTGATTTTCTTGAGCCAATTAAATAATTCTGGAGCCAATTTGCTCATTTGCTCGTGAGTTGATTTAATGGTGGATATTATTATTAATTTAATCTACGGCCGATTTTTTTAGTCGCCGACTGGACGACTATTTTGAAATTTTTGGTAGTCCAATTACAAATTAAGTCGCCGTGGGCGACCGCTAATTTTCAGCCCTGCTTAATATCTAAACTCTAGCTATTTGGGTTTTTCAAAAAAGATTTTTAAGTTTTTGCCATACACATATAAGGAAAATCAATGAGCCCCAGGGCGGGGCCAATTTTGACCCCAGGGCTTTTATTTTAACAAACTTTGTAGACACTCACTAGAAGATGTTTCATGCTTAATATCTAAACTCTAGCTATTTGGATTCTTTAAAAGAAGATTTTTTAAGTTTTTGCTATACAGTCATATAAGGAAAATCAATGACCCCCAGGGCAGGGCCAATTTTGACCCCAGGGCTTTTATTTGAACAAACTTTGTAGACACCCATTAGAACATGTTTCATACTAAATATCTAAGCTTTAGCTCTTTGGGTTCTTTAAAAGAAGATTTTTTAAGTTTTTACTATATGCATATAGGGAAAATCAATGACCCCCTGGGGCGGGGCCAATTTTGACGCAAAGGCTTTTATTTGAACAAACTTGGTAGACACTTATTAGAAGATGTTTCATGCTATATATCTTAGCTCTAGCTCTATGGGTTCTTTAAAAGAAGATTTTTAAGTTTTTACTATATGCATATAGGGAAAATCAATGACCCCCTGGGGCGGGGCCAATTTTGACCCCAGGGCTTTTATTTTAACAAACTTGGTAGACGCTTACTAGATGATGTTTCATGCTAAATATCTTAGCTCTTTGGGTTCTTTAAAAGAAAATTTTTTAGTTTTTACTATATGTATATAGGGAAAATCAATGACCCCCCTTGGGCGGGGCCAATTTTGACCCCAGGGCTTTTATTTGAACAAACTTGGTAGACACTTACTAGAAGATGTTTAATGCCAAATATCTAAGCTCTAGCTCTTTGGGTTTTTTAAAAGAAGATATTAAAAGTTTTTTCTTTCGGTTGCCATGGCAACCAGAGTTCTGCATGGAATTAAATTCTTTGAACAATTTTTAAAGGTGACCACCAAAGGAACATTCCTGTGAAGTTTGGATGAAATTGGCTAAGTGGTTTATGAGGAGATGTCATTTGAAGCAAAAGTTTACGGAGGCCGGACGGACGCCGGACGAAAAGCGATCACAAAAGCTCACCCTGTCACTTTGTGACAGATGAGCTAAAAAGAATCGGTCATCGGCCATGAAAGACTGACTGTCTACCACGCAATTTTTATGAATTTATTCATATTAAACCTATACACTCATTCAGTATCCTCTATCGCATTTGCGTATATTTCTTGGGTTAGACGGTAACAGGATGCTTGTATTCCGAAATTTCAAGAAATCGGGAGGAATACCTGCGGACTCCGTTGGGATCCCTAAAAAAATACAATGCAATTTGAAAAAATATTCTTAATTGAAAGCCTGTTTATTTTTTTGTCTGAAACCTTAATTATTTTAAAAAACTTAACCCTGTCCGATAATCCCCGAACAGAAATTGTATGACCGATGATCCCCGCCTTTAGTGTCCGATACAAAGCTCTTCTGTCCGATTCAAGACGCTTTTAATTCAGAACACTTTAGCCCTATTACTATACACATAACATCGAGATATGTAGATTAGAAGCGGTAGAATGCTTTCTGCAAGAACGGTTTATGTACCGGGTGAAACGGAACAAAGAGGAGATTACTATCAACTCAATTATAGCCCGCTTCGTCCGGAGGTGTCTGATAATTGCAGGATCTACTCAGGCTTTGCCTAATTTAATATTACATGTATGACTAAACTTAATTATCAATTAACATGCTTTAATTCTCATCTGCCACATTCGAACCAATCAGGGTTAACAATTTTACAGCTTTAACACCCAATAATTTAAATTATTCTGGAAAGTCAAAGGCCGAGACTGCGAAAAAAAAATAACAAAAAAATAGCTGCAGACATATTCTATAGTCTAGTCAGGTACTGTTACTTCAATACTGTTTATGGAAACGGACCATGGAAACAACCTCGAATGTGAATAAACTGCATGGCATTTGTATACAAGTGAATTTGACTAAATCTTAGAGTACTAGGATAATTTAACCGAGACAAAATATATCTTTGCACCGTTACTTAAACATTTTTGCTTGTTTCGTTACAAATAATCGGCTTTGAAAAGAAATTAAACTAAATTCTTTTATGCAAATGTTTAGTTTATAAACTTATTGTAACTATTTTTAACCTTTTTCACATCAAGTATACGTTGAACGCAGGATTTCCAACTAAACACGATTCGCCAAATTTGTCCCCACGAATTATTCTAGGTTAACAATTTTATGTAAACGAAAAATCATTTTCACTACGTGCACCAGGATTTTCATATGATGAGAAGTTTTAATTGCAATATTATTTGTTTTTATTCATTTTCTAAGTAAAACTTTATTTAAGTAAAGAATTGGATAAAGAAAGCAAAATGCTTGATTAATTCGTTTTGACATTTGTGTCCGATTTGTATTTTTTACTTTCAGTTCGACCAATCAAATTGTCGTTTCTAAAAAGTATGGGAAAAATCCTTCCGGTTCATTCATAGTTTTGGACGATGCGGCTGGTGGATTGTAAACAAAAAGCGACAAAACGAAAATGACAAGCATTGGCGTGAATGGCTCGTCCTCGTCTACTGATGGGCTCCCGAAACAGTTCGTGACGTCTTTGAGGATTCTATTCGATATATTAGACGAAGAGCGAACAGGTTATGTTCGTTTACGCGACATTGAAAGCCGTTGGCATGAGGAAGGAGTTTCAGGATTACCTAGCGGAGTTATTGACACTCTCAGGAAAGTGGCACCAAGAAATGGGAGACTTACCTTCGAGAATTTTGTAACTGGTTTAAAGTTATCTCTGTTGAAGAACACTGGTGCAAATTTTAAGCAAGATACTAGTCAAAGGAGACGTGAAATTCCTCAACAAAATACCCACAAGCAAGGGCCAGGGGCAGGGAATGTAAATTTGCAAACAGACAATTTAAGGCCTGCACAACCACCAGACTATGAGAACATTGTACCAACTGAAAGAATGCGGGCCGATAGAATCTTGCCAAATCAGAGTGTGTACAGCGGGCATAGAACCCGTCCCAAAATGGGCAGTCAGGTGATAAGTTCAAATACCTCTGGACCAAATACAGCAACTGTTCGACCAAATAATGTTTTACAGTCACAGAACATTGAGTTGAGGAATCAGATTTACACTCGAGACCAAACCCAGCAGGCTGCAGTGAAAACTCATGTTAAACCAGAACATTCACGGATATCTGATGATAGAAATCAGAATGTGAGACCATCCTCATTCCATCCAAGACATAGTACAGATGGAAACCAGGTTAGAAAGGAACACACTAAAATACCATATAGACCTAAAAGTGCTCTTGCAGAGTTACAAAGACCAAAGGAAGTTAATTTTAGCGATGTGCCTGTATCTAGACCAGATCGCCCACCTCCATACCGTAGACCTCAGGAAAGAGAATCTGATGCTGCTCCAGTCCTGCCTCCTAAAGATATGAATGGACGTATAATGAATGAGCTGAAAAACTGGCAAAAGGATCAGCAGATATCCCCACCTGGTCACAGAGGAAAATTACACACAGTACACAGTGATTCCAAACTTTCTGATCAGAAGAAGCATGAAATCTATGGTAAGGTCTTTTTCAGCAGGGCTGGTAAAATCTGATTTTGATTTCCTTGTATGTTTTATCAGAAGTATTTCATTACTTGTTTGTTTGATATTTTTAGAATTAAATTCCTAGAAATTCTCACTTGTCCGCACAAACTGTAGGCCAAGTCACTTACAGAGATGTTGGTAATTACTGCTTAGTTCTGTATTCAGGAAAGCTTGTTAGTTTGGTTACACATCAGTGATTTTTCTACTTATATAACAGACTCCGAAAAAAGGCCTCTTCCCAATTGAAATTTTGTTTAAAATCATGCAGTTTTCCCAAAAATCTGAACTTAAACCAGCTTTTTTACTTCCCAAATCAGCAATTTTAGCGATAATTTTTCCCAAAATCAAGAGGCTCAGGCCTCTTCCCAATTAAGTGAGAAAAATCACTGCACATAGGTAATTGAATGCAAATTTTCAAAAAATTTCAGTACTAAAATGTCCTGACTCCTTCTGACACTATGGTATAGGCATACTAACACAAACTTATATAATGTAAGTTGTAACTTAAAAATATTACTCCTTCAGTTCACTGTAAATGTTTTATCAAATTCTTAAAACTCCCATACTTTAGTTCTTTAAATATCATTTTTTAAATAGTAAATCTTCATATTAAAAATAAATTATAGTTACAGTCCCCATTCTTTTCTTTTCAAAGAAATAAGGGGGATATAGAAATGGGTTCTGTCCGTCCGTCCCTCTACCACACTTTGTATTTGGTCCATAACACAGCCATTCTTAAAGGGATTCTGAAATAACTTGGCACAAATGCTCTGCACCATGGTAAGACCCTATGTCATTAGCAACACCTAGACCCAACCTCCGTCAAGCTCACACTCAGAGGTCAAAGTAGAACATGGTCTCGTCTGTTAATTATAGGTCCTCAAATTTTGTGTCCTATGCACATCTTTTCTATTGATCAAGGATTTTGAAATGCATGTAACAATTGTAACTTGGCACAAATATTTACCATAATAAAATGCCATGTCATGCATTTGAACACCCAGATCTTGACCTGCAAGATCAATTTCACATTTGGAGATCAAAGGTCAACATAGGTTGATGGAGGGGTATTTTTCTTGTACAATCCATAACTTTTTCATCTATTAAATGTTTTTGAAATAAAATTGCACAAAAATTTCACTATTTATTAAGACAATATAAGACTCCTTGCCACCATGATGAAGGTCACACTTAATAGACTGGCCAAAGCTGAACATGGTCTGTGATTTCCTTGTCCAGATAATATAAACTCAGAAAGCATTTTGGAGATTCCAACTAAATGGAAAACAGTCATGGGGTTTTTACATAATATAACACAGGCGTATGTAAGGCCTTTGTAAGAGAAATTTCCTTAAAGAACAATTCAATGTGAAGTGTTCCAAAAAAATTCTTACTTACATTTATAAGCTTTTTTTCTTTCCCAAACCAGCAATTTGAGTGACAATTCTTCCCCAAAATCAAAGGGGCTTTGGCATCTTTCAAATTAAGAGAGAGGAACCCCTTATGTTATGTGGGAGGGAGTGCATGATCTTTACATGCAACAAAAATAAAATGAAATATAAATTAAAATATGTGTAGAAGAGTGTTGTTTTCATTAAAAATATTTTGTAATTTGCATGATCTACTAAAACCTTTTTTTTTCTCTTATTACAGCGCCTTATGTCCTTCATTCAGCATTGAATATTTAAGCAAAAATAAAGCAAACAGCTGTATAGATTATTGCTATTCTTTAATATAAAAAAACATAGATCTTGGGTCTAAGATATTGATTTCTGTGCTAAACAAGCTCCTTCATAGTAATAAAGTGCCACCATGTGGTAACATATTGCAATTCAGACATACTTCAATGGGTTTTACCCACAGACATTTGGGGTTTGGAGCTCAAAACGCCTTTAAAATCCAAATAAAATGCATATTTGTCAATCCCAGCACATGTACTGATCATATATATCAAAAAAACTTAATATAAGCCGTTTTGAAAACATTTCATATTTCAACATCTATAATTATAGATGTTGAAATATGAAATGTTTTCAAAACGGCTTATATTAAGTTTTTTTGATATATATGATCAGTACATGTGCTGGGATTGACAAATATGCATTTTATTTGGATTTTAAAGGCGTTTTGAGCTCCAAACCCCAAATGTCTGTGGTTTTACCTGTTTTTAATACATCAATTCTATTGATTTGTGGTCCAAAAAAAGGTAATTAAGTCAACAGCCTTTAGAAGTAATCAATAGGGTTTTTGTAATGGTTTTATAGTTTTACATTTTGTAAGTTGTTTTTTTTCCACTTGATTGGGAAGAGGCCTTTAAGTCTCTTGATTTTGGGGGAAAATATTGTTAAAATTGCTAATTTGGGGTGTAACCTGGGAAAACTGCATGATTTTAAAGAAAATTACCATCAATTTTAATTTGTGAATTTTTTACTCTCTGTAACGACTGTTAAAAATTGGAATGAACATCATCAACATGATCAAATATCACATGTACATGTATATTCCTTTACTAACCATTAAAATTAATAATGGAAATTAAAGTCATATTAAGGTCAATTTAGCCCTGAATTGAACATCACAAAATAAATTAATTAAATAAAATACTCAAATAGTGACCTGCATTGTAATGGGAAAAAAACATTGTTGATATGTTTTGTTATTTTGTTTCTTGTCATGTTTTTTTTTATTTTATATTTTTTTTTAATTATTTTCCTTTATACTTATAATACATTATTCTAATAAATAGAATGAATGAAGTCTCATATAATTTGTTGAAAATGAAGGCATGAAAATATGTTTGTAAAAGCCACCTGGTTAATTGTTTCCTGTTTAAACATATCAAGGGTATTTTTTGTGTGCAGAAAAAATTCTGACATTCAGAAGATCTTGTGTTGCAGACAACAAAAAGGATCAAACATTTGTTTGTTTTATGAACGATAGTGGATTACGATTAAATCTCTTCAAGTACAGTCTGTTGATTGAGTAAGACGTAGTTTATACGGCCTGCTAGTTTTGTTTGACACCCAAAATAATATCCATTATTTTTGGAAAGATGTCAACGATATTAGCTCCCCGTTATTGTACTAATTAGCTTTGTTATATTGCAACGGTTGTTTACAAACTTGTCTAACCTGTGGCCATTCACTGTTTGTCACAATAGATCTATTGTTAGGACACAAACTATTGGGAGCTCTATGTCGGTCATTCTCGTAATTTTATTATTAGTGCTGAAAACAGCAATTATGCTATTATTTTAAACATAATGATCAATTGATGTATTGAAAAAAGTATAAAAGTATTGATTTTACAGCATGTAAATTAATGATAAAGGTCAGATTATATGGTTTATATATAAAAATAAAATGTGGCAGTTTTTGTATAATAAAAATTTACAGTATTTACATGTAGCAAGCAAATTGATATAATAGAAGAGTCCAAAATCCTAAAAGCATCATAAAGTTTGAAAATCTTACATTGATCAACTGAGGCACTTAAAATTGAATATTTATAAAGATGATGATAAAGAAATATATAAATTTAACATATGATTTTGTAATAAGTTTTATTACATGTATATCCTTGTTTAAATTCCATTAATTTGAAATTAAAATTTCAAGGACGTCAGGTAGCTTTATAAAATTGCAACTTAATCATTTGATACCATTTTATAATGAAAAAAGTTTTTTTCTCTCTTGTATTGAGCATGTGTCAGATGTTATCACTCCTTTGAAGTTTAATAGTGATCAGACTTTTCAATGATCAAGGTGATACAAGTGTTTAAGTCAATGATCCATGTGACAAGACGCTTATTGCCGTGATAAGAGGCGCACAGCCTTACTTGTTTTCAGTCGTTGGTGAAATGTCAGGCCCTTGCAATTGAATGTATAGATTTGGTGTGATAAATGGATATGGTACAAAATGACTTTGAAGTACAAAGATGTAAAATAGATACTTCAATTTATAGAATGAAGTCTATCCAGTCATTAGTTATACATATATTTGTCACTCTTTTTAGATATATGCATTTAATTTTCTTGTTTTAAATGTATTTGTTTGTCATTTTGTTTTATCCGAGAAAGCGCATACTTGTAAATTCAATCTAATTGATATCAATTTTTACAATATAATCTAATTGATATCAATTTTTACAATATATTGCATTGTGCATTTCGAGAATCTCAGATAAGCATTATACATGATTGAATATGTACAACATTTTGTTAAAAAAACTTTAACCCATTATAGTCTGCCGGAACCAAAAGTCATGATAAGCCATTGCCGCCAGTATAGAGCCAGGCCAGGGTTGACTTAAATTTTTGTGTAGTCTGATCAGGCTTTATATTGTAATCTTACCAATCTCAATGCTACATGTATCCCAAAATTTGGTAAAGAGTAGTTACAGTCCCAAAAATAGAAACTGGACATAAGTCCCATTTAGAAGATTCTGCTGCTAGGGGAATGGTTTAAAGAGTTAAGATATGTGAAATTTTGCTGTACCAGAATTCGATTAATTAGCCCTATAAAGATCCCAATTTGGTTACAGACAGCATAATTATCTCCTCTGTAGTGGTAAACAAGATTTTAAAACAAAAAGTTTGCAAAATATTATCTTACTATGTTTATCCACTCTACAATATTTCACAGGATTTATATTGATATGTTATAAAACCTTTTTACTTATTTCCTGATCTTTAATTTGTCACCTGCCAGGCTTTATATTTCAACATTTTAAGAATATCACCATCATCATTTATACTGTAGAGATGAAAAAAGGGTCTTGAAAATACAAATTTTAGAGTAACTTAAATAGAACCTGCAGCATATATAATAAATAAAAATATCTTCTATTGGTAGACTCTGTATTCATATTTCCTTGCATAAGTAATTTTTAAGGGATTCGCTTTAGAACGTAAATACTTTTTCAAAGAAAATTAACAATGTTTTTAATGCAGAGTCTGAGACAGTGACTGACAATTTGAGGGTTGATTGCAAAACTGCATTAACTTACATGAAAAAAGAAGGACTTACAACTGTTTTGCAATTAAATCTTGAAATTGGGAAATTATATTTTAAAAAAATTTGCATTTGGAATGCCTAATTGTTTTACTGCTAGTAAATATATAAAGAAGATCTGCTAATGTTTTAAATAAACAAATAACTAAAGTAGTGCATTATAAAAGGTCTCATGAAAGAGAAACACCTGTTGGTATTGAATGAATGTCATTTTATGGTAAAAGTTAAATTGCACTCTGGAGTATTTTATGCTGACATTTAAGTCAATTAATATTGGCAACTGTGATTTTGATAAAGTGCATATTGACTTAATTATTTTGATTAAAACAGCATAGGTAGTGTATAAACTCTGACTGACAGTTCTGTATTGTTTTGTTACAGTTTCTTAAGGTTTTGGGGCACAAATTATAGAAAATATCCATACAACAGTCAAACCTGTTTACAGAGGCCATCCAAGGAAGAAAACAGATATGAGCCGCATCATGACAAAACCAACATAGTGCGTGTGTGACCAGCATGGATCCAGACCAGCCTGCGCATCCGTGCAGTCTGATCAGGATCCATGCTGTTCGCTATCAGTTTCTCTACTTAAAATATGGTTTGTAAGCGAACAGCATGGATCCTGATCAGACTGCGCGGATGCGCAGGCTGGTTTGGATCCATGCTGGTCGCTAACGCATAATAATAATAATAAAGGCTTTATTTAACGAGGCTGCATATTCGCCAAAACGATCTTCCATCTCAACATATTTACAACATATCTACATCAAACAATTATACAAAAGACAATGTAATATTATAAAACATGGTATTAACTAGTTATAAATGCAATGACAAACTAAACATGAATATTAACCATTAACAATGAAAACTGCAGTAAACATAATTATACAAACATAATACTTTGGTATTACGCATAACGTTAGTATTTCGAAACGCGGCTCATATGTACTCTATAAACAAGTGGTCTTTATTTGGGGATAACATTGTTCTTTATAGTAAATAAAGAGTTGTCACAGAGTGGCCTTAATTTACAGGGTGATCTTTATTCAGAGAAGGTCTTTATTACAGGTTTGACTGTTATTGTAACAAAGGTCTGCCTCACAATAAAATCATATCCTGGCCTGTATTTTATGAAAGAAAAATGTACTAGGCCTGTATTTTTATGAACGAAAAAAATACTTTGGCTGTATTTTTTGAAAGGTTTTTTAAAACCAAATATCAATTTTGTTTCCAGCCTTTAACCAAAAATAAGATAAAAAATACCATAACAAAATGAATGAATCAAATACATTAGTTTTTATCCCAAAAAGGGGAATCTGCGTAGATATGTAATTGTCAAATAGATTATGATGGGTATACCTGTATTTAAAAGTCAAACAGATTGTGTTGGTGAATTGGAGCTGCCATTTTGTTAGCAAATTGTATTTAGTGGCTGTATTTGAATATGCAAAATTGTTATGGATTCTTGTCTCTCTTGCCAAAAAGCATGTGAATAATTATGAACAGTTTCTTTTCTTTTTTCCTTCAAATTTCCTAAAAAATTTCAAATGTAACATTTGATATCAACAAAGAAATCTGCCAATGTTATGAGCATTATGAATAGCTTGATAGTTTGTCTCAGTTGACTGAAATTTTCTATACTGTAAGAGGTTTTAATTATCTTGTTTAACCAATATCTGAGGTGATTTGATTGTGTCCGTCAACATACAAGATTAAGAAACTTTGATATATTTTGTTTACTTGATAAAAGATACATAGTCACAATGTAGCTGGTATAAGTGGGTATGAAATGACAGTAAAATCTACTTCAATAGGGTAACTTGTATTAAAAACGAGTGAATAAAGATTTTTATCTTTTATAAATCCCACTGTAATTGTCTGGTGTAAAATAAGATTTAATTTCCATGACAATATATTTGATCTTGCGGTGATAATTTACCTTCAAAGCCTTGCTGTTAATAAAATCATAATTGACGCGAATCGCACAAAAAATAATAATTTTTTTTTTCATTTTTATTTAATTCAAAACAAGATTTTCACAGTTCAGTAAGTTTTGATGACTAAGTAAAAAATATGCCTTTTATTTTGAAAAAATGTGAAGTCTGTTATCTATATTTGTCTGTCTCATTTTGAATTTGCGGTTTTGTACAATTTAGGTCAAAATTTCAAACAAACCAATCAGATTATTTCTTTTTTGAATGATTCATTTTTAAATAAATAGTTATATTTGTTTAAATTGCTTAAGATTTGAAAACTGTTTAAGTAGCAAAAATGTGTTGACATCTTTAGAAAGTTTATTATAATTTTATCTCATAACCAGTTTGTTAAACTGATTAAAACTTAAAAGATATATTTTTGAAAATATCTCCCTATTTTCATCACATGTTAAACTTTTTTAAACTTAAAAGATATATATTTTTGATATTTCCCGATTTTCACCTTAATTATGCTCTCTCATTTCTACATTAATGATTTAAGGAAATAAAAGTCTGTAAACCTTATAATAACTTTGTTAATGAATGCAATTTGAAGACAAGCTAAAAAATATATAGATATATATTGTACAAACTCAGTCTTGTGAAAATGTCTCACAACATTAAATACAATCTTTTGTTAACCCTAAATAACAAGCTAGATATCTTTAATGTACTTGTCCACCACCTCTCAACCGATTTATTTTTCCAGAGACTTACAAAAAATTGTATAATTCTTGTTAATCATATGAGTTTATTTATTTTATTGGATGTCATTTGGATGCATTAGCGCCAGCGATCGCCCCTATGGCATTATGAATAATCGCTTACTATGGTAAAAAAACTTTGACACTGGACAAAATAGGTCCAAGACTTTGTCATGGTATTTAAGAAATCATAATTACCCTTTCTAATTTAAAACTGAGACTGGCCATTTAACTACTAAAATTTCAATCCTTTTTTTATTTTTTTCCAGTAAATATTGATCAAATACGAAAACATGAAGCTAGTCAACAGGGGGCACCAGCAGGTACAGGAGGAACCAGAAAACCGGTAATACGGCAAAATTCTAGACGACATACCCTCTCAAGTGGAATAGACTATAATGTGGTACAGTATTTTATTATTCGTAGCTACTTCGTAATACATTATAGTTTACATATTCTGATATAAGATTTAGTTATTAAGATCATGGGTACATATAACTAAGGATCAGTTTTTTAATATTTCTGTATTGTGTTTTATCATGTTTATTTAGATTTGATACCATATTATGCAGACTCTGTTTGATTGAGTCTGTTCACGAAAAATAATCTCTCAATAATCAACATCTCTCAAGCCTTTGAGGGCCTAACAACAGCTTAATTCAATTCTTCAACACTAATATGCTGGAATCAATGTTCTCAAAGGACCTAAAAAATATCAACACAAATTTGGATGCAGAACTTGTGCTATTTTATCAGACATGGATTAAGCTGAAAATTTTCAGATAAATTTGGGATTTGTAGAGAAGTCCCAACTATGTTATCTTTTATGAATTTATTTACAGTTTCTCTTTCAACAGTCTATAGAGATGCATTATTTACCTAATTTTCAAATATTATCAATATGCAGACATGTACTACTGGCCCTCTCCTTCACCAAATTCAATCAACCAGGTAATTTTAGCTCTTGAAATAATTCTGGGAAAATCTCTCTTAAACTTGAAAAGTTTTTGTGAAACACTTTAAAAAGTGTTTGTGTAACCTGACAAGTGCTAAAATAATAAAAGAAAGAGTATAATGTACGACCCCCACATACCTATGACAAGGGGAATAAAGGTATAGATGCTTTGTAACTATTATCTTACAGGCAGCATCAGTTTCTACCCATACAACCAGTGCCGTCTTATCATGGTCTGCACCGTTCATTATTCCATCATTACAAATTGAAAAAAAAATTCACAAAAAATGATAAATGGTTAAGTCCAGATTGAAAGATGGATGAGTCCATTTATGTATATAGTGAGATAAGGCTTAAAAAATGTTTTCGGCTATTTATAGATTCGGAGGATGAAGCAGCTAGAACAAGAGAAGGACGTGTTGTTACAGGGTCTCGAGGTCGTAGAACGAGCCAGAGACTGGTATCATAAACAGATCTCAGTCGTCACCGACAAACAAAACTATGCTGAAAAAACATCCTGCAGTGTGAGTAGTGTTTGAATGTTATTCTATAAGCAATATTTATTAATATTTGTGAATTCATATGCAAATTTTACTCATCACTTCTACACTTAGAGTTGAGTGAGAATTTGGATTAATAAAGATTACAGTAAAATGTGGATTAACATCTCCTAATGGGTGTCTACCAAAATTGTTCAAATAAAAACCCTTGGGTTAAAATTGGCCCTACCCCAGGGGCGTATATACAGGTGGGCAATTTCAGGGCCATCATGGCCCTCTTGTTTGGTAAAAAATTATTGTTTGTTTCTCTAAATGTATCAAAGCATATTGATTTGATGGTTACCATCCACTTAATTCTGTGCTGTTTACATCCACTTTAATTCAATGTTTATTATTATATGTCGTAACTTTAGTGCAATAACTGGTTAACTCCTAATAGAAGGATTTAACCTGCTACTGCACTTATGTGACGGTATATTAAATGATTATGTCATACAGTACTCATATTGACATTATTTCTGATTAAACAGGAGCAATGGTCTAGTGGTTAAGGTGTCTATCTATCAACACAGGGGCCATATGTTTGAGCTGTACAAGTGTTACTATTATATCTCCTCATACAACACCACTGACCAATACTGGTTTACTCAGAGTAGCGAACCCCAAGTCAGCTTTAATCTTAGTCACAACAAAGCATTAAAACATTTATTTCAACTATTTGTTTTCTATTAATTTACAGGATGTAACATTACAGTCACAACAAGAGAGGATGGACTTTGTACGCAGCAGAATTACAGATGTTAATATGAACCTGAAAACACTCATGCAGACTTCAGAATCCGTAAGAGTTTTTGGCCTTTTTCTAAGAATTTTTTTTTTCCCTTGTCCAGTATTGTGATCGAAAATGATGCTTTTTTCGTCTGCTTGCTTAAGCTGAATAGGGAGAGAATGAGATTTGTAATCCAGTATTCACTGGTACAATCCTCAGACAAGGTGAATCTTGATTGTGCTAATTAGACTGGGATATCGAATCTAAATGGTCATTTGTCTCTCACCAATAATTTAGGAATTAAGTGGGATTAGAACTTGCTCAAATGTAATAAGTAGTTGCTCACCTTGCTGAGAAATTGGTAATTACTGGTTAGTTATATCGAAAAGCCAGACAGTTGGGGTGACCACCTAGATATGACCAAAAAATTAATGTGTTAAAACAACATTAATGTAAATAAACAAAATTAATATTATTTTTCAAAGCATTGTAATTATGTTTTTGCATTTTAAAGCTGATTAATTTTTTCATTGAATAAAATACATGAAAGTCAATATGTAGTTATGAATAAATAATCTATGACCTTCCCGGATGTTGCTTAAGCCTGACCTCTAGACTGTTGTTTAAGCCTTAACTTCGGGATGTTGTTTAAGTCAGTTTTCTAGGTTATCGCTTAAGCCTATAAGTATGTGACACAGATTTTCAAACTTATTTATCTCTATGTTTTGTTTATTTATTGCTGCTAACTCTCTTTGGATAAATTGTTTTAGTCAGAGAAGAAGCATGCAAATGTTATTAAAAATAGATGATTAAAAATTAAATGTTCTGTTTTTTTACAGGGATTTCCAGCTCATATGAATCTTGCCATTAGAAGTAGTGCATTTCCTGATGATAAGGCAACGAAATGGCTCAAAGAGCAAAATAAACAGCTGACTCAGGTATGTTTATATAAATATAATATTGTATAATTCAATACTTGTATGAAGTGATACCAATTAAGGCTTAGATTTAGATACTGTATTATTACTCATCAATAGATGTTTTTGTTTGGTTTTATGGTGCAACAACACAATTTAGGTCATATGGTGCTGAAACAACAATTTGGCTAACCTCAGATCTATTCAAACTTAAATCACAAACAGGAGTCGAAACCATTTCACCTGCTGATGCTTAGAGATGCATAGACTCCAATAATTGGAACCAATTAAGTCACCTCTTATGATCACGCAGGAATAAATGATGATTGCAGTTCTTAAGCCTTAACCATTAAAGGCAACCCTTCAGCCACAAGGGGCTACCCATATGCAATAGATAGTAAGGAAATCTAGAACACATTCAATATGAAAATGTCATAGATTATTTATCAGGTTCATGGAGTTTCAGCAGTGTTTAGTTAAATTTTAGATATTTCCTTCATTTTTATTAACACTCAGTAATATCAAAATAAGACATTATTCAGTACAATTTCTTGTCTGTATAATTAATGTGTACATTGACTTCTTCAGCCAATCAAAGCAAGGCTTTCCAATGTATTTTCTTGTCTGTACATGCACATTGGCTATTAATACCTAAGCCATTCAAGCATACTGGTTTTGTATTTGTTATTTTCAGGAAGTGGGGTCAAAGAGTGACAGAATTACACAGCTAGAGAAAGAGAAGGCTAGTCTTATCCGAGATCTGTTTGAAGCCAGGTCAAAACATAAAACAAACTATGATGATACAACCTTCATGTGATATTACACGTTTCACACATTATATGTGTCTTCTTTTGTGTTAAGTGTGTGAAATGTATGTTACGAACAGACAGAAGATGCTCTTTGTATTTGAATGTTTAAGTGTTTGTAAACCACGGCATTGAAAACTTGATCAGATCCATTAACCCAATGGTGCCTTTCCTCAAGAAAATTGGAAACGGACATGTAGACAGTGCTATAGATATTCACCAAAATGAAGAATATAAAAGTGTCTACTGGAGTGCAGACCTTAAGTTGGACACAGTTAATAAAGCAATATTCCCAAAAAAGCCTAGCTTGACACCTTGTGTTTGGGGTTAAGCTATAATTGTGATTTTTGGAGGAAGTTTTGATATAATCAATTCTTTTTATTGCATTTATTTTTGTATTGTACTATAATCTATGCAAGCTAAAACTATATATTTCTAAGGCTTTAATTAGGCTTTTGAATAATGTTTTGATACATGTATTTTATAACTGAATAGCTATCCTTGAATTACATTAATTTTTTTTCAAGGAAAATAATTCATGGATATTATCACTAAGTTCTCAAAAAAAACATCAAGATAAAAAAGTATTTTTGTGATAACAATTGCCGTTTTTGGTGTGGTTTGAGTTTTTATCAAGGTTGTGGTAGGTGTTTTTTTCCGTCCAGTTTAGTTATAGGCCATTTGTTCTCCATTGCTGATTCATGTGTGGCAGTCGGAGAAATATACATGTAATTACACAATGCTTTTTAAAGCCTGGTAGATGAATGCCCATTTATCACTTAAGGTCTTTTAGAAATTGTGTGCGGCAAAAAAGAAACAAAAATATAAAAAATATATCTAAATCTGAAGATGTACAATAATTCTGCAGTATCTGAGAGAAACAAATCAAGCATTAAGAAATTTATGATAATCGCATTTTCACATAATATGCATGCTTAAAGGTAAAGGTGTTTCATAATAAGATATGTACATACAATTAAGTACTTAAACAGAATGGGGTTCATCTATGGCTGAGTTAGTAAGACTTTTTATCTTTTGCACCCCAACTGCTGTGGGTTCAAATCCTGTAATGGACTTGTATTTTTTCATGTGTGAAAAGTTATCAAGGTAGCTGTACTAGCTTACTGGTCAGTGGTTCTATTCAAATGCCTGCTTTATACAAAAATGTTATTATACAAAGAAGCACCTGAGATCTAACAGGACTTCTGGGAGGTAACCAGAGGGTCATTGTGACTTAAAAGCCAACCCAAAATATACCAACAGGAAAAATTAATGTACTGCAAGCTTGTGATATTTATTTATATTCATGCATTCCATAAATGAAATTTTCTATGAACTTATAATTTTATGTCTCTACTAAGGGTTGGGGGTTAGTGTATGGGATTGCCCTTGTCCATACATCACGCCAACTGACAAAACAGTGAATTGTGGGGCCATCCATGTTGATATGGATACATTTCTACTTTTTGTCATTATATTTATTGTAAATTTTTACTTTGCAGTTTTACATTATGATATATTGTTTATGCCAAAGAAACTATGTTGCTTTTTTTCTTGAGTTTTGGGTTTTTTTTTTTTTTTTTTTCATTTTGTACAAAAAAGAAACGACTGCTGTATTTAAAAGGAAATTTTTGATTTTGGAAAATATTTATTTTATAAACTAAAACTCTTACATTACTATTAATTACTTGAACTCTGAATTTCTTGAAGATGCTTACATATTGGAGGGAGTTTTTGGTAGCATGATCATATTGTCACCTTAGTGCAATAACAGGTTAACTGCTATTAAGTTATGTAAAGAGTTAGCCTGTTACTGCACTAAGTTGATGATATTAACTTGTTTTTATAAATATTATATACTTGTTGAACTCAATAGTTTTATAGAAGACTTATTTACTTGTTTACCCTCCTGCTAGCCCATGCCATTTTTAGTAGGGTAGGTAAGGATAGGTAAAATATCTTTATCGCAAATTTTTTTCCTATCTAAAATTTTATGAAATTCAAAAAAAAGTGTGAATGCTTAGCATCTGTTTTAAGTTTAGAACCAAAGTTTAATTATTTTTTTCAACATCTATCCCAGTATTTATTATTTACATTTCAATATAATTATGTAATAATTGGATTCTTATTGCCAGACCCCCCTTCAATGTTTAGTAAAAGGATTTTTTTTGTCTGGCAATAAATTTTTTGGGGTAGCTGTGATTTTCTGTGGTTAGGTAGTGGAAAGGAAAATAAGCAATATTTTAATATTGATAATGAAAATTACTTTTTGTTCAGAAAAAAATTGCATTATTTTGTAGTATATTTTATGGAAAATTTAATATATATTATTTTTGCTTTCGAGATTATATGCCATGTAAGTGTTCATGTGTAATGTGTACAGACTATATCAATATGTACATTTGTATGCAATTTATATCAGTATTTTATTAATCAGATGTTTTGATGTGTTGTGATTTCAAACTGGCCCATATGGCATACAGGAATCAATTCCAGCATAGTTTTTAATCATATACAAATGTATGTATAAAATATTTTGAGAGAATTAATATTTGGATTGTAGGGGGTTTAGGGGAAGAAGGTTTTGATTGTTAATGTGATATCCTTATGAACAACATTGGCTATTAAGCCAAAAAAAAAATAGTTTCAAGGTTATAGGTTAAAATTGAATTACTTGCAGTTAGAATCATCAAGTTATATTAGATCCCATAGAGTGTTAATATCTTAGTATTAATTTGAAGAGTTTATTTTTACGTGTATTGTACTTACCCTGGTGTTGGTGTCAGCGTCAAACTTTGGTTAATTAAGTTTCTGCATGCAAGTTAACAGCTTTAAAAATTTTGAAGATGAACTTCATACACTTGTTTAACATTGATTGGGACAGGTAGGTCCCATAATTCTGAATTACCTCTTTACCGAGTTATACCCCTTTTCTTAATGATAAGCTCCAAGAATAGTTAGCTCGCTGTCCTACCGATAGCTTGTGTTTAATATATAATTCTAAAACAATTTATACAACCTATCACTGTTTTCTAGTATATTTCTGGTTTAAGACACTGTAGAATAAAATATAGCCCATATCTGACAGCATGTGGGAACTTTCCCATGTAACATCGACTGTTGATGAAAATAGAACTATTGTTTTTACAATGTAATTTAGTCACATCTGCATTTCCTACCAATCCAAATATAAGTGTTTGTACATGTTAAATAAATGTGCTAAATAATCAGTAAAATTGTTATACAACTAATAATTTTTTTTAACTTGTTCAAACACTTAAGTAACTAATGTACAATGTATTTTGAGCACAGTTGAGTAGAAATATAATATATTCTCAACAAATGTTAATAATATTTTCTTTTTGGCACCAGGAAATCTAAAGATTATTGATGTTCAAAGTATTTTCTTTAATACAATGTATTCCATTGCAACCAGATCTCATGTAGCTTTGTTGCATTAATTGTTTGTATCAACATTACCAATGTATATTCTTAATAACGCTTTAATTTTTATACTCAAACAAGATCTGATTAGTATTTTGATCTGATATATGTTATTTTTTTATCTTTTTTTCTGTACCAACCTGATAATTTATCTTTGTCTCATAATATATTTTAGTTTTATAAAGTTTTGTGTCCAGTTATATGGCCCATTATAATACTGCACGTTTGTAATGTCGCTTTTCATTGGATAATCGTGACGTTTATATAGTTTTATATACACGGCTGCTGTCGATTTGTAAAGAAATCTTGCTTTATTCCTCTAAAAAAGATGTTTTAAATATTCAGACAGGTTATATGGCTGTATATAAACGGTTGTTTGCAATATAACCCTCGCCTAGCGGCTCGGGTTATATTTACAAACAACTATTTATATAGGGCCATATAACCTGTTAAAAAAATTTATAACTAATATTATAAACAAATATAACCTATGCAGTTAGGTGAGGGTAATATACACAATCATATAACCTCTCTGAAATCATTATTACGACATGTTTAATTTAAAATAAAAAGGGGGAAATATATAAATTTGCATCAGCTGTTTTTGTAAATAAATGATTATCCTATGAAAATCAATGTTGCAAATTTGATGGTACTGTAATTGATGATATATATTAACTGATATGGCAGTCTTGTGGTTAAGGAATTTCCTCTTCTACATATTTTACTGCTGCAGCTATAGATAAGAATGTGACAAGGAGTGACAGCTCAATATTAAGCAAGGTGATTGAAAACTTTGTAAATTGTTTAGTTAAAGTAATTAATGTTGGTTATGTCAGGGTTCATGGGCATACCTGAAATAACACACACCTGTGCATCAAGGTTATTTTTCCTTTTGTGAAATCAAAAAGTATAATAGGTGACTAAACATTGATGGGTGTGGCTAAAATATACCCTAACAGAATACACAGCTTTGCAAGCTTCAATATATCCTATTTATTATATAAGGAAAGTTGCAGCAAAACCTCTGAAAAGTGATCAATTGTAAAGCAATTACCTGTTTACAAGAACAGGATCAATTTTTCCCTCCCAAAAAAAGACTACACAATAAATTTAACCTCTCTAGAGCAACACCTGTAAGGAGCAACCAAAATCTTTGTCTTCTTAAGGGTGTTGTTCTACAGAGATTGTAGTGTACACTTAATAAGTTTTTTTAGTTTAGTAATGCAGTTCATTTACTTCCTTTTCAATAGTTGTACTAACATTAGAAATTTCCCACTACTATTTTCATTTCTTTAAATAGAGCCATACTTATAACAAAGGACACTGAAAAAACAACACCATGGCTTTAATTGACATGTGGTCTGACTGTATTTGGAGGTTAGATTGTCCTAAAACATTTATGGTGATTTATCCATAGGAAATCCATTACAGTGATTACTAGTATATTCCGATCATTGCAAATGAATTTTATACAGTTATTTTTTTATACATTCCATGTAGAATATACATGTATCATGTTGTTTGTTTTTTTCAACTTCAATAAATTTTGCTGCCAACTTTATCATTCCATAATGTTTGTGATACTAAAAGCTTTTCTTTTTTATTAATCAATAATACTTATTTTTTCTAGAGAGGTTTGAAGCAGAAATATTTGAATTGTACAGGTATCAATATGCATTTTGTTGAATCATGTATTTTTGTGTTGCCTCTACGGAGCAGTGGCGACATATAGGGATCACTTCTCCGTCGTCCGTCTGTCTGTCTGTCCGTCTGTCCGTCCGTCCGTCACAAAACTTGTCCGGACTACTCCTCATAAACTACTGGTGCAATTTCATCCAAACTTTACAGGAATGATCAGTACCAAGTCTAGTTGTGCATATTGTCAGGATTTTCCGGTTCAATGATTTTTGTCAGAGTTATGGCCCTTTAATAATTTTTAATTTTAAAGTTTGTCCGGACTACTTCTCTTATACCACTAATGTAATTTTAATGAAACTTTACAGGATTGATCTGTAGCTCAAGTCCTTGCGCATATTGCACGGGTTTTCCGGTTGAATGATTTTTGGCCGAGTTATGGCCCTTTGATAAAAAGGTTTCTTTTTCTGTGTGTTGCCAGATACACAAAAGCTTGTCCGGACTACTCCTCATAAACTACTGGTGCAATTTCATCCAAACTTTACAGGAATGATCAGTACCAAGTCTAGTTGTGCATATTGTCAGCATTTTCCGGTTCAATGATTTTTGGCAGAGTTATGGCCCTTTAATAATTTTTATTTTTAAAATTTGTCCAGACTACTTCTCTTATACCACTTATGCAATTTCAATGAAACTTTACATCCGTAGAGGCGACATATAGGGATCACTTCTCCGTCGTCTGTCTGTCTGTCCGTCCGTCCGTCACAGAACTTGTCCGGACTACTCCTCATAAACTACTGGTGCAATTTCATCCAAACTTTACAGGAATGATCAGTACCAAGTCTAGTTGTGCATATTGTCAGGATTTTCCGGTTCAATGATTTTTGTCAGAGTTATGGCCCTTTAATAATTTTTAATTTTAAAGTTTGTCCGGACTACTTCTCTTATACCACTAATGCAATTTTAATGAAACTTTACAGGATTGATCTGTAGCTCAAGTCCTTGCGCATATTGCACGGGTTTTCCGGTTGAATGATTTTTGGCCGAGTTATGGCCCTTTGATAAAAAGGTTTCTTTTTCTGTGTGTTGCCAGATACACAAAAGCTTGTCCGGACTACTCCTCATAAACTACTGGTGCAATTTCATCCAAACTTTACAGGAATGATCAGTACCAAGTCTAGTTGTGCATATTGTCAGCATTTTCCGGTTCAATGATTTTTGGCAGAGTTATGGCCCTTTAATAATTTTTATTTTTAAAATTTGTCCAGACTACTTCTCTTATACCACTTATGCAATTTCAATGAAACTTTACAGGATTGATCTGTAGCTCAAGTCCTTGCGCATATTGCACGGGTTTCCGGTTGAATGATTTTTGGCCGAGTTATGGCCCTTTGATAAAAAGGTGTTTTTTTCTGTGTGTTGCCAGATACGCAAAAGCTTGTCCGGACTACTCCTCATAAACTACTGGTGCAATTTTATCCAAATTTTACAGGAATGATCAGTACAAAGTGGTTAGTCTAGTTGTGCACTGTCCGTCTGTCTGTCCGTCTGTCACAAAATTTGTCCCAACATGAAATTGGCCATCATGAGGCGACACATGTGATTACTAATCGCTCTTGTTTATATTGTGTGCCAATATTTTTACACACATATATGCTAGTTGAAATAAATGTTTTAAAAGCACCTTTGTTGTTGTTGTTTTTTCTAGCTAATCAACTAATATTGTTGTTCATTTATCACAGAACCTCATTGACCGAGTGTTTGTAATGATAGCTCACTTCCGATCACGTAGCCAAGTGCTGGTCTGGTAGTTAAGGTGGGTGTTTTACAGTTCAGGGATTGCAAGTTTAAGCCAAGTTTGCGTTGTCAACCAATGGAAACATGTCAGACAAACACCATAGAAATATTTGAATTTTACTACAATATCTTTTACATGTAAGCTAATATAAAAGTCAAAGACCTGTATAATTAATTACTATAAATAATACATACAGTTTTTGTATATAATTTCAACAACTGTTCATCATAGAGAGCAAATGTGAAATAACACTAAACAGTGAATGGCATATCTATTCTTACATTACAAAATTACAGTACAAATTCAAGAAATTAGACTTCACACTTTCCCTTGGTAATTACACCTTGTTGAGAAGGCACAGGGCATGGCAGAAGATTTAAAGAGCTTGAGAGGGATGATGAGGAAAGAGTGCTAGAGTGCAAGATCTCCAAACAGAGTTTGAGCGTAACAGCTTGAAAGGCAGGTCCTTTGCTGGCATGACAGCCCTTTTCAGGGCTACCACCTATTTGTATTGTCTCAGGTTTTTGCGTTCTAATTGGCCGCTATACAGTGACCTAGTTTTGTCTCAAAATTCATATATTTGGCTTATACTCCATGGAAAATGCATGAAGGTAAATTATCAACAATTTGTGCTTCAAAATTATTAATCTACAGGCTACTAATTAAGTTCTTTTTTTCTCACAAGATAAATTTTACCTAAGACAAGTTAAAAATATACATGATTTACTCAACTTTGGAATGTAATTATAATTTTGAATATCATCATGGAATGCTATATTATTCTTCAACATATAAATATATCATTAATTAATACAATGATAGAATCATGTCCACAGAATAAAACACAGATGTCCTTACAAAGGGTTGTGATTGTTTTTTTCATGTTACTATTTTTACTAAGGTTTACTTAGTAAACACATTTGATTGTAAAGCCCTCCCGCTTAACTGTTAAAGGAAAACCTCAGGGTCCCTTGGTACATTATTTTAGGTATAAACCGGCACCTGAGTAAAACTATTAACATTCCACATAAAAGAGTCCAGAGTTCCTGGCTGGATTCGAACCCACAGAGGTGAGGGGCAAAAGGTTTGTAGTCAACAATCTTATTAACCACTTTGCCCTCGGCAAGCGCTACATTTTAGTTATACTGTATAGATAATAATGCTGGCCTTACTTTAAACAGGTGGTATAAGAAAATTATGATAACCCCTAGCATGTCAGAGATGTAGAATAATGTGATAAATACTTCACCTATTGTGTGTATTATGTAAATATATTTTCATTAACTGAAATTCAACTGATCCCCGTAACCCTATCATTTGATTGTTACGAATAAACAGCAGTAACTTATAAATACATTACATTAATTCAATTTTATGAAATTATAAAACTGAAAGAATTCACTAATTCTCTGTTTATACAATTCTTGCTATGTGACTTCAAGGACTAGCATAGTTAATAATAATGAATTTAATAGAATCTAAAATTACTCTGGAATCTGGATATTCAAAGTTACAAATGACTAGTAGTCTATTGTCTTAACTTTCATCAATCATTTTCTTCATCTTTAATCAAACAATTATCAGAATTTTTCACATCATCTGTGTTATTTTGTATATCACTAGTAGCACTTTGAGAAACATCTCCGGCAATGTTTAAATCATTCTCCGTCTTACATTCTTCATCATCCATTTCTATGTCATTTACTACCACACTTTTGTTCTGTTCTTGTAGTTCTTTCCGAGCCTGGCGACTTGACTCTAGCAAATCATCTAACTGGGCGTTTAAACTATCATTCTGTTGTTCCAATTTAGTCATCCATGAATCTATCTCATCCATAGTTTGGTCAAGATTTTGATACTCTGAAAAAAATAAAAATTGAAAATCAATATGTAAACAATATATAAACAAGCAAGCATATAACAAAGGCCAATCACTGTTTTATGATAAAAATGTGATTTTAAAAGTCCTTTTTTGCTATAACATGATTTATAAGTTTAACCTGGACATAAATAGAATAAAAAACTCAAACCAAGGGCATTAACTTTAAAACAAGATTGCATTTGAGAAAAATGCTATGCCACCGCATTAATACAACACTAAACTATACAATTTTGAAGATTGTCATAATGCATAGATCCCTGACCTATCTAATTCTTATTATCAGATTAGTGGCTAAATCTGTTGTTAACTCAATAAAAGATCAGAGTAGGAATATATCAATGCACTCGAGTCTAGTGAATTTGGTGGTGAAGGTCATATTTCACACAGCCTAAATTAAAGGACAACACAGTAAGACACTTTGTCAAAATCTAGGTCAGCTGAAATCAAAGTTCACTTTACATCTTAATCTGTGCACATGGTTCAAATTTCATAGCTGTACATCAAAGGACAAGAAAGTAGGTCACATCATCAAAATCTAGGTCACCTGATATCAAAGTTCAATTTTACAACTAAAACTGTGCACATGGTCAAAATTTCATTGCTGTACATCAAAGGACAAGAAAAGTAGGTCACTGTCCCCTTGGGCAAGGCAAAATTTTGGACCCAAGGGTTTAATTCAAAACAATCTTGATACTGGTCCACCAAACAACATTTAAAGTCAAATATCTAAGCTGTAGCTTTCTCCCGTTCAGAAAACATTTGTTTTATTTTCTGTTTTTACTATGTGTACATAATGAGAATCACTGCCCCCGGGCAGGGCCAATTTTGACACCAGGGGAAAAATTTTAACAACTTTGGTAGAGGACCTATAGATGATATTATATAGCAAACAACAAAGCTCTATGCCTTGTACCTTCAGACAAAAATATTTTTTATTTTTTTACTATATGTACATAATGAAAATCAATGACCCCCGGGGCAGAACCAACTTTGACCTCAGGGCTATAATTTGAACAATCTTGGTAAAGGTTCACTTTGCAAAGGCTCATGCCATATATTTAACCTCTAGCCTTTGTCAATTCAGAGAAAAAGATTTTTCAATTCAGAGAAGAAAATTTTTCAAGTTTTTACTTTATACATATAAGGAAAACTATCGCCTCTGGGGCAGGGCAATTTTAACACTAGGGGCATAATTAAAACAACTTTAGAAGAGGACCCATTGATGACATTATATACAAAATATTAAAGCTCTAAGCTTTGTACCTACTACCAAGAAGATTTTTTAATTTTTTACTATATGTACATAGTGAAAATCAATGACCCCTGGGGGTGGGGCCAATTTTGACCCCAGGGCTATAATTTGTACAATCTTGCTAGAGGTTCACTACATAATGTTTCATGCAAATTATCTTAACTCTAGCCTTTGTAAATTTAGAGAAGATGATTTTTTAAGTTTTTACTATATACATATAAGGAAAATCTATGACCCTCGGGGCGGGGCTAATTTTGACACTAGAGGCAAAATTTGAACAACTTTGGTAGAGTACCTATAGATGATATCATTTAACAAATATTAAAGCTCTAAGCCTTGTATCTTCAGACAATAAGATTTTTTATTATATGTATATATTGAAAATCAATGACCCCCGGGGCGGGAACAATTTTGACCCCAGGGCTATAATTTAAACAATCTTGCTAGATGTTCACTTCACAATGTTTCATTTAAAATATCTAACCTCTAGCATTTGTCAATTGTTATGCTAGAAGAAATTTTTTTAAAGTTTTTACTATATACATATAAGGAAAAAAAACAATGACCCACGGGGCGGGCCGATTTTGACCCCAGGGCTATAATTTGAACAATCTGGGTAGAGGTCTACCAGACAATGCCTTCTGCGAAATATCTAAGCTCTAGGCCTTTTGGGTCTTTACAAGAAGGTATTTTATGTTTTTACTATATGTACATATATATAGTGAAAATCAATGACCCCGGGGCGAGGCCAATTTTGACCCCAGGGCTATAATTTGAACAATCTTGGTAGAGGTCTACCAGACAATGCCTTATGCAAAATATCTAAGCTCTAGGCCTTTTGGGTCTTTACAAGAAGATTTTTTAAATTTATTCTTATAATTACTTTTGGTTGCCGATTTCTGCATGGAATGAAATTCTTTGAACAACTTTGGAAGCCCTTCACCCAAGGATCAATCCTGCCAAGTTTGGTTGAAATTGGACTAGTGGTTTTTCACAAGAAGATTTTTTAAGTTCACTATATAATCTATATAACACACACACACACAAACAAACAAACAAACAAACAAACAAACAAACACACACACACAGGTGAATCGCTATATGCCACCGCATCGCAGATGCTGCGGTGGCATAAAAAGCCAATCAACAATAGTCCAACCAATTGTGTGCCAGGGGTTTTCATTATATATATGATGGTTGCCTTCACGTACGACGGACCCTATTCCTAAAAATTAATAATGATGACACTATGAGATATTTTTGCTTTATAGATATATAAATTTCTAAAACACACTGTTTGGCATATGTCTGTACCTTGAGCATAAGCATCAACCATTATATCGAGTGATATATCTCCATTCTGTCCAGAAATATTCGCTGAACTCGGTGGCTGGTCATCGTTTTCCCCATTCTCACGGATCCCATGTCCCTCCGCCATATTTAAATCATGTGATCATAACATTATGCATGCTAGTTCCGGTACTTCCGGTGTGATTAAAATACGCAACTGCATTTTTAAGCGCAATGGACTTTTTGTTGTTGTTGTTGTTGTTGTTTTTTTTTTTGTTGTTTTTTTACAATAAACAAAATTAATGAAAATGACCGTACACCCAATATAATCGTGTTTTGAGTATAAACAAACTTGTATTTTAAAAAATTCTAACAGTTAAGAAAATTAACATAATTTAAAAGGCATATACGTTACAGGAATACTAGTATTTCCTCTAGAATTAATAGGTTAATGGGGTACGTGTTCCAAGTGTCTTACTGAGAGTGAATTAAGTGACTTGTTCCCGAAAAAAAAACAGACGTAAGAAAAAAAGATTTCTTATATCACAAAATCACATGGCACTAATTTAACATGGGCTTGACTATATATTTCCCTTAAAACATGCTGGACATGTTATACGTACGGTGGCATAGAAGTGACATTTGCAGTTTTATTTTATCTCGTGGCCACGACTTATTATATTGAGGCCTCAAGATATTATCTCGTGGCCACGACTTATTATCTCGTGGCCACGACTGATTATCTTGTGGCATCAAAGCGTGAAACAAATATTATTTTTGTACAAATGATCATCAAATATTATCATTATTACAAAGCAATTTCCATGATCAAAACGAAAATAGAAATCAAAACTAATTTTCGATTTGTTCTCAGAGTGGAATTTAATTGTTTTCTCTCATATTTTATCTTATAGAAACTATTATTTTTCACGTACATATAGAATCAACTACCTGTAAATATGCAATGCACAGTAACACTTGTTTTAAAAGACCACTAAGGTGTAGCAGCAAAAAGTGTTTTTGTTAATAGGTGGTCACATTTTTTGCAGCTTAAAGATCCTGTATGTTGTAATTGAGGTTGTATAACACACTTAGGTAAAATTATATCACAATGGTAGGATACTACGTCATCGTACACCTGCTGAATGCTCCCACTTGGACCATTTTTTCGTCGACTCAAGGGTAAAATACAATTTTATTATATAAAAACGTAAGAGTATCAAACATCATGTAGCGCACCAAAGCATGGCTATAGTACTTGAGATAATGTAAAAAAAGTTTATAGATTCATTGCCTGGCTTAGGCCTGAAAACGGGATAAGTGTTTTTCTCTGAATGCTCCCACTCGGACTTTTCCCGAAACATATATGAAATAAGGTTGAAAACCTTCTTTAAAATTATTTTTAACGTACCGGAACATAAACCGAGTCATGTTTACCCATTGTTCTAGATAAGTTTCAAATATGTCTATTCAGAAGTCAGTTTTACTTAATTCTTTTTATAAAAATTCTCCCACTCGGACTCAACTTCAGAGATGCTCCCACTCGGATCCAAATATAATTATACAAATTTTGAAAGCACATTGCTGTGTTAAGCTTTTATGGATTATTCTCGCATTTTTTACACCTTTTTGTCAATAACTACTGTGACATTTACTTATACTCTTTTTACAGAGATCACTTCTTTGATTCTGAGGAATGACGTCGTTGGGCAGGAACAAGTGGCCATGGCAAAGTTTCAACTGACAGGATCACTTTACAAAAAGTTGCACTTGGCTTGAGTTGGATCCGAAGGAATAATTAAAAATTATTGCCAACAACAAAGCAAGGACTATAAGACTTTAAATGGACAGTTTGGATCTCAAGAAAAAAGTTTTGTTGAGATGTTAAAAAAATGGTGGTGTTTTAATAAAGAAGTCATTATACATTGTTTAGTACCATACTGGATTAAGATTCTGTTGGACTCGTACACATATAAGAGGACTGCATTTATTCAATAATTGCTGACTTTAATATCTTGTTAAAAATTTAAAACCCAATAATTTGCGTGTTTGTTAAACTTGTGATTTAGATTTTAAAACAACATATACTGGTACGTTTATGAACATAGAGAAGTCAATATCTATCGGTTGATTTAAATAGATTATTAAAGATCAACATGTCAATCATTTTGTCAGTTTACAGTTATTTCTTTATGACAGTCTTTACCATATCTTGGTAATTAAAGATCCTGTAAAATGTTAAATTCGGTAATATCTTTATATATAATGCTTTTGAAACTTACAAAATTGGAACTTATCTTAATTTGAGCATTATATTTATGAAATAAAACCATAAGAAATGTGTGTTACAGTATCTTTAATATAATCTTCTTATTAACTTTCATGACAGTATATGAGAAAAGACATATGTGACCATTGTGTAACCACAAGGCCAATGACACGCACACGTACATGTGTAAGTTTATGCCATGACTGTACCCTTTTGTGACTCCGTGAAAACGGTAGTGCAAGGTTTAGTATTACATGATTTTATTAAACTCGTTCAGTAAATTCAGTATTGAACCTATATCTATTAAAAGCCACTATTAAATGATGATGTCAAAACTTAAACATAAATGCATCAAGGTTAATAATTTTGAAAATATTACTAATTTCCCACTTTCCGGAAAACTCAAGATCGAGTATTGAAGAGTTTAGCAAGACTAGTTAAGACTTGCATAAATTTTATGCCTGTAAACATTGATTATACAAATACTTGTATATTGGCAGCCAAGTAAATACTTGCACCGTCTGATGCCCCACTTTCCATGTCTGTCTGAAAATAATTAATGATAAAAATGATAATGATTACACATAACATAAACATGATGAGGGATTTAATCATTTCCAATGCTCGTTTTATACGTTATATAGTCAGTACAGTTGGTTTAAACATATTTATTTATGCTCGATTGCGAAACAAGTTCTTGCAACTTATATTAATCACTTTCGAGTCCGCTTCCTGGAACCAACCAGTACTGGTGTCATATGAAGAAACATGGTCGTGACCCGAGTAGGGCTCGAACCCATTATCTCTAGGCCACCGCTCCCCCTAAGTCTGTACAGTTGCCTATTATATACTCAGTACATTTTTAGCATACATTTTATAGTCCCAGTACACAAGCGAATTAATTATTTTCCGCTGTTCAGAAGTCAATTGTTTGGCAATTTATCTAAAAAAAGTGTATTTGAGTACATGAAAGGGTTTTGAGAAAACGGTCGATTCAGATTTTTTTATTTTTGGACGATTTTTATAAAGAAACTAGATATTTTGTACTTGGGGAAACAATTCCTCTCTTGGACAATGGTGATTTTTGCAAAAAGTATTTCAAATTCTTTTTTCCTTCTTGATTCTTGTTAATATTTCATATCTGACGCGTATTAAGGGAAATATAAAGTCAAACCTAAATCAAATAAGTGTCATGCGAGCAGGGTGAAGAGGAAAATAGAATTTTCTTACCTCTGGCAATAACGGTATGGGACCGTACACCGGATATAAATTGAAGAAAATTTCCAGAGGAAATGAAAATCAAATTCTTAAATTCCTCAGCACATAAGACACTAATTTGATCTTGGTTTGAATTTGTAGTTTTCTTGATGTTTGCCAGATATGAAATATGTACAGGTATCATCATCAACAACAATAACAAAACACCAAGATCTGATCGATGTACTTATTATTATTAAAAATCACCTTTACTAATGAAAGTACCAAAAAACTAGTTTCTTTATATCAATCGTCCAAAAGTAAGTATTCTCAACCGGTAGATTTCTCAAACTTCTTCACATTTACATGCATACAAATAGAGAAAACAAGAATCGTTAATGTATTGCCAACACGTCAAAATTGAAAAGGTTGCAGGTTCGGTTTGATTGACCCTGTTCATGGACGGTGCTGTCAAGTACAAACTACCGTCCACGCCGGTAGGACCGGCTTAAGCAGAAATTGCCCCCCCCCCAAAAAAAAAAAAAATCAGTAATTTAAGTCACTTCACCCCTCATCCATTTTTTTTCTATAAAGTAAATAAGCCAACAACATAATGCTTTTATATCATATGCTTACTTTAATTATTTTTAGTATTATTTGATTAATAATTATTTTATTAAAGGACAATTTACAGACATTTCTAAGAGTAAATATTTGTTAAGTAAATAATTCAGAAACAAATGACACATGTAATATTTTTTAAATCATTTACATATAACATGCAATAAAACATAACATTTTACATTCTTATAAACGTCCATAAATTCACCCACTTTATCCAAGAATTCCTCAGTCCTTAATTCATGATCATCGTATTGCCCACTGTTATATAAAACACTTGATAAAATATATCAAAATAAAATAAAAAAATAAGGAATTTACTTACTAATAACTTTGTGATATGAGCCTTTTTTAGGGCAAAAATAACAATTTAAATACATTGTCTTTGGGGTCAATTACATGATAAATTAATAATAAAATATGTTAAAACTATAATTCTAACACGACCCGCATTTTTCCTATTGAACATAGAAGAACCGAAAGTGTGTATTATTATGCTATAAAATCATTGTTTGACGTTCTATATTTAGATATGTGGCGTAATCGTTATACACGTGACGTAACCACTAAAAATGTGACGCGCTGACAATAAGTACGGAAACAAATCAGGCGCAATTTATCTAATTATCATGTACGGCAGCATTTATTTGTTGATGTCGTGTTAGAATCGAAATAATATATCCAAATCGGTGATTTTATTGCTTGATAACATCACTGTTTGTCGTTCGAATGCGCATCATTATATCTCTCTGTCTACGCCCTCGTGATATAATTCCCCGCACCCGAACTCCAAACAGTGATGTTATTGAGCAATAAAATCACAGTTTGGGATATATTATTTTTTAAACATACTGTACTCAATTACTATTGAATACACTTAACATTTTCTACATAAATAGTTGTTAAACACAAAATAAAAAAAATTGTGGGTGGGGGGCGGGGCGGTGAAATGTCTCGATCAAATTCCTTAAAATGAGAGGGATGAAGTGTCTGCAAAAAAAGGGCCTAAGGTTAATTGTCTGGGGTGAAGTGTCTGTAAATCAAATTAACAACTTTTCGCGAAAATAATTCTTTTTCGCACTTGAGTTTATTAACCAATGAAATTGCAGAACTTTGACGCGATCCACCATCTTGAAACACATACGTAAGTACCTTAAAATATTATTAAATATATCCACAAACATCGACAGAATAATTGTATATTTTGGAATTCAATCCGAATTTTATGCATATGATATACTTTGTTGATCATACTGTAACAATATTTCCTTGTAAATTCGCGTTATTTCGTTTTGTGTCGTTTTATAATAATGGCCGGTTTCTTGCGGTTGTGAAATATTGAAATCCTTTGTCTAATTTTGTACATTTCCCAACGGTTGTGAAATATTCCTTTGTCTAATTTTGTACATTTCCCAACGGTTGTGAAATATCCATGTCCTTTGTTCAAAGTCTTGTAGACTCTACTTTTTTGTTGGTTAATGTGCGCAGCCTTTGTCAAATTTACCATTTGTTTAAAACAAGATCATAAATATGGTTTTCACTTGCAGAACAACAAACAACATGGCTGACACAGAAAACGCCGATGAACTTTTGGACTACGATGAGGAAGAGCAGGAAACCACTGCGGAGGGTGCAGGTGATGCCCAACAAACAAAGAAGGATGTCAAGGGTACTTATGTATCAATTCACAGTTCTGGTTTTAGAGACTTCCTCCTGAAACCTGAGTTATTGAGAGCCATTGTAGACAGAGGATTTGAACATCCTTCAGAAGGTACTACATTTTTATGATATGATACATCTGATGAGTCCACTTTTCAGGGAAAAATAATTCAATGACAAAGATGGTTCAGGTTGTACATACATTATATCCCCGCGTAGGGTATTTTCGTGGGTATAAGGACAATGTCGTTGACGTAACGGATATTTTTCACAAAATTAATAAAATGCAATAAAGTTTAAATAAACCATTCATTTACATACACAAAAGAATAACTTTTAACAGATGACCTACTTTTAACATAAAAATACAATGTACATACCTTCCGGTACTCAAGCAGAGCTAGCATTTTTCTCCGAGGGGTATTTTCGTGGGTCACATGTAATTACTGATAAAACAGTTTGTAAGAAAGAAAACCCATATTTTTTAGCATTAAATCCTTTCTCAAGCAATTATCATTGTTTCCAACACGATTAATATGTAAGAAAACGTAAATAACAAAAAGGGCGGGAAAAGGAACAGTTCACTATTTACATTTGGAGGTCTCACATACTTTATTTCTTACAATTGTGGCATAGGAAAGTGTCCCCAAGTCTCAAAACTCTAACTTCTGAGCAAATGTCAAGTGTACCCATCTATGATATTTATCACATCTCCCACACTTCCTGATAGTGAGATATGGGCACTTGTTCCTGTCTTGTGGGTAGAAGAGGTGACCATACAGAATAGTTATGTAAATTAATTTACTTACCACTTCCGGGTTTTAGTCATAAGGTACCAACAATCTTTTGGCAAAAAAATTACTATGTGAGACCACTTTTCATCAATGAAAGTCACGTGACCTGTGGTTGGGAGAATAGTCAAATTACAGCCAAACTGTCAAATATTTTTAGGACTCTGGTGTATTTTAAAGACAGATTAGAAAATTGTCATACTTTTGGGATTTAGGAAAACAGGTAAAAATCTTTGTATCTATATAAGTATTATTTCTACTTACCTTTGTAACTTCCATTTTGGAAAAAATCTTTGGCAGTGTTTACATTACATGCAAACTTCCAAAAAATTACGTGACCGGAACCATGTGTGCGCTCAAAACTTATTTATACCGGAAAACGGTGAAACCACGAAAATACCCCTCCCACGAAAATACCCGACGTTGGGATACTTTAAAAAGCTGCTACATTGTGTTGCTCGACAAAACACCATAAATTTGGTACACCTATTTGTTCCAGATTACAATGTAATTTACTTATTGAATTGAAATGGTTAAGAAAACTTTAATATTGAATTCCTTGAGAGATTGCAATAAATTTTTAACTGCAATGACCTGTTTTTCACATTCATCAAACTTGTCACAGGGAATTCTTACCTTAGTTATTTTTTGTATTGCAGTGCAGCATGAGTGTATTCCCCAAGCTATCTTGTCAATGGATGTGTTGTGCCAGGCCAAGTCTGGTATGGGAAAAACAGCAGTATTTGTCCTTGCCACATTACAACAACTGGAACCAGTTGATGGTCAAGTAAGTACCAAGAAATCTTTAATTTGTATATCAAGAAAAAGGACTAATTAATTCAGTTTGCAAAATGTATCTGTGTAAAAGGTGTTAGATCCAAAACCAGTCGCAGTGGTACAAAATAGTAAATGGAGTATCCAAATCAATACTGTTGATGCTATTATCTAGACAACAGTTGATTAGGAAGTGAAGGCAAGCAATTAAAAAAAAAAATGAGATGCAGTCTGCTGCAAAAATCAAAATCAACCATTCCCTGAAAGTATTGATTGAAATTTTCATGAAACTACTAGTTTAATCTTAGTGTTAGTTTTCACAAGTTTTTAAATTTCATTTAAGCCTTGCAAAACAATTGTCACACTTGTTAGATTAATCTTTTTTAAACATGTAATGTGTTTCAGGTGTCTGTGCTCGTTTTGGCACATACAAGAGAGCTTGCGTTCCAGATCAGCCAGGATTACGAGCGTTTCAGCAAGTACATGAATGGCATAAAGATTGCTGTATTCTTTGGCGGCATGCCCATCAAGAAGGATGAGGAAGTTCTCAAGAAGAACTGTCCATCAATAGTTGTTGGTACCCCTGGTCGGTTACTGGCTCTTATCAAATCAAAGGCCCTGTCTCTGAAGCATGTGAAACATTTTATCCTCGATGAATGTGATAAGATGCTCTGTGAGCTTGGTAAGTACATTGTCAAACTTGCCGGTTTAGAATCTCGTATCAAAATGCTTCACCCTTAAAAATATTTCAGTCTAAACAAGGATGATTAAATCTGAACTTGTAATTAATGGAAACCAAATTTATATCTAGATACATTTTATTTTACCTTGTAAATTTATGTAGAATATGAGTGATTTTTATGAACTTATTTTGTTTATGAATTTTGTTTTAAAGAAAGACCAATGGTCTGGAGTACCATTTTGTCAGGCAGTCTTATTTGTTAAACATGATGCATTTTTAGCCTTATAATGATAACAACTATTTAACAAGAATGATCAAACTTTTTCTTTCTGTTGTATTCCCACAGATATGAGATCTGATGTACAAGAAATATTCCGTATGACACCTCATGAGAAGCAAGTTATGATGTTCAGTGCCACACTCAGCAAAGATATCCGACCTGTGTGCAAGAAGTTCATGCAAGACGTAATTACCAACAACCTTCTTTTTTCTGATCTCGTCCATGGTGCTGCGTAGCCGCTGCATACACATCAGAGCCAGTCCCGTGATGGTTCTTTCTAAAAGTATTGGGGGTGAAATCGGTCAAAAGCCTCTGTTCCACTTGTCGTGAATGTGAAAGCATTTGGAGTTTAATTAGCGAATCATGTGAAAACCACCAAATTATAAAGTCTATTTTTGGACACAGTAAATATAATTTGAAGCAGCTAGATATGTGTCGCGAATGATGTGCTGTATGTATGAGTATTAACCGCGAAATTTCTTTAAGGGTCTTCTCTCGCAGTCATTTGGTTAACATCGTGAATATTTTCTAAGGGGTTTAATGGAAAGGAGTGCTCTAAGCAAATACTCTCAAAGTGTTTGTGAGAGGGCATTCCAGTGCTTATTTCATGTCTTATCGTTGTAAAGTAATGCGAATCGCTTAATACGAGATAAAATGTTATTGCGCGATGTCTACCGAATTTTCAATGTTAAATTAAAGGGCTTATTATAAGCATCGGAAGGAATCCACCAAGCAGTACTCTCAAAGTGCTTGTGAGGGTGGTTCCTTTATAAGCAATTAAGTTGTTGATCGCGATAAAATGTATTTCCAGAAAAGATGAATGAGAGTACGAAAGTATTTCCGCGACAGTTTAAATTTTAAGGTGGGCAATTAAAGGTGGCTTTCAATTAAATTGTTATTATCAGATCTCATAGACTATGTGACATGCTCCATGTTGTACGCGAAATGTGAACGGAAATAGGACTTCTCTTAACAACCAATACCTGGCAAGCAGTCCGGTGTTGCAGTCTTTTCAATCCTTACGGATGTGGGCGAAGTGTTGACGGCCAACGAATGGAAGAGGTCAGAGCTTAACCATAAAGGTGTTCAAAAGTCCATGATTGGGAAAATGTGCCATGCCTGTTTGAGCAAGAATTGTAGTCCAGTCTGAAATAGTGCATTGCCTTCTCGTCTTTACATTGGACAGGATTGGTTTGAAAAGACCATTGTTCTTTTTATCTCTATAAAAGTGTAAACTGAACCAAACCTTTTTCTCTTCAAAAAAAAAATTGTTAAAAGGAGATCTTGCACACATTTGAATTGTTTCAGTTTTGATCTTGTTGGTAATGGTTCAGTTTTCACGAAATGCTTAACTTCTTAAAATGCTTTGCAGTTTATTTTGAATGTCCATGTTAAGATTCAAATTGGATATGGTGATAATGGTTCTACCTAGTTATAGAATAAAATAATGTCAATTAATTTACATTACATCCTAAGGCTATAAAGATAAACTTTGCAGAAAGAGGACTCAAACCATTTTAAGTCATTTTCAAATAAAATTTCATTTGTAAAATTTGTTGGAATATGTTTTGAGCATTATGATTTTTACAGCCAATGGAAGTTTTTGTTGATGACGACTCAAAACTAACACTTCACGGTCTACAGCAGCACTACGTTAAACTGAAGGACAACGAGAAGAATAGGAAGTTATTTGAACTTCTCGATGTGTTGGAATTTAATCAGGTAATACAGGGTATAAGGGAAACGAAGGACAACTTGAAAGGATGTTCAAACATATGCTCATTCTCCATGTTGATACTAGTTCTCTGTCAAATTGTCTTAAAACGAAAAAATGAACCTTGAAATTAATTGTATAAAGCAGTTCACTTTAGGCCTTTTTCACGGGTAAAGGAAGAGGCTATTTCCTTCAATTTTTGGATAAAAGATTTTTGTATGCAAAAGGATTCCTAAAGTAGAAGAAAAATACTTAAGTAATTGTAGGGAAAAAAGTATAATTTTCAAGAATTTTCTATTCAAAAGAATTCCTAAGTAGAAGAAAAATACTTGAGTAATTGTAGGAAAAAAGTATAATTTTCAAGAATTTTCTATGCAAAAGGATTCCTAAAGTAGAAGAAAAATACTTAAGTAATTGTAGGGAAAAAAGTATAATTTTCAAGAATTTTCTATGCACAGAAGCCTGTAAATTACCCCTACTATAGAAGGAAAAATTTCCAGAACATGGTGTATTTCGGTTGAAGCTTGGTTAAACTTGTAATAAATCTGTAGTTTATTTGAAAGCAAATACTTGAACCTGCATGCTACAAGTATTTAGATGTAAACATTTTAGTAAAGATAATTGTCGTTTTTACATATAATTTTTCTCCAGAATGGTTTATACTGGTCTAAAGTTATAATAATCAAGGTCATTTTCTGCTAATAAAATTATGACTAATATATTGTTTGTATTTTCAACAATGAGATTTGTAATGTGTTCCAATTTCTTTTAATAGGTGATCATCTTTGTGAAGAGTGTACAGAGATGCATGGCATTGGCTCAGCTCTTGCATGAACAGAACTTTCCAGCTATTGCTATACACAGAGCAATGACCCAAGAAGAAAGGTACAAATGTTAACCAATATCTGATTTGTTGTTATCCATTTTGTAACCAAAAATTAAAAACATTTATAAAGTTTGGAATAGTAGCATTTATGAATCAATCAGAATTACAAATTAGGAAAGGATATCCACAAAAATCTTATTAAATTAACGGTTGCACTGGTTATAAAAATATTGAAAGTAATAATGACTTAAAACGAAGCTGCACGCCTCCAGATGAGCCAAGATATTTCAAGAAATTGAATATTTAGAAAAATGTAATCGGGTCCTGGGAAAAGTAAAAAGATTCAATTTTTGTGTCGCCTCTACGGAGTAGTGGCGACATATAGGGATCACTTCTCCGTCGTCTGTCTGTCCGTCCGTCCGTCACAAAACTTGTCCGGACTACTCATAAACTGCTGGTGCAATTTCATCCAAACTTTACAGGAATGATCAGTACCAAGTCTAGTTGTGCATATTGTCAGCATTTTCAGGTTCAATGATTTTTGTCAGAGTTATGGCCCTTTAATAATTTTTAATTTTAAAGTTTGTCCGGACTACTTCTCTTATACCACTAATGCAATTTCAATGAAACTATACAGGATTGATCTATAGCTCAAGTCCTTGCGCATATTGCACGGGTTTTCCGGTTGAATGATTTTTGGCCTAGTTATGGCCCTTTGATAAAAAGGTTTCTTTTTCTGTGTGTTGCCAGATACACAAAAGCTTGTCCGGACTACTCCTCATAAACAACTGGTGCAATTTCATCCAAACTTTACAGGAATGATCAGTACCAAGTCTAGTTATGCATATTGTCAGCATTTTCCGGTTCAATGATTTTTATGCCCCCGCCATGTAATGGCCGGGGCATATAGTGTTACCCTGTTCCGTCATTCCGTCCTTCCGTCCTTCCGTCCTTCCGTCCTTCCATCCTTCCGTCCTTCCGTCCTTCCGTCATTCTGTCATTCCGTCATCATCAGTTTCCGTTCATTATCTTAAGAACGGTTGGGCACATTCAACTCAAATTTGACATATGGATATGTCATGAGAAAATACAGGTCAAGTTCGAATTTGGTCATGGTTCGATGATTTTTGGCAGAGTTATGCCCCTTTTACTTTGAAAATAATATGAAATTTCAGTTTCCGTTCATTATCTCAAGAACGGTTGGACACATTCAACTCAAACTTGACATATTGGTTATGGTTCGATGATTTTTGGCAGAGTTATGCCCCTTTTACTTTGAAAATAATATGAAATTTTCAGTTTCCGTTCATTATCTCCCCAACGGTACAACACAATCAACTCAAACTTGACATATGGATATGTCATGAGAAAATACAGGTCAAGTTCAAATTTGGTCATGGTTCGATGATTTTTGGCAGAGTTATGCCCCTTTCACTTTGAAAATAATATTAAATTTTCAGTTTCCGTTCATTATCTCCCTCAAGGTACAACACATTCAACTCAAACGTGACATATTGATGCGTCAAAGGAATGCGCAGGTCAAGTTCAAATTTGGTTGTGGTTTGATGATTTTTGGCAGAGTTATGCCCCTTTTACTTTGAAAATAATATGAAATTTTCAGTTTCCGTTCATTATCTCCCTCAAGGTACAACACATTCAACTCAAACGTGACATATGGATGCGTCAATGGAATGCGCAGGTCAAGTTCAAATTTGGTCATGGTTCAATGATTTTTGGCAGAGTTATGCCCCTTTCACTTTGAAAATAATATGAAATTTTCAGTTTCCGTTTATTATCTCCCCAATGGTACAACACATTCAACTCAAATTTGACATATGGATATGTTTTTGGAATGCCCAAGCCATGTTCGAATTTGGTCATGGTTCAATGATTTTTGGCAGAGTTATGCCCCTTTCACTTTGAAAATAATATGAAATTTACAGTTTCTGTTCATTATCTACCTAACAGTGTTACATATTCAATTTTAATTTGACATATGGATATGTCAAAGGAATGGGCAGGTCAAGTTGGAATTTGGTCATGGTTTGATGGATTTTTGGCAGAGTTATGTCCCTTTCACTTTGAAAATAATATAGATACATCTTAGGAATAAGCAGTTTAAGTTTGAATTTGGTCATGGTTCAATGATTTTAGACAAACTTATCTTTCCTGAATGTTGGAAAAATTTTGAACTTTCAGTTTCAGCACTCATTCTTTTAGCCATTATTTTGGCTACAAATATGCAATATGCTTTTTCTAAAGGTTAAGACTGAATAATTTCAGTGCCTTGAACGTTGTATGGAAATGGTTTGTGTTAACATTGAAAAGTTTTAAGGGCTTTGAACTTAAAATGAAAAAAAAAAATTAATGCACCATCTGAAATTTTGGCTGCATGCGGGGGCATCCGTGGCATGATGACACATTTCTAGTTGTTTGAGTTATGGCCCTTTAATAATTTTTATGCCCCCCTTCGAAAAAGAGGTGGTATATTGTTTTGCTTATGTCGGTCTGTCTGTCGGTCGGTCTGTCCGTCGGTAGACCACATGGTTTCCGCTGATTATCTTGAAAAGTATTTATCACAAAGTCCTCATATTTCATATAGTGATTGGTCATAACTAATAGATGACCCCTTTTGATTTTGGGTCAAAGGTCAAGGTCAAAGGGGCCTTAAATGTCAAAATGGTTTCCGCTGATTATCTTGAAAAGTATGTATCACAAAGTCTTCATATTTCACATAGTGATTGGTCATCACTAGTAGATGACCCCTATTGATTTTGGGGTCACTAGGTCAAAGGTCACAGGGGCTTTAAATGTCAAAATGGTTTCCGCTGATTATCTTGATAAGTATGTATCACATAATCTTCATATTTCACATAGTGATTGGTCATCACTAGTAGATGACCCCTATTGATTTTGGGGTCACTAGGTCAAAGGTCACAGGGACCTTAAATGTCAAAATGGTTTCCGCTGATTATCTTGAAAAGTATTTATCACAAAGTCTTCATATTTCACATAGTGATTGGTCATAACTAGGAGATGACCCATATTGATTTTGGGGTCACTAGGTCAAAGGTCAAGGTCACAGGGACGTTAAATGTCAAAATGGTTTCCGCTGATTATGTTGAAAAGTATTAATCACAAAGTCTTAATATTTCACACAGTGATTGGTCATCACTAGTAGATGACCCCTATTGATTTTGAGGTCACTAGGTCACAGGGATCTTAAAATGTCAAAATGGTTTCCGCTGATTATCTTGAAAAGTATTCATCACAAAGTCTTCATATTTCTCATAGTGATTGGTCATAACTAGTAGATGACCTCTATTGATTTAGGGGTCAAAGGTCAAGGTCACAGGGGCTTTAAATGTCAAAAGGGTTTCCGCTGATTATCTTGAAAAGTATTCATCACAAAGTCTTCAAATTTCACATAGTGATTGGTCATAACTAGTAGGTGACCTCTATTGATTTAGGGGTCAAAGGTCAAGGTCACAGGGGCCTTAAATGTCAAAAGGGTTTCCGCTGATTATCTTGAAAAGTATTCATCACAAAGTCTTCATATTTCACCTAGTTATTGGTAATAAGTAGTAGATGACCTCTATTGATTTAGGGGTCATTAGGTCAAAGGTAAATGTCACATGGGCCTTAAATGTCAAAATGGTTTCCGTTGATTTTTCCATAATTGAACACTTCCATGTACCAATTTTTAGCAAGTTTCTGTCATAAAATTACCAATTATGTGAGTCAATGGCTAAAAAGGGGGGAATATGTGTCGTTCGACATTCTTGTTATTTTTAAAGTTTGTCCGGACTACTTCTCTTATACCACTAATGCAATTTCAATGAAACTTTACAGGATTGATCTCTAGCTCAAGTCCTTGCGCATATTGCACGTGTTTTCCGGTTGAATGATTTTTGGCCGAGTTATGGCCCTTTGATAAAAAGGTGTTTTTTTCTGTGTGTTGCCAGATACGCAAAAGCTTGTCCGGACTACTCCTCATAAACTACTGGTGCAATTTTATCCGAACTTTACAGGAATGATCAGTACCAAGTCTAGTTGTGCACTGATCGTCTGTCTGTCCGTCTGTCACAAAATTTGTCCCAACATGAAATTGGCCATCATGAGGCGACACGTGATTACTGATCGCTCTTGTTAATTATTTACATGTTATGTGCGATAAATCATTAATGACTGATTTTGCTGTATCAATCACTTTAGTTTTTAGAGTTGTGTATATTTTGTATCTCTTTTTAGCTTGACTATTCGATAAGAATAAGTAGAGCTATTGCAGTCACCCGAGCGTCGGCGTCGGCGTAACCACTTATGTTAAAGTTTTTGTAATAGTTCAAATATTTTCAAAGTCCATTGACATATGGCTTTGAAACTTTGCACACTTGTTCACCATCATGACCCCAACCTGTAGACAGGAGAAGGTAACTCAATCAAGCATTTTGACAGAATTATGCCCCTTTTTCGACTTAGAATTTACGTTAAAGTTTGTGTAATAGTTCAAATATTTTCAAAGTCCATAAACATATGGCTTTGAAACTTTGCACACTTGTTCACCATCATGACCCCAACCTGTAGACAGGAGGAGGTAACTCTATCAAGCATTTTGACAGAATTATGCCCCTTTTTCGACTAAGAATTTACGTTAAAGTTTTTGTAATAGTTCAAATATTTTCAAAGTCCATTGACATATGGCTTTGAAACTTTGCACACTTGTTCAACATCATGACCCCAACCTGTAAACAGGAGGAGGTAACTGTATCAAGCATTTTTTTTACTATCAAGCACTAAGAATAGTTGAGCGTTGCTGTCCTACTGACAGCTCTTTTTGGAAATTTAAGTGGATCGTAAGTGCCGTTTGCTATGTGTAAATTACTTTCTTTGTCACTTTACAATATTTTACTTTTAAATAAATTTTCATGAAAATAAACATGAATCTGGAGGTGTGCTGCTTTAAATGTTGTAATTGTATAGATTAAAAGATTGCCCCTTGTGTTGACTTTGTATCTATTTGATACAGGCGTTGTCAAAAGGTGGCATAGAACAAATACCTGCTCAATGTTGGTCAACTCCACACATAGCATTGTTTAAATTTGCTGTGTACTTATTTGCCAACATACATAAAGTCTATAAATGATCATTCCAAGTTTGGAAGATTTGATTTCATTATTTACTCATAACTGTTGTTATATAATTTATCTATCAACAGAATCATGTGAATGTACTAGTATTTTTAGTTGAAGAGTGAATATTACAATAGCCTTTCATTTTAACAGAGTATGAATGTGAACAAAGGCAATGATGTACTCTGACTACTCTTTACGAGTTTGAATTTTGCTTGTCAACAATGTTTATATTTTTATTTTAGGTTGTCTCGTTACCAACAGTTTAAGGATTTCCAGAAGCGTATTCTGGTAGCCACCAATCTGTTTGGTCGTGGTATGGATATTGAACGTGTAAACATTGTATTCAACTATGACATGCCTGACGACTCTGATACTTACTTGCACAGGGTAAGAAAAATCTATTGGCCAGGAATTTTTTCTCCATTTGTTCTATGAGAAATATGGCCCATACACTTAAAGGGTCTCCACTGTGGTTTTTAGGCAAGAAGGGACTTGAAATATTTTTCTAGACTTGCGTACCATTTGATGCAGGTCTGGACTAATAACTTGTATGCAAAATTTCAGATCATTCCCACAGAATAATTATTTACTCGTGCAAAAATGACTATAATAATGGAAAATGTTTTGTTGCTTTTCCCTGAAATAAGGCTTAAAATCATGTAAATTTTAAGTGAATTACTTGATCTATGCAAGAAAATCAAATATCCTGTTTTTAGGCTTTTCATGTTTTGTCTTTAATGTTTGGAATCTTTTGTTTAAAAATCAGTTATCCTTATGAATTTATATGCAAGGTTGTATCCAGACCGAGTATAAAACAACTTTGGATTAAACAAGCTGAGATATTTAATGTTTTGATCAGATAGTTTTGATCCTATTTTATTATAGCAGTTATATTCTGGTAAGAACTGGTTCATAGCAAATAACTTGCCATTATGACTTTCGTGCAAGATCATTGATGGTCGCTTGTTTAAAAAGGATCGATATTAACGCAAACATAATCTCTTGCAGGTAGCCCGAGCTGGCAGATTTGGTACAAAGGGATTGGCAATCACATTTGTTTCAGACGAGACTGATGCCAAAGTGTTGAATGATGTCCAAGAAAGATTTGAGGTCAACATCTCAGAATTACCTGACGAAATTGACATCTCCTCGTACAGTAAGTTGTTGTTAAGGAAAGATTTGAGGCGCATCACGACAAAATCAACATGGGTTTGCGACCAGCATGGATCCTGATCAGACTGCGCTAATGCGCAGGCCGGGTTGGATCCATGCTGGTCGCAAATGCATTACGTTGGTTTTGTCGTGACACGGATAATTTATTGTTTCAAGTAAGGAGCTGCTTCCTCTTTACTGAGGTTGTTCGTGATATGTCCTGAAATAAAGAGATCTGCTTATAAACTTTAAACATTATGGAAATCCCAGGTTTAAAGCAGCAAGCCTCCAGATTAATGTCAATTTTCATGAAAATTTAAAAATGTATTTAAAAGTAAATTATTGTGAGGTGAACAAATAAAGTAATTATACGCCCGTTTGAAAAACGGGACGTATTATGGGAACGCCCCTGGCGGGCGGGCGGCGTCCAATTTTGTCCGGAGCTTATCTCCTACATGTATGGAGGGATTTTAATGAAACTTCATATAAATGTTCACCACTATGAGGAGCAGTGTCGCGCACATGAACCAGGTCTCTAGGTCAAAGGTCAAGGTCACACTTAGAGCTCATTGAAAAATGCTTGTCCGGAGCAAAACTTCCACATGTATAGAGGGATTTCAATATTACTTGGCACAAATGTTCACCATTGTGAGGCGGAGTGTCGCGTGCAAGATTCAGGTCCTTGCGGCCAAGGTCAAGGTCACACATAGAGGTCAAAGTTCAGATAAAAATATGAAGATGTGTATATGGACCATTTAGTCATCATTTATTGAGGGATTGTAACACAAATGGTCATTATCAAGACTATGGCTGTGATACATATAATTTAGGTCAATATATACAAGGTCAAGGTCACTAAAGATGATGAAATATCCAGATTTTGTAAATAGAATTTAATCAAAGGGAGACAACAAAGTTATTACTTTGTTCATAAATGACTTACACATTTACTCCCCTTGATCAATTTTCACTTTCAATTCTAAAAATAGAATTTAATCAAAGGGCATGAAATAATCCTCTGTCTTGGACTTGAGTATGTTCTAAAGAATGTAACATTTATTTACACATGTTTCATTCATTGGTCAAGATTCTTAACTGTGATAACTATGGTGTTCTGTAGACTTGGTATTTGTTCATAAAGATCATACAGTAATTACCTTATCAAATGTAAATACTTTCTCATAGAAATTTAATTATATTTTATTTTTCAAGTAAATATCAGTTCAGCTCATTCAAAGATTAAGAATTGTAATGAAATGTATTTCCCTAGAATAAAATCTTAAATCAGAATTTTTTAGTTATTAAATTACATGTACTTTTTATACGCCCGTTTAAAAAAAGATAAAAATATGAAGATGTGTATAGGGAAGATTTAATCATCATTTATTGAGGGATTGTAACACAAATGGTCATTATAATGACTACGGCTGTGACACATGTACTTTAGGTCAATATATTGTTACGAGTCAGGCGTAACGAGAAAGAAAAGCCAGCAACAAACTTGTAACAATAACAAATTTATTACAGAAAAATTATTAAAGAAAAAAAAATAAAATAACAAATTATCTTTACAAATACCTGAAGTCCAAATAAAAATTACAAATGTCTAGTCTGATCCTGGAATGTTCCTTTTTTAATAGCACAGTTAAATCCAAGTTAAATCCAAGAACACTTTAGAATAAATTCCCACAATAAAATCCACAAGAATAATTAATAATCCAAGCTCCAATAAATCACTTAATTTCCAAGTTGAATAATACTCCAAATATATTGATTTCTAAAAGATCACTGATGACTTAAAAGGTAACTGATGACTTAATGATAAGATTAATGAAAAATGTCTCCTTATATATATTAACTAAGAAGTTTCCAGAAAGGTCTATTATGTTCTCAAGTAATCATAATCTAGCAACTTCAACAATAAAGATCATTCCAGAAGTTTCTATCTAAATATAATGCATGAGTTTTCTATAACAGTTAAGAACCTTCTAGTACATACATGTAGTTTATGTTCTAAAAATAGAACAATGATAATATTGGAAATACCAACTAGTCAGATATAAATTATATACATGTAATATGTTGCATACATAACAATATGCAAGGTCAAGGTCACTAAAGATGGTGAAATATCCAGATTTTGTCTGGAGCATATCTCCTACATGTATGGAAGAATTTTTATAATACTTTATGGAAATGTTCACCACCATGATATGTATTGCTCCATGCATGATCCAGGTCAAAGGTCAAGGTCACACTTAGAGCTCATTGAAAAACGCTTGTCCGGAGCAAAACTTCTACATTCATAGGGGGTTTTCAATATAACTTGGCACAAATGTTCACCATTGTGAGGCTGAGTGTCGCATGCAAAATTCAGATCCCTGCGACCAAAGTCAAGGTTACACATAGAGGTCAAAGTTCAGATAAAAATTTGAAAGATGGTTATAGGGACCATTTAGTCATCATTTTATTGATGGATTGTAGCACAAATGGTAACTATCATGACTACAGGTGTTACACATTTAATTTAGGTTAATATTTGCAAGGTCAAGGTCACTGGAGATGATTAAATATCCAGATGTTGTCCGGAGCATATTTTCTACATGCATGGAGGAATTTTAATGTTACTTTTATAGAATTGTTCACCACCATGAGACGTAGTGCCCTGCACATAAACCAAGTCTCTAGGTCAAAGGTGAAGGTCACAGTTAGAGCTCATAGAAAAAACACTTGTCTGGAGCAAAACTTCAACATGCATAGAGGGATTTCAATATAATTTGGCACAAATGTTCATCATTGTGAGGCTGAGTGCCGTGCATAAAATTCAGTCCCTGCGAACCAAGGTCAAGGTCACACATTCTGTGCATATCTTCCCTATTGATTTGTTTTAAGGTTCATTTAACAACACAGTGCCAAGAATAAAAACTTGCTTGCTAGATAACACTTATCCATAATGCCCCCATCTCCATCTAAAGCTTTTTCGTAAACGGGCGTATTTTGTGACTATGGCACCCTTGTTTACATATTGCAATCCGGCACTTACAATCCAAGAAAATTACGAAATGTGGTCAACATATGTAAAAACATCCCTTACTGCGTTAGTAACGCAGTAGAATTATGGTGATAAAATACCGCAAAATCAGTCTTAAACCGCACATAACATGAAAAATTTAACTTGGATCTTGAATGTTTTTACCTTTCTTAAAGCGTTAGTACATTTTGCTCAATATTGATTTTCTTGAGATATTTTGGCTCATCTGGAGGCGTGCAGCTTTAAACTTGCCATTAAATAAGTTCAGTACTCGAAGGCTTCAAGAAGACTGTTAAATGCTTTATTAGATGAAAAAGAATTTCTACTACACTCACACTTGTCTGGAACACATTTATTTGCACTTAAATTCATGTCCATATGTTCTTCATGTTGATTGTATTGATCATAGTGTTGATATAAATCTCGTGTAGAAATATCCCTGCAAGACCATAAATTTGAGATGTACTTATGGTTTTCTTTTAAATGACGAGATATTAGATATCAGTGAAATATCTAAAAATACAACTCAATTTGCCAGATAAACAGTAAAATATTCCTGCTATGTATTTGTAGTTTAGCTCTCTCAGTTTGATCTGACAGACAGGTATGTATGAGTTTCTTGATGCATGTTACATGATAATAGCTTAAAACATGAAAAAAATTGTCTTATAAGATGCTTATAAACACTGAATTTATCTTTTCAGTTGAAGGACGGTGAAAATTTGGAAAAAAGTGTTGCCTGTATTTCCTCATACATTGTCCAGATTTAAATTTCCTGCAAACAGACAGTTTAAACAACATAAAATACATTATTCTCAAAAAATAGAGTACAGACTTTATTTTGATAGTTCACTATGTGAACCGAAACATTGTATGCCAGTTACGATCAACTGTCGGTGTTAACATGTGTCTATTCACAGTCATATATTAAAACTATTTTTATCAAGTTTTTTATACAGATCATTGGTAAATAAATCATGTTTGTTTAAAAAAAAACTTTCAGATTCGATTATGTTTTTAAATTTTCATAAAGAAACAGCTGTGACATAATTTCATTTGCATTAATTTATATAAAACTTAGGCCAGGAAAATTTGTTTGCATTTTGTAAAATTCTTTGTTTTTATTGTACAAAAAGAAAAGATCTTTTATTTAAGTGTATGTATATATAAAAATCACATTTATTCATATAAACATTTCATTTGTCATTATTTTTTGTTTCAAACAATTTGTATCTTGCATCATACACTGTGATTTCTGAATAAATTGTGAAAAGTATTCCATTGTCTTTATACTGATCAAATCATTAATTCCAGCGGTATCCCCAGTTCTGTCTGGTTTTTTGAATAGAAGCCACTTTGTGCGGAGGTGAAAATGAAAATTATCTGGACATTGAGTAAAATGGTCTTTTGTGTCTTGCCACTGATATGATGAGTACTATTACTTGCAGAGAAATTGGTTGGACAGCCAGGGGCATTGAATTGGGCTCAGTAAGCAAAAAGCTGTACAAAGGCTAGCATTGATGACAAATGCTGTGACTTGCCAGTGTTAAATACAAGTACCTATCTCATGGCTTCTAAAAGGGTGGCTGTTCAAGATTTAAGTGATTTGACTTGTTAGGGTCCTTGACCAAAGCTGTAAAGGCAAAATACCCAGTTTAAGAGAACATACATGAACTTGTTTTTTTGTTGTTTTTTTTTAATTAAATGCTATGCCACGTAAAACATTCTCATTTTGGATGCAATCTAAACCAGAACTTATATTAAATAATTGTGTGTTTTTCTTTTATTTGGAGTCATCTTGGCAAGTTCTCCATTGTAAGGTAAACTAAAAAATAGTTTGCAGAGTTCTGTGAAACAGTTCTTTATTCAAATGTTACTGAACCACTGGATGAAACCAAAAAGTGACCTATTGTGCAATGTCAAATTTTTAATCCCTGCCAACCAACCTTCCTAAGACAAGACCTTTACCTACATAGATTACCCCTGTGATGTTGAAACAAACAAATGACAAGATGTGTAGTTATATATAATTATTTCCGTTTCAAAGTCGGTAAAATGTCGTCTGCTTATGTTTTGCATATTCATACAGCGTATGAATATTGGCGGGAAAATGCTCGTTTTTCTCGTGCTGGGTATAAAAGTACAACTCGGCGTGCTTTAGGCCATTCGAGGCTTTTACATTGGTAGCGAAAGATATCTGTTTAGAATGTCCGACACGGAAAATGCTTCGGGTAATTTCAAGGATGAAGTTGTTACCGAAATAAAAGACTTTTTTGATACAAAGTTTAGAGAATTGAAAAGGGATTTCAGGGAGGAAACTGAGTGGAACAACGAGAGTGCTCGTAAAAGGTACGTGCTGACAATTTAGTTTCGTTTAGCAGTGCTGGAAATAAGAAGCAATACAACTTCAACACTGAAATTTTCGACATTTTGGATGCTTCTAAGAGGGCCATTGAATTAAGAAATGCTTCTAAAGCTGTAGGTTATATTCAAGAGGCTCAGGATAAAATCAAACATAGAAATAAGATCATAAGAATTGCAAGATAGCTCTTCACTTGGCTGGCCTGTTGTCGTGAATATGAGAAAAATGATATTGCCAGCGACAGTGAATGACGATAAAAAGATCCGCCGTGCAGAGGACCGAGCTCGTGTTCCAAGATTGAGAGGGCAAAGAAAGCTAGGGAGAGTTCTGGCTTCAATCAAGATAATAGTTTCTTTTCGCAGCGTCCGTAACGCTAAAAGCATTCAGTTCCGGAAGATCTTCCATGGAGAACCAGCGCAGGTACCAGCGGGATGTCGTCGTCTGCTATTCTTGCGGAGAGTAGGGTCACTTCGCTAACGGGATGTCCGGACGTCTGGCGTCGAAAGCTTCGATTCCATGGCTCCAGGAACTGTCCCCACAGCCACCGTTGGGTATGCAGCCGCTCAGAACGCAGCACGCCCGAAGTCTGAACAAGGAAGCGCTTCCGTCGGAAAAACAGTGATTTACAATGTGAGGATGAATATGATAAGTTACTGGGCATTTTCAGACATTTTCAGTGGGGTTGTAAGCATTGACTTTCGGGAAAATTTTTGTAAAAATTTTGAGAATTCTTGTTCTTTATCAGATAGTTCTGTCAAAGGAAAAAAAATAAAAAGTAATATTGGATTTTTGGAAAAATACCATAGAAGCTAGTGATGACATTATTTCTATTATTGAAAATGGATATGTTATACCGTTTATTACTAAACCTCCTTCTTTTTGTCTGAATAATAATTCGTCTGCTTTAAAAAAATAAATCATTTGTTGAGAAATCTATTTTTTCACTTATAGAAAAGCAATGTGTTTATGAAGTGCCTTTCATTCCTCATAACGTAAACCCTTTGTCTGTAGCAACGAACCCAATGCATCGGGAAAACTTAGATTAATTCTTGATCTTAGCGTTTTGAACACTTATGTTCATAAAGATAAATTTAAGTTTGAAGATCATTAAATTTGCTAAAGAATTTCTTATTCCTAATGGTTATATGTTTAAATTTGATCTAACTTCAGGATACCATCATTTTTCTATTAAAAGCACACATCATACCTATTTGGATTTTTCTTGGGTTTTAAATGGAACTATAAAGTATTTTGTTTTTTCAGTTTTTTACCATTTGGTTTGAGCTCGGCTCCTTACCTTTTTTCTAAAAGGTTTAAGACCCTAGTCAAATATTGGAGAAAAAATGGGCTAAGATTGGTTTTGTTTCTTGACGACGGTTGGTGTGTTAATGCAAACTTCGAAACTTGCACTTAAAGATTCCAAATTTGTCTTTAATACTTTAAAGAAAGCTGGTTTAGTTGTTAATATTGATAAGTCAGTATTTGAGCCTGTGCAGTCTTTAGAATGGTTAGGTTTTTTGTGGGATTTGAAAAATGGCAGGCTTCTTATTCCAGAGCGGAGAATATGTAATGTCAGAGCGTTTATTACTCAGATTCTTACTGTTTTTCCTATTTGTTCAGCTAGGAAATTAGCACAGTTGGCGGGTAAAATAATATCTATGTCGCCTGTTTTAGGTAATGTTTGTTTGTTTCAGACTAAAGCGTTTTTCCTTTTTATAGAGAGCAGATTGTCTTGGGACAAGCAGCTTAACGTTCATGATATTTATGATAACTTGGTATTTTGGCAAAAGGTATTTAGTAACGAATTTCATAAAAGTTTATTCAACGATTTTTTGCCTACAGTGTTAGTATATTCGGATGCTTCAGCAGTAGCTGGAGCCGCTTATATACAATGTGAAGGTGCTGTTGCTCACAAAGTTTGGACGGATGACGAGAACAACAAAGTTCTACATTCAGGGAGTTATTGGCTATTAAGTTTGCTCTTTGCTCATTTAGAAATATTTTTTTGGGGGAAAAAAGTGATTTGGAATACTGATAGTAAAAACTGCGTACATATCATTGAAAAAGGTAGTATGGTAAAAGATCTTAATCGTATGGCTATTGACATAGGTTCTGTCTGTGCTTCGTTTTGCATATCATTGGAACCAATAATAAGCCATAATCCTACTTGTGTCTTGTTGTATATTAATTATATATTCAGTGTAAAGAATGTAATAGGTTTTATCACTGTTAAGGATATTTAGAGTTTGACGACTTTGATAAGGAAATAATTGTTTTACTCGCGTTCCAAGGGAGTAATTAATTTTACCTGAACACTCGCCATTTACTCTTGACGGGCATTAATGTCCCTTAAGGGGAAACAGTGGTCTACCAACCAGTACTTACAATAACAATATAAATCCTCTTCTTCTAGAGGGTATATATATTTTTGCAAATACCAGTCCGGTATAGGATGATCACCCGTGTTGAGTAGAACATTCCTGTTTTGTTTTTGTTTTGTTTTTTGGCACTGAGGCATGAAAGTGAATGAGAAAACCGTAAACGCTCAATAACTAGAGAACCATTTGCACACATAGCCTTAAAACCTCAGGATGATGAGTAGATGACCCCAGAGTTTTGGGGCACTGAAGGTCAATGTCAGTAACCTTTAATGCGAAAAACGTTTGCTTAATTACTAGAGAACCATTTGACACACAACTTATAGGGTTATCACCATTGTGTAGAAAAACCCTATCACGCTGGGTGGTTATGCATGAAGGTCAAGGTCACAGTGGCCTTGAAGGTGAAAACTGTTTCTGCTCAATGAACTAGAAAACCATTTGACCTACAACGGGGGTGTTGACTTCAAACCACTTGCCCCTCACCTCTGTAGGTTCGAATCCCGACAGGGACTTTGGATTCTTTCATGTGAGGAAGGGTGCTATCCAGCTAGCTTACGGAACGTTGGTGGTTCTACTCCGGTACCCGTTCGTGCCTGAAATTATGCACGGAAGTGCATATGAGGTCTTCCTCCACCAGTAAAGCTGGAACGTCGCGATATGACCTATACTGTGTCGATGTGACGTAAAACCTAAAACAAAAAGACCGACAAACTTCATAGGATCCGATGATCACACTGTATGAGTTGAAGACTCCTAATATTTTTGCCCGCTGATGTGTAAAGGTCAATGACATTCATTGTGAAGACTTCTGCTCAATAACCAGAGAACCATTTGACATACAGCCTTCAAACTTCATAGGATGGTCATCCTAATTGTGTAGAAGACCTTTTTTACTTTGGGACACTGATGCATGAAGGTCAAAGTCACAGTAGCCGTTTTGATGCGTAACAATTAACCACTCAGCCCTACGGCCTTGGCGGTCAATTCCTACGCATCAAAACTCCAAACCGGTGTTAAATAGCCAATATACACCTCTCAGGCCGATGTTATTTCTTAAAAATAGACTTTTACTTTCATGAAATAAAACAAATATTGTAAACAAACATTTTTATAAATAGCATTTTTAGCTCGACTATACGAAGTATATGGAGAGCTGTCCTACTCGCCCCGGCGTCCGCGTCCAGATTTTAGATTAAAGTTTTGGTGCAGTAAAATATTTTTCACTATAACTTTGTCATTTCTTAAGGTATCAACTTCAAACTTCAAATATATGTTCCTTATCATCAACCACATCTTATGTGATAAGGTTCATAACTCTAGCACCAATATTTTCAGATTTATCTCCCCTTGAACTAAGAATTTTCCTTAAAAATACTATTTTTTACTGATACTTCTTTATTTCTTAAGGGATCAACCTCATACTTCAAATATATGTACCTTATCATCATCCCCATCTTATGTGACAAGGTTCATAACTCTAGCACCAATATTTTCAGATTTACCTCCCCTTGAACTTAGAATTTTCCTCAAAAAATACTATTTTTAGCTCGACTATTCGATAAGAATAAGTAGAGCTATTGCAGTCACCCGAGCGTCGGCGTAACCACTTATGTTAAAGTTTTTGTAATAGTTCAAATATTTTCAAAGTCCATTGACATATGGCTTTGAAACTTTGCACACTTGTTCACCATCATGACCCCAACCTGTAGACAGGAGGAGGTAACTCTATCAAGTATTTTGACAGAATTATGCCCCTTTTTCGACTTAGAATTTACGTTAAAGTTTTTGTAATAGTTCAAATATTTTCAAAGTCCATTGACATATGGCTTTGAAACTTTGCACACTTGTTCACCATCATGACCCCAACCTGTAGACAGGAGGAGGTAACTCTATCAAGCATTTTGACAGAATTATGCCCCTTTTTCGACTTAGAATTTACGTTAAAGTTTTTGTAATAGTTCAAAATATTTTCCAAGTCCATAGACATATGGCTTTGAAACTTTGCACACTTGTTCAACATCATGACCCCAACCTGTAGACAGCAGGAGGTAACTCTATTAAGCATTTTGACAGAATTATGCCCCTTTTTCGACTTAGAATTTACGTTAAAGTTTTTGTAATAGTTCAAATATTTTCAAAGTCCATAGACATATGGCTTTGAAACTTTGCACACTTGTTCAACATCATGACCCCAACCTGTAGACAGCAGGAGGTAACTCTATTAAGCATTTTGACAGAATTATGCCCCTTTTTCGACTTAGAATTTACATTAAAGTTTTTGTAATAGTTCAAAAATTTTAAAGTCCATTGACATATGGCTTTGAAACTTTGCACACTTGTTCACCATCATGACCCCAACCTGTAGACAGGAGGAGGTAACTCTATCAAGTATTTTGACAGAATTATGCCCCTTTTTCGACTTAGAATTTACGTTAAAGTTTTTGTAATAGTTCAAATATTTTCAAAGTCCATTGACATATGGCTTTGAAACTTTGCACACTTGTTCACCATCATGACCCCAACCTGTAGACAGGAGGAGGTAACTCATCAAGCATTTTGACAGAATTATGCCCCTTTTTCGACTTAGAATTTACGTTAAAGTTTTTGTAATAGTTCAAATATTTTCAAAGTCCATAGACATATGGCTTTGAAACTTTGCACACTTGTTCAACATCATGACCCCAACCTGTAGACAGCAGGAGGTAACTCTATTAAGCATTTTGACAGAATTATGCCCCTTTTTCGACTTAGAATTTACGTTAAAGTTTTTGTAATAGTTCAAATATTTTCAAAGTCCATTGACATATGGCTTTGAAACTTTGCACACTTGTTCAACATCATGACCCCAACCTGTAAACAGGAGGAGGTAACTCTATCAAGCATTTTGACAGAATTATGCCCCTTTTTCGACTTAGAATTTACGTTAAAGTTTTTGTAATAGTTCAAATATTTTCAAAGTCCATTGACATATGGCTTTGAAACTTTGCACACTTGTTCACCATCATGACCCTAACCTGTAAACAGGAGGAGGTAACTGTATCAGGCATTTTTTTTACTATCAAGCACTAAGAATAGTCAAGCATGCTGTCCTACCGACAGCTCTTGTTTACTGTAACTTATTTATTTCTAAAGGGATCAACTTCATACTTCAAATATATTTACGTGATCATCATCCACATCTTATGTGACAAGGTTCATAACTCTAGCACCAATATTGCAAGAATTATCTCCCCATAAACTAAGATTTATTTACTAGAAAAATGTTATTTTTTATTTTAACTTTTTTATTTTTAAAGGTATCTACCTCAAACTTCAAATACTTATTCCTTATCATTAATTACATTTTATGTGACAATATTCATAACCCTTGAAGCAATATTTACAGATTTATCTCTCTTTGAACTTAGGATTTTCTTTAAGAAATATAATAACTTCTTTACTTTTTAAGGTATCTAACTTCAAACTTCAAATATATATTTCTTATCATTACACAAATGTTGTTTGGCAAGATCCATAACTCTAGCATGACTATTTCTATAACTATTCCCCTTGATCTTGGAATTTATGTTAACAAATGTTATTTTTTTACTATAACTAATACATAATTATACATAATTGACTTTTCTTTCATAGTTTTGTCCTCCTTACTGCGTCCAGTATTTTATTAGTCGAGCTTCGCTGTCTCCTGTGACAGCTCTTGTTACAATAAAAGTGACAGATTTTAATCAGAACATTACAATAATACTTCAGTAAATATCAAGAAATTACATGTATAACAAATCATATGTTTTAAGACTAATTGCAACACTGATATTCAATTCAATGTTTATTTGACTTAAACAATTTGAAACAAAAGAGTTGCCTTCCTGGATTTGAACTCAAGACCCCTCGGCCACGGTGAAGTTACATGTAAAAGGCCTGAAGAAAACCATATTATTCTAAATTAGGGTTTGTAACCCTTATTTTTTCAACGCTAACTGTTGTTTAACACAGATGTTAATAATCCTGGAGCTTATTATAAGCATGTATATCTATCTATAAAGGATAAAACAATATTAGAAATCTTCGACCATTCGGGAATTATTTTGCTTGAAAATTAATGCGCCTGTCATTTGATCATCTTTACGCAGTGATCTCCCCTGAATTTTTTCGGCGTAAGTTTCTGACGACCCAAACAAATAAAAACTATTACAATAAGCTATGAAAAAATGCCACATTGTTTCCAATTTTACGTGTCGTCTGCTAGAGAGATGTCATACCTGTAAAAAATGGAATAGTACATGTACATGTCGGAGGGAAAATGCAATGTCGCCGTATGTAATAAAAACACATAAATTGTATCTAAAATGAGTTATGTTTGTTTGTTTGTTACATTTTACGCCTTTTCCCAACAGTATTTCAGTCATATAGGCGGGTAGCTACCTAACCATCGTTCCTGGAGAGTTACACCAGTACTACCTTCCTCCGCGCTAAACTACCAAAGCATCTCCCGGGGATCAAACCCACGCCAGAGAGGTGACCTGGAGAGGTAACTGGATTAGAAGTCATCGACTCTAACCCCTCGACCACGGAGGCGTATAAAATGAGTTATGTAATACTTGTATGTATTGTCTGTATACAACATATCAAAATTAGTTAATATTAAATACTATATTATATCTGTGTTTAATTAAAAATAGTCTAGCTCCGTGAATGAATTTTATTTTAGAAATTAAAAAAAAAAACCTAGAATGAATCTCGCTGTTACAGTAAGCAGAAGTAACTCGAGGTAAATCCGTAACGTACTGGCTAACGCCCGTATTTAGCTAGGTTTTCGAAAAGGTCAATTAACCAATCATGTACGGTTAATAGATCACATGCTCCTCCATGTAAAGAAAACAGGTCACGTGCTCCTCCATGCATCAAAAATTAAATGCGTACCAATACCCTGCGGGCTCCGGTCCGCAGGGAACAATATTAAAAATCTTCGACCATTCGGGAACTACTTTGCTTGAAAATTAATGCGCCTGTCATTTGACAATCTTTACGCATTGATCTCCCCTGAATTTTGTCGACGTTCAAGTGTACATATAAAGGGAAGCAAGTGTACATATAAAGGGAAGTAACCGCTTCAAAAAAGTGGACTACTTTAGGCATTTGAAATTAACAGCATTAGGCTCGGAAATTGCGCTACCATTATTTGTTTAGTCTGATGAACCAAACAAATAAAAACCTTTTGAAGTTTTCTTGATATTATGTACCACTAATTAGCAATTAGATATACATAAATAACGGATTATTAATTAAGGATTAAAGTGTCTTAATTGTTTGTGTGCCATCAATCAGGTACGTATATTAACATATCATACGTACCTGCATCAATCAACCAATATAGTACAATTTTTTAAACGATTTTAAGTATGAAAATTCTTTTTTAAATGTCATAAAAAGGGCCAAAATGTCTAGCGGAAAAGGGTCGAAACGTCTAGGGGCCGATTTTTGCACAGGGTCCGATTTGGTTTAGGGCCGAAACGTCCTAGCTGTTTGCGTATGTACGGCATTAGTACGGTGCAGGTACGGCGACGAACAGGGGAAATTTGTGAAATATACTAAAATGGCTGCCCCCATGAATTCGCTTATTGATTCTTTGCCAAATGCAGAGGATAAAATCGAAGTTCTGTCAGATTTGAAAGCTTTATTAGGGAATTTACCTATACAATCAATATCGTCTGTTGTTGCAAATGTATCTTTCAACAGTGTTTTTGACTGTCTTTCTACAGATAACAGGTTTGTTCTACAAACTGCTTTGTCATAATTTCCCCACCCACACTTCCATAAATGTTTATCTACTGTAAACCTGTTGATGTGCTTTCACTTGTTGTTGTATTACTATCCAGTGAAAGATAATTGGCTCATGAATTCCAGGATCGTTTTCAAACCCGCAAAGCGGGGCCGAGTTAGAATTTTCTAAAAATTATTTCACCTGTTCACTTACACATGTACACAGTACAGTAACAGCTAGCCTAAACAGTGCATAATTCTATACAAGTTGATGGCACACAAGCAATTAAGAAACATGGCAATGCTGGACAGGTACCTAACTTTGTCCTGTCAAAGTTTTGTACCCCTCCATAGACTGGTTTTTATTTTCTTTGTTAAAAAGTGTGATTTGTGGCCGGAAACTTCTAGGAAACAAGTTGAGCTCCACACCCCAATTTTTTGTGGAATCATCAACCTTTTGTAATCTAGTTATAAACCCACAGCCATGAGGAACAAATGACTTGAAGTTGGTGACTTTGACCAATTTGCTAATCCTCCACTATGGAAGCCATCAGCATGTTACGGTACCTACTTGACGTGCATTATATGCATGATTTTGTAACGTGACTGTTTATCTTCAATCTTATTAATACAAACATGATTTTAATGAATGTCATAGGTTACCAAGTACTAAGTGTTACTGAAACTTTTGGCATGCACTTTTCAAGTATTAGATTAATAAATAATAACCACAGGCTAATATTTAAGGTGTCTGCCTCAACCTTAGGGTATTTCTTAGGTATTCTGTGTCAGGGCTCTCTCTGCGTTTTGGGATTTTGGGGAACAGTTCCTACACATTCAAAAGTGAAAATGCTCATGTAATTGTACATAATTTATTTTGCAAAAAGAAAAAACTCAATAAAGTATTGTTTGAAGGGAATTACAGTCAACCCGGCCCCAAGTTAACCCGGCCCCAAGTCAACCCTGCCTCAAAATTGGTCAACCCGGCCCCAAAATTGGTCAATCCGGCCCCACAGTATTTTTATTTGGTCAATGCGGCCTCAAAATTGGTCAGTGCGGCCCCAAAATCGGTCATTCCGGCCCCAAAATATATATTTTCAAAGAAAACTATTCAGGTCATTTTGTTGTATGATGGAATAAAAACATTTATTATTGATTGAATATTATGAACTATAGAACAATAGTAAAAAAAAACATGAACTGGCATAAAAGTGTCAGTAAATTTAATTGTGCCGATTAAGACTTTAACAGTTGAATACGCAATAGTGATAATGAATAATTATATAACATCAACAATTATATGTACATCAACATTATTTCAGATGTGATAATCAAACAGTTTAAAAAGGTATAGCTGTGAAAACAAATTTCTTTAAATAAGTTGGTAGTATCTTTCATGTCTTTATTCGATGTAAATTAAAGATGGTTTCGTGAGTGTTAATGCGATAATTAGGAAGAATGGCATAGAATTTCTAGTTAAAAGGTTTGTATAAATAAAGTTTCCAACAATCTTTTTTTCAGTACTGGAATATTATTAAGTCTTCTAAAAATTGATAGTGTTTTGTGTTTAATCACTTTATGTCATTATGACTGATAACTGTATTGATTGCGGATATATTGTGCGTGACAGACAGGAGGCAGTGACCTGCGATACCTGTGATAGATGGCAGCATCTCTATAATTAATCTTACTTCAAAAAACTGTTCATGGAAACACTTTAGTGTGCTTTTGGTCATTTCTGTTTTTTTTAACATACATGATACAATAACATAGTAATGATTTGAACACATTAAGGTTTCTTTTCCATGATATACTCAATAAAAAAGTTTTGTTTTTTCTTAAAACTTCCATCGTAGAGAGGTTAAGGTTCAAGACAGACGTCATCTATTTTCGCGACGGTAAAAACAGTAAACTATGCATGTGTTGCTTGTTTGTTAATATTGATAGTTTTTATATAACATAAATAATTAAAGATATCAGCGTTAAACTTTTGTTGTTGTTTTTGTTGTTAATTTTTATTTCATTTGTTGATAAGTGTTTATATTTTAAAGCAAAATAAATAATAAAATAAATGGGGCCGGGTTGACCAGAAATAACATTGGTTTGGGGCCGGGTTGACCAATTTGGGGCCGGGCTGACTTGCGGCCGGGTTGACTTGGGGCCGGGTTGACTTGTACCGGTTTGAAGGTATCCTCCTTTTGGCAGATACAGGCTGGTAAAATTAAAAAAAAGAAGGGGAAATTAAAAACAAACAATAAGAACAGTATCAATACTGTTTTGTTCCAGGAGGTAGACTCCACAGTGGTTGAAGACTTATAGTAAGCTTCAAGTTTGCATAATTATAAGAGTTAAAAGGAATATGGTTAACCTATAGTAGTGATGCTCTATCCCCATGAGGTCTGCTAGTTTGTGAACATCAACAGTTTCAAGTGGACAAGTACAATGTAAATTGAAATTGCCAAAAAACCAAAACAAAATACATTCCATTAAATTGAAAAAAATGATATCAATTAAGTACTTAAAAGCAAAATAAAGTATATTTCTAAACAGTATAATTAGCGTGTTTGTTGTGACATTCTTGCACTTAAATTTCAGAGAGCAGTTAGAATTGTGTTGTGATGTACTGAACAAGTTGTTAAAGGCTCTCCCTCCTGATATTGTACTGACCCAATTTCAAGATGAACTTAAGTCGGGGTTGACCAATGAGGAGCCTGCTGTAAGAAAACTCTGTATATCAGAGGTGAGTTAACCACGGCAGTATGTTTTGATTGAGGTTTTCTTTAAAATACCACAATAAATAAAAAAAATCATCATCTGCTTAGCTTTAAGTGAGTGCTTTTAAGTTTTAAATAAGAAAATTATGGGATGAAAGAAGTAGATTTAGTGTAAGCTGGTCATAGGAGATAACTATTATTATATACAGTAATTTATTGTCTCTAATAATATCAAAGTAAAACTACATAAAAATAATGAATAACCTATAAGTAAAATTGTTTGTTACAAAGTTTGAAGAAAGTCTTTAAAGACATTGTAACAACATTGGTAGAAAGCATAATACTCATAATGAGCATTAAAATATACAAAAACTAAAGGTGGTGAATTAACATATATGAAAGTATCCCATTTATAAGGGCATAAATCACTCACAATGTTGAGCTAGCTTTTTCACTGACAGGGTTTGTGTGCTGAATATGTTAAACATTTTTAAATATGCTTACCCCCTGATAAGAAAACAAAGATGAAAAAATGAAATTTTAAAAAGACATCGCTAGTATATATTAAAATAAAAGAAATGTATTGTCATTCACAATGCATGGAGTACCTGCAAAATTGACTTAATTAAGTTTTTGTCACAGTATTTTATATGAATGGAATAAGATTTTTTTCAGTGCATATTAGATAATGTATGTTGACTATAAATGTTAACATGCTAAACTTAACAATGTTAGATTTCTGTGCTCTTTGTTTTTGTTAGATTGAAAGATTGAGCCTAGAAATGGTGACTGTACTTTTGCAATATGAAGAATTGGTGATCCAAGTTGTCAAATGCATGAGAGATGATGTCTTAGAGGTGGCGAAAATTGCTGGAAATACCTTGGTTAATATAGGTAACTAAACATAGCAGAAACATTTTTTATACCCACGCACAACAAAGTTGTAAGGGGGGTATACTGGAATCAGCTTTTCCGGCTGTCCGTCCGGCCGGCCGTCCTTCCCGCGGTTTTTTCTTGTCCGCCCAATAACTTAAGATTCCTTTGACCCTTAGTCTTCATATTTGGCATGGAGGTTAGTCATGATTAGTAGATGACCCCTATTGATTTTGAGGTCACTAGGTCAAAGGTCAAGGTCACAGGGGCCTTGACTTCAAAAAGCTTGTCCGCCCAATAACTTAAGATTCCTTTGACCTTTAGTCTTCATATTTGGCATGGAGGTTAGTCATTATTAGTAGATGACCCCTATTGATTTTGAGGTCACTAGGTCAAAGGTCAAGGTCACAGGGGCCTTGACTTCAAAAAGCTTGTCCGCCCAATAACTTAAGATTCCTTTGACCCTTAGTCTTCATATTTGGCATGGAGGTTAGTCATGATTAGTAGATGACCCCTATTGATTTTGAGGTCACAGGTCAAAGGTCAAGGTCACAGGGGCCTTGACTTCAAAAAGCTTGTCCGCCCAATAACTTAAGATTCCTTTGACCTTTAGTCTTCATATTTGGCATGGAGGTTAGTCATTATTAGTAGATGACCCCTATTGATTTTGAGGTCACTAGGTCAAAGGTCAAGGTCACAGGGGCCTTGACTTCAAAAATCTTGTCCGCCCAATAACTTAAGATTCCTTTGACCCTTAGTCTTCATATTTGGCATGGAGGTTAGTCATGATTAGTAAATGACCCCTATTGCTTTTGAGGTCACTAGGTTAAAGGTCAAGGTCACTGGGGCCTTGACTTCAAAAAGCTTGTCCGCCCAATAACTTAAGATTCCTTTGACCCTTAGTCTTCATATTTGGCATGGAGGTTAGTCATGATTAGTAGATGACCCCTATTGATTTTGAGGTCACCAGGTCAAAGGTCAAGGTCACAGGGGCCTTGACTTCAAAAAGCTTGTCCGCCCAATAACTTTAGATTCCTTTGACCTACAGTCGTCATATTTGGCATGGAGGTTAGTCATGATTAGTAGATGACCCCTATTGATTTTGAGGTCACCAGGTCAAATGTCAAGGTCACAGGGACTTTGACTTCAAAAACTTTGTCTGCCCAATAACTTTAGATTCCTTTGACCCACAGTCTTCATATTTGGTATGGATGTTGATCATGACTATAAGGTGACCCATATTGATTTTGAGGTCACCAGGTCAAAGGTCAAGGTCTCAGGGACCTTGACGAAAAAAAGCTTTTCTTCTCAATTGCTAAAGAATGTCCTGTCCGCAATGTAGTGATTTTGACATTTTCACATTTGAAGCATGTAGAATACATAACTTAGCAATGCACTGGCTTAGTAACCTCAGATTTGGCAGGGAGGTTGTCCTTGAGCTCTAAATGGCCTCTGTTGATTCTGACAAAGTGGTATGCGGGGGTATTCACGCCATGATAGTGGCAGTTCTAGTTTTATCAGCATGGTGTTGTACCTGGAAATACTCTGGTTAATATCGGTAACTGAGCACTTCAGTAGAAGAAGATAATGTAGCATTTTGGGAATATATACCGTTGGTAACGGAAAATGTCTACATGTATAACCATTTTGCATCTATGTATGTTCTACTTTAGATTTGGATTTTATATGCCCAAAGACCTAGACGTATTATGGTATGGCGTTTTTGGTCCAAACTATTGAATTTGAATAGGGGGACATATAGTTATGTTTTATGGAAATGCAGTTTATTTATCCACTGCAATTCACTCATTATTATCCTCCGCCGATGGAATCGGGAGGGGGATATAGTTTTGGCGTTGTCCGTCCGTCTGAATTTCGTTTCCGGAGTAGTTCTCTGCAACTACTGGCTGGAATTCAAAGAAACTTTATGGGAATCATCAATATCAAGAGGAGATGCGCATATCGTCGGCTTGTTCCGGTCCGACCCTTTAACTCAGAGTTATGGCCCTTGATTAGTTATGTAGTATGCATATAGAGTAAAAATCGTTTCCGGAGTAGTTCTCTGCAACTACTGGCTGGAATTCAACGAAACTTTATGGGAATCATCAATATCAAGAGGAAATGCGCATATCGTCAGCTTGTTCCGGTCCGACCCTTTAACTCAGAGTTATGGCCCTTGATTAGTTATCTAGTATGCATATAGAGTAAAAATCATTTCCGGAGTAGTTCTCTGCAACTACTGGCTGGAATTGAACGAAACTTTTTGGGAATCATCAATATCAAGAGGAGATGCGCATATCGTCGGCTTGTTCCGGTCAGACACTTTAACTCAGAGTTATGGCCCTTGATTAGTTATGCAATATGCATATGGAGTAAAAATTGTTTCCGCACTACTTCTCTGCAACTACTGGCTGGAATTCAACGAAACTTTATGGGAATCATCAATATCAAGAGGAGATGCGCATATCGTCGGCTTGTTCCGGTCAGACCCTTTAACTCAGAGTTATGGCCCTTGATTAGTTATGACATATGCATATAGTTAAAATCATTTCCGCACTACTTCTCTGCAACTACTGGCTGGAATTCAACGAAACTTTATGGGAACCTTCAATACTAAGAGGAGATGCGCTTGTTCCGGTCAGACACTTTAACTCGGAGTTATGGCCCTTGATTAGTTATGCAGTATCCATATAGAAAAATATTTGTTTCCTCGCTACTTCTCTGCTACTACTGGCTGGAATTCAATGAATCTTTATGGGATACTAAGAGGAGATGTGCATATAGTTGCCTTGTTCCAGTCAGATACTTATAACTCAGATTATGGCCCTTGATTAGTTATGTAGTATGCATACATCTCATTGGCATTTCCAGATTTTACTATTTAACACAGAGTTATGGCTCTGTTATTGCCCTGAATATTTATCAAGTTCAAAGAATATTACTGTTTATGCCATAATTAATATATAAATAAAGCCTTATGTCTTTAGTTGTTGTGTTAATAATAACCAGTACTCGGCGGGGGATATAAATTCAACGAATTTGCTTGTTGATAGAGTTATGCCCCTAACTGGTTGGGCTTGAGACTGATTGCATACATGTAAGCCTATTGCTGACTCTTGTGGGATACATTTTATCACTATTTGTAAATAATTAATACCTATAGCTCTAAATTTGACTGATATGTTACACGTCTGAGATTTAAGTGTTATTTATGACTCCCCTCAGATTATGCCAAACAAACTTGAGAGAAACAGAGACCCTAACACATTTGAATTATTTTTTCTCACTAGGTGGCAGCACTGGTGGTATAACTACATTATATGGTGGGATGTTAATGTCAGCTTTACAGGATGTACTCTCATCCAATGATACTGTACGATTCAGAGTATATGAGGTATGTTTTACCAAAGGTACATTTATTTCACTCTAATAGTTGTAGGTTCGAGTCCAATCAGGGACTTTGTTTTGTCTCATGTAAAGAAGCTAGTATTCAATCAGCTTACAGAAGATTGTTGGCTCTATTTAGGTGTCTGCTTGTGTCTAAGGTAATATAAAAGATAATATATAAAGGGACCGATCAAGAAGTTATTCCCGAAAACCAGATTGATTGTTCCCTAAGGTTGTAATGCCAACGAGTTGAACAAGTTGAAGTCTTTTTCTGCCAGTAAATCAGGTTACAGTCAGTCTATATAATAAGTTTTTAAACATTGATATTCATATTTTTACTATTAAATACACTTGCATATTTGTTAATAATATGTAATTATTAATTCAGGTAATTGTCACAATAAGTTGCCAGTCTGTTGCCGGGTTACACAGTTGTTCTGAGAGCGGGTTACTGCAGCAGTTTTTTAATGAACTTCATCGTGACGATATACTCGTGCAGCTCAATTGTCTCGAGCTTTTGTCTGATCTAGCCCTCGTGGAATATGGCCTAGCTTACCTAGATCAGCAAGGGGTATTGGCCACCCTGGAAAACATGATGAGATCATCCGAGGCTGATCCATTAGCAGGATTTCTTATACCTGGTACTATCTTATTTTCATTATCATCACAATTATCATTATCCGCTTCATTATTAATGTTTTTATTTTTTCAATTCTAAGTACCAATCATTCCTTATTATATGTCCATGGCTGAGTGGTTAAGGTCAATGACTTCAAATGACTTACCCTTCACTGCTGTGGGTACGAATCCTGACAGGGGTTTTGGATACTTTATGTGTGGAAGCTATCCATATCCAGCAAGCTTATGGAATGTTGATGGTTCTACTCTGGTGCCTAGTAGTGCCTGAAATAATGCATTGAGGGGCATCTGAGTCTACTCAATCAGTAAAGCTGGAAAGTCACCATATGACCTCATTGCTGGTGAGAGTCAATGTTAAACCCAACAACAACAACAAAAAAAAAACAACAAAAAAAAAAGAAATAATAACAGCAACTACACTTAATAGGGATTGTATTTTCTTTAAATACTAGTAGTTAGTTTGTTTTTTTTTCCAGGTTTGATAAAGTTTTTTGGATGCGTTGCAAGAATTCATCCAAAGGAGGTGATGACAAGCAATGAGACATTTGTATCAACAGTGTTTACCAACCTTTCTTCTCCACAGAGTGACTCTATGCATAGTTTGGCTATACAAACTGTAGGCTTCATTGGGAGCTCTGTTGAGGGAAAGTTGGCCCTAGAGAAACTAGGTAAATCATACAAGATATTTATATTTGATGCATGCTGAGGCTATAAATCATATTTATTGTACATGTGAAAGGTATACGGGCACAAGATTGTGTTGCCCTCTGACTTAAGAATAAGGAGTATAGGGGTGTTTCTTGTACATGCATGGCTACAAGTTTTCAGGCATTTGCCTCAAGTTCAGGTTTATTCTACTCTTGAAAGCTTTCTCTTGCAATATAAAACCAATGGAAATAATACTAAATTCAGGATTTTTGTGTCGCCTCTACAGAGTAGTGGCAACATATAGGGATCACTTCTCCGTCGTCTGTCTGTCTGTCTGTCCGTCCGTCCGGACTACTCCTCATAAACTACTGGTGCAATTTCATCCAAACTTTACAGGAATGATCAGTACCAAGTCTAGTTGTGCATATTGTCAGCATTTTCCGGTTCAATGATTTTTGTCAGAGTTATGGCCCTTTGATAATTTTTATTATCCCCCGCAGATGGAATCGGGAGGGGGATATATTTTTGGCGTTGTCCGTCTGTCCGTCCGTCCATCCGTCAGTCCGAATTTCGTTTCCGGAGTAGTTCTCTGCAACTACTGGCTGGAATTCAACGATTTGCTTGTTTTTAAAGTTTGTCCGGACTACTTCTCTTATACCACTAATGCAATTTCAATGAAACTTTATAGGATTGATCTGTAGCTCAAGTCCTTGCGCATATTGCACTGGTTTTCCGGTTGAATGATTTTTGGCCGAGTTATGGCCCTTTGATAAAAAGGTGTTTTTTTCTGTGTGTTGCAAGATACACAAAAGCTTGTCCGGACTACTCCTCATAAACTACTGGTGCAATTTTATCCAAACTTTACAGGAATGATCAGTACCAAGTCTAGTTGTGCATTGTCCGTCTGTCTGTCCGTCTGTCACAAAATTTGTCCCAACATGAAATTGGCCATCATGAGGCGACACATGTGATTACTGATCGCTCTTGTTATGTACATGTACATACTTTGTTGAAGAATAAGCTTTTATACAAAATACTACTGTGGTAAATTGTTTGTCCTGTTTGTGTGTCAGTGCACATGAAAGCCGACTGAAAGAACAATCGACATCATACCTATTTATTATGAATGCATATTGAAGCAGCTTTGTCCATTATTAAAAATAATCCACACAGTATTGAGAATCAGTGTAACATTCAAAACTTAAACATAAAGGTTAAGTTAATAATAATTGAAGTAAATGGTCACACATTTATAGAAAGCTATAGAGCAAGCTAGAAATGTACCTTTCATTTCACTGTTTTGTCAGTCTATGAATATAGATAGCATGAGGGTAGGACAGGACCACAATAGGACAGATGGACAAGGGCAAATGTATATGACCCCCCCCCCTTTAAATAGGGGCATAAAAATTATCAATTGTTTCTTTATACACAAGTGGAAAAAAAATAAAAAAAATAATATACTTTCACATTTCTGTATGACAAATGTACATGTAATATATAGTAGATTATAGTTATAGAGATAGAAATGTTTTAGAATATTACTCTATCTCTCTATATATGACAGGTAATAAGATGGATACAGGTGTAAAGTGTATAGGTAAAGCATTGAGAGAGACCCAACATGACACAAAGATTGTTGTTCTACAAGCACTTTCAACACTCCTCAAATTAAAGGTATACCAAAACTGATATAATTACTAATATATTATAATATTACTAATATATACTTTTTACTATAGAAGTAGCAAAATTGCCTATGATTTCAACTGATTATGAGTGTCACATGACAGATTATGAGTTTGTGGCCTGAGGCGGAAAACTCATAATCGGCCTGGTGAACACAAGTACATGCACAAACTGAAACAATGACATCACATTTTATGTCCCCAAAACCACAGGCAAAAGTATCGGACCTGGGAAGAAAAAATATGACTAGATTGATAAAAAAAGACCTGTGTTCATCTTAAAAGTGTCCAAAAAAACCAAAAAAAATGTATAAATGACCCCCTTTAAAAATATACTATAAGTTACTGACGGTTGTGAGTGGTCCAACTTAATGTATTTAGTAATATTATTTAGTAAATTCAAGTAATTTTGACCCGTAGTCAGCTGACATACATGTATTAGTCTATGTTTACGTACCGAATTGTTGTGCCGCAATTATGTCTACCAAGGATTTTTAGCACGAAGTCGCTCGTTTCCTGATAGATATTTCATGAACGGGAAGGGCTAGAGACTTGGGGTTGGTCTCATTTTGAAGCTTTATATAAACGTGAAATAGTGATAAAAGGTTTTTTTTAATTGTCTGGCCAATTGTTTTCACAACGGCCCGGGAAATGAATCCCTTGCTCGTAGGCTCGAATCTGGAGTTTCCGGCCTTCTCTTAACTTATAGTATATTTTTAAAGGGGGGTCATTATATACATTTTTTTTTGTTTTGTTTTTTTTTGACACTTTTAAGATGAACACAGGTTTTTTTTATCAATCTGGTCATATTTTTTCTTCCCAGGTCCGATACTTTTGCCTGTGCCCAAAACAGCTACATGTAAATGTAAAAGGGCAATAAGTTTTAACACATATTTGGTCGCATCTCGGTTTACCTGCTTTACCTGCTTTCCTGGATTACAAAATTTTCCACTAGTGACCGACTTCTAATCCCACACAATTTCTGAATCAGTGGTGAGATAAATGACCATTAGACTCAGTGACCTGCATCAGTTGTCACAGAGAAATTTTGGCCCTGTCGAGGATCGAACTGGCTACCCCTGGATAACTTATCTGATGTTTTTCCTAATGAACTAAACAGCACCTTCTATCAGTAAATAGAAGGTACATTTAATAAATATTAAATCACTAGTATTTATCACTTCAATTGCCAAATGGTGAAGGTCATTGATTTTTGATCGCTTCCACCAAGATGTTGGTACAAGTTCTTCTAAATACTTTGGTCTTTTTAACAAGTCAAGAGCTTGCTTAATATCATGGAAGATAATTATGTGGTACTGCTTATGTGTTGGATTGCACCAGGAATTTATACTAACATATTTTATGGAGACAGTGTAGTTGCTAATTTTAGATTTAGATTCATAATGCTGACAGAATATAACTTTACTTTATGACCTATGTTAAATGTATGAGTCTGGGCAATCTGTATTTTGATAAAAACACTGCCGTGAATTCTAGATTTGTCATAATTATGTGTGACATTGATCAGATAATCTATAGATAGACATTTCTTTATCAAAGGATTATAAAATGTTATTTGTAGGTGAATTAAATCATTATATGAAAGCATTGATCATGGTTCAATCAAAATTAAGTTTTGCAGCTTGCACTTTATTAAATAATGACATTGCCCGACAGAAATTAAGTTAAGAAGTTTGTTTTTCGTAATTAGATAGCTATATTGTTTGTGTTAATAAATAAGTCATTTTATAGAAATGGAGAAATAAAATGAACAAGATTTTGAAAAAAATAATAAAACTTATCATTTAAAAAATTGGTAAAATTTATCGTCAATATTTTTATTGCGTGAAATCATCAAATTATATTGAACTGGTGCACCATGCCAAACATCAACTTTAAAGAAATTATTGGTCATATTTTTTTGACACCACTGTAAAATGGTGAAATTTACAAGCACCAAAGATAGAATCACATCAATTTGGGCTAAAACAGCAAAATATGCTGACCCAAAAATATCATGAAGTACGGTATGTAATTTGTTTGATTTGTATTTCAAACAGGTTCCTGATCAAACATCGGAGTTACTGAAGCTAACAGAATGTTGGTACAGCCAGCTAGGAACTCGAACCTTTGACTACCTTATGTCACTGGCAGACCAACCTTTCCCAGATCTACGCACCGCCCTACTCAGTTTGTTCAACTCGTTGGCATTACAACCTTGGGGTCAAAATATAATGAACAATCATCCTGGTTTTCGGGAATACCTTCTTAATCGGTCAACTGAGAAGACGAAGGAAGGAAAAGAGGGGAAATTTGCTGTTATTTCAACTTTAGCCAATTCACCAACTTCGGCGGAGATTTTTGGATCCCCGTACCTGATTCATCTAAAAGCTTATTGTAGCCAGGGCGCTTTTTATGTTCAGGCACAGGCAGAAGTTGCCTTGGAAGGGGATTCGTGATAGAAAAAACAAAAATAAATACAAGCAAAACTGTTTTTTCATTTTTGTCCTTTTCATTACCATTTATATGTGTATAAAAAGATCCCTGTTTAATGCAAATATTTGCCATCAGTGTTTATGATAAAGCTATTTTAAAGGACAATGACACAAATTTATTAAGTTACAAGGCCTCAAGCCCAATACACACATAAAGAACTATAGTACAAGTATACATCTATGGATGTTACAATTCGGACATGTTTAAGACATAATAAAGAATACATACAGCAAAATAACAGCATTTTATCATAGAAATAGTACAGGATTCATTTAAAGGAACTTTACATATCAGCAAAATAAGTATTGACAAGTCCTCACATAAATTTAGATTTAATACATGTATGTCCTTTCAGATTTATTAAAGGGAATGTGTGCCTTCGTGGCCTAGTGGTCAAGGTCTGACTTCAAATTACCTGCCCCTCACTGCTGTTGGTTTGAATTTTGACTTTCCTGTCCACCTAGCTTACTGAACCTTCAGGTTATCGCTTGTACTTGATATAATAAGTGTAGGTCTTTTGGGTGTCTTCTTTCTCCAGGAAAGCTTGAGTGTCAGTGTATGACTTTACAATATAGGTGTGACTTTAAACTCCAACCATCTCTGTCAAAATCTATGCACCAGAAAGAGTATCTCTATGAAATTATATTGTAAAGAAAGATGTATTACATTACATGATTTTAAGTCCTTCCAAATCTATTTATATATATGGCAGTGGTGTACAAACTCAAAAGTACTTTTAGATCTATCTAAAATATTTTTTTTTCGTTTGCTTAACTCTTGGTTTTTTTGCAAAAGATTACATAGAAAGTTGAAATGTAATGAACTATATATTTTGAGATGTACAGTTGAGTTCACACTAAACTTCCCACCCTTGTGCACTTCTAGTGCACTAGAGCTGAACTAGAAGTGCACACCGTGTGCACTTCTAGTGCACTAGACCATATGACCAGGCTGGCAAGGGCAGGTGACACCTAAATGGTTTATTGGATTATTGCTTATCAAGTGACAGGGGGCATCTATTGTTAAGCTGCTGTAAGAGAATATATGGCCTATTCATGAATATAAATAAGTAAATTTTAAAATCAGCAGTTTTAACATTTTAGGTGATATCATGTTAAAGCTTAAAATTATTTTTTTTTTTATTTATTGAAATCATATTTTTATTAACCAGTATTTAACTGTAAGTGTAAAATAATACCCCTTAAAATCAAATTTATAGAATTAAAAAAATAATAAGGTTAAATTTAAATATGCTCCGTAATGGATAATTAAATAAGAGTTTTTAATGTTTTTTTTTTTAATGGCCATGTATTTCAATTTTTCTAGTGTACAAATGGGAAAATCAATGTGATAATTCTGGCCTAATTAATTTAGTTTGTAACAACATAAACTTTTTTTTCATAAGCTCGAAAGGTTTATATTTAAGCTAAAATATTATTTCTATAATATATAACTTAGAGACAATTCCTATGTTCAATATTGAAAGAGAATATTAATACATTGATTTTAAAACAATCAATATACTATGATAATTTAGTATTCAACTGTGTAATGCTTGCATATGTTTTAAAGATATAAATAATTAAAATATTATCCATAAAATAAATTAATTTGATATCTGTAATTTATTCATTATTTCAATATTAAAAATTTAATGTATAAAGGGAATACTTTTATTGAAGAGGAAAATCTCAAATCATGCTGTGTATTGGTATTTTCTGAGAGGGGCTGTTTTCATTATACCACTTTCCTGCTAATAACAGGGCCTTAGGGTAAATAACAAAGAACAGGCAATTTTGCAGATAATTAGTATGCATTGAAATTCCCTGGTTTTTTTCAAAATGCATGTTAGACATAAGCCTGGGATTCATCAGGCGTTCGCACTCAGGCTAGTTAGTCATATTAGATAAATTACCATAATTTTTGTATAATCAAATATACAAAAAATTAATGGCATAAATGCATATTAGATATTATTGTCTCTAAAGCAGAATTTTCTATATTTATCCATTTATCCACATTTCTTGCCATTCTGCATTATAATATATAACTTAAGAGGCAATTTCTCATGTACAAGATTGAAAGAGAATATTAATTCATTGATTTTAAAACAATCCATACACTGTGATACTATGTTTTTCAACCATGAAATGCTTGCATACTTTTTAAAGATATAAATAATTAAAAAATTTCCATGAAGTAAATTGAATTGATAACTTTATTCAAGATTTCTATATTAAAAATTTAATGTATAAAGGGAATGCTTTTAAACAAGAGGAAAGTCTCAAGTCATGCTGTGTATTGGTATTTTCTGAGAGGGACTGTTTTCATTACACTGGTCTCCTGCTGATAAGAGGGCCTCAGGGTAAATAACAAAAATGCAGATGTATGCAATATTTATTTAAAATTTCCTGTTTTTTTCCCGAAATACATGTAAGACATAGATAAATGACTACAATTTTTGTATCATCAAATGTAAAAAATAATCATAATGGCATAAACCCATGTTAGATATTATTGTCATTATTGTCTTTGAAGTGGAATTGTCTAATCTTACCATAAAAAAAAACTCGTTTAAAATCAATATCAGTGTTAACTATTCTAGAAAGACCTCATATCAATATTTATCCACATTTCTTGCAATTCTGCATTAAAATTTGCAGCATCTTTTAGTGTCTGAACTGGGAAATGTTATTTTTTTCCATTATAGATTTGACAAATTTGCCTTGTCAGTTTTACACATTTAGAAGATAATATATTTTAAAGAAAATATTTAAATACTTGATTATAAAACTTTAATAAATTGCAACATCCTTTTCACTTTAATGCAGATCTTTTGTTTTTCTTTTTTTTTTTAAATGAAATATCATACATGAACAGAAAACAGTTATACAGAAGATTAAAGTGTCAAAAGTCATGCTGTGTATAAGTGTTTTAATAAAGTACCCTGCTGATAAGAGAGCCCCTCGGGGTAAATAACAAAAGGCAGATGATAGGTATAAATAGGCAAAGTAAATTCTGTATTCGCTGGATGTTGGTGCAAATAAATTTCATTACAAGTAACTGAAATATTTTTGAATTTTATAATAAACTCATAAAAATAATCATATTGCATAATTTTGTTACAATGCATGAAAAAAAAAGAAAAAATATTGGTGTCATCTCAAAAAATGAAAAAAGTGAAAGATTTTCTGAACTTTTTGTTAATATCCATGTCAGTTTAAGTATACTAGTGTCCCACAGGTACATATCAATACTTAACCCACACATATCAATATTTAATCCACATTTCATACATACCACCATTAAATATGAATATTTATTTTCAGAATAATATATATCATTTATATTAATCTTAGGTAAATCTCAGTTTGAGAAGGTAAGTGAATGAGATAAAATTGACAAAATTTAGGCCAATTATAAACATATTAATTCTTTAATGTATTAAAGGCTATTAATGCTTAAAATCATCACCTTTAACTAAAACAACCATAAGTTATGATCAAAAATAACTAATTGGTATAATTTTGCCCCCCCCCCCCCCCCCCCCCCCCCCCCCCCCCCCCCCCCCCCCCCCCCCCCCCCCCCCCCCCCGGAAAAAAAAGTGACTGAATTTTGTTGAATTAGCATTTCAATGTTTCATATTTCATTACCAGATTATAATAAAATAGAATCATATTAAATATCAATTAATTTTGTTTATTTATGCACTTATCAACATTAAAGTTATAATTATTTATATTTACTTATCCTAACAATTAAGTTTTAAAGTACAAAATCAGTAAAATTAATGGCTGAAAAATAATTGTTCTAATATTTTACTCCATATTTTAAAAAATTCAATATTTACAACTTCAAATATATTATGAAAAACTAATATACATATATCTATATTTATCTATCTTTTTTCTAAAGTCAAATTGCTATTCATTGAACTGCTTAATACATATAATAGGTCTAGTGCACTACAAAGTGCACTTATGAAGTGCACTATTAGTGCACTACTAGTGCACTTTGAAGTGCACTAGTAGTGCACATCTAGTGCACTCCTAGTGCACTTTGTGTAACCTTTAGTGTGAACTCAACTGTATTGCTGCATTTGTACAATATACTGTTGCTTTTTACACTACTGAATTCATGTGATGGATTTGTATCTCTTTTGATAAAAGAATTCATGAATGACCCATCACATAAATGTATGTGTTTTGTTCCATAGCATTTCATGACTGACTGCTACACTTGACTAATGAATTGCATAAATTTAAATAAGGTCTAGTCCAGTGAGCTGAGAGTGAAGGTGATTGCAACAGGTCCTTTGACAGTATATGTACGTATTAGGAGTGTAACAATACATTCAAACCTTTATCGTGATACAGTCAACTCCGTTTAGAATACAAATTGCAATGTATTAAAAAGCATAACTATGTATGTTGGTCATCTGGTACCATGGCATGTAGCAATATACATCTGAACAAAAACTAATCATGGTTATACATGTAAATGTCACTGTTCTAGGGGTCATGCAGATAATTTGTACAAAACATGAAATGGAAAAGTGAAATGACTTGATTTCTCTCTACTTTATAGTATATATTGCTGAAACAGTGTTACATTCAGGCATATATTGCCCCGCCTTTGTGGTGTTCTTGTTGAAAAATACAAAAAAGCCCTACAAACAATAAATGATGTTTTGATTTAAATGTTAATATTGAGTACACACTTTTGTATGTTTTAAACTTTAAAAGATAAAGGTGTTTGTACAATTATAATGCTGTAAGTGCTTGATTTTTTTTATTTCAATCAAATGTTGAATGAAATATTACATTACAATCGAGGGTTGTGTACCTTCTAAGAGTGAAGGTGATAGTTGCCAATGGCCCTTTGATAGTACATGTGTAAATTAAGAGTGCAGTTATACAATCATGTGTTATGAACAACAGCACAATGTACAGGTACAGGTATATTGTTCAACACTAGGCAGAATTTGTTTAGATTGAGAGATAATGGAGCAGCAAATCTAAGAAAAAAATTAATTATTTTAAAATCTTACCAGTCCTGTCATCAAAATAACTCAACTGAATCTTTTTTCAAGCAACCAGAACAAAAAAATAACTGAGGAAGTAACTTTTACAAGTGTAGGTGTTGGACAGCATTTTTTATATATTTTTCTTTTTCTTATTCAAAACCAACACTGATGGATGACACATCCTTAGTGTTCATGAGGAATTTAATTAATTACATCCCGCAAACTCTTTATTGTCCTTAGAAACTATGGATTACCAGTACCTGTAGAAAGCCTCTATGTATAAGCAGGCATATGATCTTGGTCCCATGGGAAAAGTTAAGATTCAAATATATCTGTTGGTATGAGAATTAGTGTACTAATGCCTGCAAATTTGAAAAGTCCCGGTGGGGTACGGCTTATAGCCTGTTAGCTAAAATCACGTGACGTACAAAATGGCAGCCCCCATGTTCAATTTCAATGTTGGTGTTTTGGGACACGTTGACAGTGGTAAAACGAGCTTGTCAAAAGCCCTTAGTACTACAGCAAGTACTGCTAGTTTTGACAAAAATCCGCAGAGCAAGGAAAGAGGGATAACTCTCGATCTTGGCTTTTCTTCTTTTCAAGTAGATCTCCCCACCCACCTAAGTAATGAAGTGGGACAAGGTGTTGTGCAGTACACGTTGGTTGATTGTCCAGGACATGCATCCTTAATCAAAACGATAATTGGAGGTAAATATATTTTTTATATCAACTGTAAACCCAAGTCAATTTTTTTATAACATTAGTTACAGAATTTTTTATCAGATGGGGCATAATATGCATTATTGAGATAATGGTCCAATTGTCCCTATACTGATAGTTTTCAACCACAACTACTTTTTGATCATCCCTAGAAATGTTTTAATTGAAACCTTATTTGTTATGTACCGTCAACCACAAGAACTCAACACAGTGTTGGTAAGTATACTAAAGTTAGGTATATGAAAAAAGCAAAGCGAGCTCAATTTACTTTTACTGAAATAGTATAAAATAATCATTCATTTTTATTTTACATTTTCCGTTTTGAAACTGTCATTCGGTATTTTATACACTGTTTCTGTTTATTCTGGTTCCCTGTCCTATTATGGGGTCTATGAAAGTGCGGAGGATACTATTTTACGCATCCATTTTCAATTAGAATACCTCGGCTTTTATCGTTATCTTGTAATTTCGAAAAGTTGCGTTGTGTCAATTCATTATTTCCTACGACAGTTTTTACAGCACATACTCTCGTTACTGTAAAGCTCGCTTTTCGAGCAAGCCCTACGGCCAACTCTTAGAGATCGCTACTGTACATGTTTTCATGAATACACACTTGTTTCTTAACAATGTCTATCTTAGGCATTTTTGTGTAGATTTAAAAAAATAGATTTTAGAGCTATATAGATTTAATGTCTTACTTTCAGGTGCACAGATTATTGACCTGATGCTACTTGTGGTTGATGTTGTAAAAGGTTTACAAACACAAACAGCCGAGTGTCTGGTGATTGGTGAAATCACATGTAACAAGATGATAGTTGTTCTAAACAAAGCTGATCTTTTACCACCAGATAAAAAAGATACTATGATAGATAAGGTTTGCATTTTTAATGTTTTTCTCTCTGCATATATTTATTGAAATGATTGAGCGCATAGATTTCAATAACTTTTGTAATTGAAATCTGTACGTTTATAAATATATATTTAATCTTAGGAAAGATATAAATAAATAGTATAGACTAAAGGTGTTGTTAATGTATTGTAACTGATTATAAAGTAATAGTTATCATGATAAACCTTTTTACATATATCTCTATATATGCAATTATGTAAAATATATAATTTCAATCTTAAAAATTTGTTGAACATTGAATGCATCATTGGATTAATTTTAAATTTTTCATTATGATTTTAAGCAGGTAATGTAGTTTTGTTAAATTATATATTCAGATGAAGAAGAAGATGCTAAAAACACTAGAGAACACAAGATTTGCTGGTGCTCCCATTGTTGCTGTAGCTGCCAAACCAGGGGGTCCAGAGGTATAGTAAAATCAACTGAAAATGATTTATTAATAGCACATTTTTCCTCTTAAATTTTGAATTTATTAGTGAAATAAAATTGGTATATTTCATTGTTTTAAACAGTGAATCAGTGATTGTTTGTTCCATGTTCTTTATACTGCCTGATAACAAAATGATAGCAAAATTATCAGAGTGATGGAAAATGATTTTCCATGAGACAATGGTCATGCTTACTATAGTGCCTTAGTGCAGTAACAGGTTAACTCCTATTAAATTATATAAGGAGTTAACCTGTTACTGCACTAAGATTGTGATATGAGGACTGGCCATTTGTGTGCTAGTCCAGAACTTATTATATATATATAAAAAAACTCCCAAGAACCATGCATTTTGTTGCTCCATGCTGTATTAACATTCCTTTGGCATTGAAAAATAAAACAACAGAAACTTTTAGAGAACTTTAAAGATCCTGCAGTTGTAATTGAGGTCGTTACCACACTTAACTGAAATTTAATATATGTATATAATCATGCTTATAATACTGAAGAATATGTAAAATATATACTGCAAATATTTGTGCACATTATATGTAATAATTAAAATACATGCATTCATTTCTTATTGAAAATAAATTTCTAATTACCTACCTTTATTTACATGAAATGTTAAATTCGGTAATATCTTTATAAATAATGCTTTTTGGAACTTACAATATTGATAAATCTTAATTTGAGCATCATACTAATGATATAAAACCATAAAAAAATGTGTTACAGGATCTTTAAAAACATGTTTAAGGAAAGTTCCTATCAATATAATCAATATAATCATTCAGTATCAGTGTAACTGAAAATTTAACTGATGATATACATACATAATCTAATGTCTCCTCATAATAAGACACTGGATTTCTCTGATAGCATGGCATATTGAAAAAGAGCATTTTATCCAATCCATACTTCATCATGCTTTGCATGTTTATAACATTAGTTGCTGTAATTTGTATATACATGTAGTTTATTTTGATATCATTGAAGTCACCGGAAACAGAGAGTTTGGGTCTACAAGATCTGATAGACACCCTCAAGACAAACACGTATATACCTCAGCGAGATGTAAAGGGGCCATTTATCTTCTCCGTAGATCATTGTTTCAGTATTAGGGGTCAAGGCACGGTGATGACAGGGACAGCCCTCAGTGGAAGCGTGTCGGTCAATGATGTAAGACTTATTCTGTTTTCACACTTGCACATGTCTGGTCTGGTCACCTATTTTATATATTACTGTTGACATTCTTTAAAGTCATGTAGACCTAAAGCAGCATTCCAACCCCAGCTGATTTTTTATAAAAACTGAAAACTGTTATTGCTATGTTGACCATTTTTTTGTTTCGAGGAATTAACATGTTCTTTAAAGTGACGTTATGCTCATTCATGGTTAGATATAGGGTGAACAGGTGAAAGTCAAAATAAGTTAACATTTTCTCATAAGTCCTTTCAATTTTATAATTTACTTCACATGAACTATAAATAACTCACTGGGACCTGTGAAATGTGTGTAATTATCCATCGGAATGTATCTGTAACTTGCAATTTATCAAAAGAGTGGGTCAGTCTTTTTTTATATATTTAGGAAGATTAACTTATTACCCTAAACATTTTCAAATATCATGTCTTGGTCAATCGCCATTATACGATCAGTTTATTGAAATATCTAGTCAATTTGACAATGAAAAAATGAGCATAATGTCACTTTAAGAAGCAGCCATACTATACTGGCTAATATACATCATATAAAACACATTGTAAACTCAATTTAGGCACATAATTATATTATATAGTGTTATTTCACTCTTAAAATAGAAACAAATCTCATGGTAACAACATCACTCAGTTATGTTGTAATTTTGTATAGGTTTTGTATATTTTCTCCGGCTGACCTTTTGGGGTCTGCTGACCATGTAAAACAGGGTCAATTATAAACAGTATCTATGTATAGGAATTTCTTTCTGTCTGACCTTATTCTGACCGTTACAGACAGGGTTAAGTTATATAATATATAAAGATGATCCTAATGCAGTTTTGAGTGTAATATGATCACAAAAAATAGTAAATTTAGTCATATTTCATTTTAAAGGCACAAAGAGTCACTTAAAATCCTCAAAAAAAATCAAATTCAATAAAATATAATAAAATTTTAATAATAATTATGTAAAAGTAATCAAATTTCATTTACTCATGCAAATCTTAAGAACAACAAAGCCATTTCTTACTGTGTGATTGTATTCAACTCGTGGCTGTGCTTACATGTGAGGGAGCTATCCAGGTACTTTACTACAGGTCATAAGTTGGGCTTATTTCATGACTATATTATGTTTTTCAGACTATTGAGATTCCAGCTATGAAGGTCACTAAGAAGGTCAAATCTATGCAGATGTTTAGAAAGCCTGTAGAGAAAGTAGTTCAGGTAATGTGCTAGGATGTATGAATCTATAAAATAATAGTTAACATTTTGACATTTTATTGTTTCGTTTTGTTACAGATACACATGTCAAGCGTTATATGTCAAAGCAAAACTGTTATATGTCCTTCTTTATTTCATACAAGTTACTGCAGTTTTGCAGTCAACCCATGATGTATCAGAGTATAATACGAATTCTTGCATAAAAACTGCACATACGAGGGGTTATCCAAAAATTCGTGGACTTTTTAAATATCTCTTGAACGTCAACGTGTATTGTAATGAAATTTTATCAGCATACATTGTAGAATATTATCAACACATTTTGAAAGGAACAGTTAATTGTGTCAATAAATAATGATTTTATATTGCTTTTAAATAAGCACATGCACGTCACCCCGCGGTAGAAAGCGCTGTAAGTCATCGTATACTTCTTTCTAAAAAACTAAAAAAATAACATAGAAAACCCGCTGAACATCGCATGTTTCTTCTATGATGTCATTTAAGTAATTCTTTAAAATTATGGACGTCATTTACCTTTATTTTTGTTGATATCGCTAGAAACGCCAGACGCCTTTATTGTTTACAACGGGAAAATGACGGACACGCGATAATTAGAAAATCGCATGATCATAAACAATCATAAATTTTTATTGCAATTTTGAAATGACACCTACAGAAACATTTGAAAAAAATCAGCAGACGAACAGAGAAAAGAATATTTCACGATCATTAGTGTTAAAGTGGCAAAAATAAATTAGTAATGGACATTACTTTGAGAAGCAGTTACAGTCATTGACTGCGTAACGTTGAAGTATAAATTGTACGTTAATATTATGACGTTGACGTCAATAATTTTTTGGAGTGCGCCGCTGTCGCCGACATGTGTTTATGTAAAATTAAATATTGTTGTAATGTAAGAAGCTTACTCACATGAATTTTTCTGTGTTTATTTGTTATTAATTCTTCTAAGCAGTGTAAGAATTTCAAATTAATATCTCAAATAAATTTTACGCAACAAAGAAATTCCACGAATTTTTGGATAACCCCTCATACATGTATATATTAATGGAGAAAAGATTTTGCATTAACAGATTCTTGTGACCCACAATGTTGTTGCATGGTTTTTTATATCCTTGACTCAGGACACAATATATAAACAGCTTAATGATATGACGGCTTCCGCAGTTTTATAATCAAAACATATCTGTAAAATGACATTACACAAGCATGTGGAAAGCATGGTACAAGAAATGTTTTTTTATAGTTAATACAGATAACAAAACATAGAATTACCAATATAGACATATACTTTTATGCAAGAATAGCACTAATGCACCTTTTTGTGTGCATTACCATCTGCAGAAGCCCTCAGACTAATTAAATCCCTTGCCCTGCAGGCTCCAGCTTTAAATACATCTTTGTGCTTCTGCAGATGTTAATGCAAGAAAAAAAGGTGCATCCACCCTCTATTATGTTAGATTTGACCATAATATAAGAATTGCATTTCTTTTTTATTTATTTTTTTGTGCAGTTTAGTCTATAATGGCATGATTTCATAATTTGTAAGTTGACCATAGGATAGTATTTATTGCAGTTGCAGTGGGTAATATTAAAATTTTCAATAATTCTTGAAGTGGGCTATGTTTAAGACAATTCAGAGAGGCGGTTAGATTCTGGTGCATTGGCATGACATTATTGCAACATTATTTAGTATATACATGTATATGTAGTCTGTTCATGACAGTTGATAACTGATATCTTTTTATGAAAAGTTCAAAGCACCAAACCATTCAGTAATATACAGTTAAACCTGTGCTAAATACAACCTCCAATTAAAGGTCACCTGTATTTTAAGTGTAATTAAAGGCCACTCTTCAGCAGTTTGTCATTGATTAAATAGAACAGTGTTACCTCCGAGTAAAGAACGCTTGTCTATAATGGTCATGTTTGGTGGCCTTTGTTCACAGGTTTGATAAAATTATAATTTTAACGAGTGGCGCATAAGGTAGAATTATTGATCTTACACTTAACTAAACAAATTTTCTTTTTATTATATGCAAAGAAACATTTTAAAATACATTAAACCTAATACTGAATGAAAAGCGCGCCAAATTATAATACAACGTGACGTCATTTATGACGTCATGTCATTAAGTCGATTCCCAGTACTGTGCATGCAGGTATTTTACTGAAACAAGGTAAGGGGCTAAAATTCAAAACAGTGAAATTATCAAATTGATTATTTCATTGTTTCAAACAATGAAATTATCAGTTTTATATCACTGATATATTTCAATAAACCACCGAAAAGCTTGTAATAAAAATTATTATATGAACCTACATGTAAGTCATCACAGAATTTTGAAAATAAAAGACAAATTAGTTTAAAACTGTATTATTAACCAATACAATTAATGGAATTTCAGGGGGATAGAGCAGGAATCTGTGTGACCCAGTTTGACCCCAAGTTGTTAGAGAGGGGAACCATTTGTACCCCAGGTGCTCTTCCAACTATTGAAGCTGCGGTCATCTCTGTCCAAAAAATACCGTATTATAAAGTTAGTATACTTTTTTGTAAGTTTTAAGTAAAAAGTATTTCCTTTCACACACATACCAAAACAACTTTTTCTATTCTTACTATAGATAAGTATAAGCATTGACAATGTTCTCATTCTATGTTTTTTATAGTCAAAATTTACTTGTATGCAAGCCTGTGGTGAACATAATATTGTTCTATTCAACAAGTTCAATAAATTTAGTAATGTACCGAAATGAATAAAATATTCTATTTATCACATACATGTACCTAAAAATGATCCATTTTCCAGTTATAACAACCATTTATTCATTGACGTACCTATTGTGTAAAACTTACATTCAGCGTGTTTTTATGCTATGTTTGTATAAAGCAAGTGACGTCTTGTCAAAAATATGCACGACTGTGCCATACCATTTTTACTGAGTCGCAAAATTGGCACAGATATGTGATGAAACTTTTTTTCTTTACCTTGGTATATTTACTAATGATAACTATACTGAACTATTTTGTAGGGCAGTATTACATCAAAAGCAAAGTTTCATATTACTACGGGTCATGACACAGTGATGGGGAGATTAACATTTTTCGGTCTCTATGACGATACCACTGACCGACGGTCATTGGAAAAACAAACTGCTCAGATAAAAGTTAGTGATGAAGATTCCCTCGATCTTTCAAAAGAATATTTGTACCAGGATGAATTAATTTCAAACAGTTCTAAAGGGAAAGGTGATTCTGCGGAAGGAGGCGAAATAAAAAAATTACCTGTGAAACAGTACGCTTTAGTCCAGTTTGAGAAGCCAATGACATGTCAAAATTCAGCGTTAGTGATTGGTTCTAAACTTGATACAGATATACATGCCAATGTGTGTCGAATAGCATTCCATGGAAAGTTGCTTTTGGGTATGACGGACCCAAAATATTCGGAAACCATTCTTCCGAAGATAAAAGCTTACAAGACAAAAGTGAAAGAGGGCTTAGTAGAAAGAGTGATGGATGAGTACACAGTGATAGGAAAGAATATGTTTAAGAAAGAGACAAACATAGCAACTTTTACAGGTCTGAAGATCACATTGTCAACTGGAGAGGCAGGGATGATAGAAGGAGGGTTTGGTCAAAGTGGGAAAATTAAAATTAGAATACCAGGTAAGCAGGAAAAAAAGTAATCTTTAACCAGTTTTAAGTTACATAACATGCGATTGATAAAAAATCAAATGATCTCATTTTCTTAGCTTGTCTGTTTTGAAGAAAAAGTCGAGTTATTATGATCCCAGCAGTGTCATTTTTGTCACTGTGCAAGAACTTTAATGAAGCCCATTACTCTAACAATTTTAATTTTGAAACTTGAAATTCTTGTTTTTAATTCTGACAAGAGACAGTTGTATCACAAGGGGCATTATTTTGAATGCTATATACATGTATTTGGAGTTATGCCCCTTTTTAACTTAGAATTTTTGTCAAAATTTTATATTAAGTCAATTTATTTCAAAACTATAAAAGATATCAACATGAAACTTGGAATACTTGTAAATATTAACAAGACACAGTTGTTATACAAGGGAAATTATTCTAAAAGCTATAAATTTCTAGTAATGATCATTTTTAACAAAAACTTTTTGTCAAATTTTCTTATCAAGTTGAATGATTTACCTGGTATTTGCAGGGGAACGTGGCAGTCATTATAACTATAGCTACTAAAATAGATGATGATTTTAAATTAACTTACAATCATCTTCTTCAATGGTATTAATATGGGTAAAAATAATAGCTGTAAAATTATCAGTAGAATGATTTCAAAACTATCAAAGCTATCAACTCTTGATATAAGACAAGGGACATTATCCTGAAAGCAATGCTTAAGAAGTTATGCCCCTTTTCAAATTATAATATTTATTAAAATTGGTTATTGATAGTGGTTGCCCTTTACAGGTGAGCGTTAACTCTGCATGCAGTGCCCTTATTTCTTGTTTTTGTTGTAATTTTTGCAGACAGCAATTGACTTTTATTAATATAATGTAATATTTGTGCACCCGGTATTGAGCACGAGTATCATCTATACATGAGTGTAGTTTGACAAGGTGATATTTTCAGTTAAATTCTTTGTATCAAAACCCCTCACATTAACATTGGGCAGCAGTCCCAGATATTTGGTTGGAAGAAATATTTACATTTAATTATTCTTTCTTTCAAGGTGGATTACCGCCAGAAATTGTGAAAAGATATGCCGGTGGGAAGAAGAAATCAAAAGGAAAAGGAAGTGAGGAATCCGCCAATCAGGATGAAGATGTCTCTGACAAGGAGCCAATCAAAATTTTCCTTACATTTAAAAGATATATTTATGATCCAGAAAAGAAAATGAAACAAACTTGATGATTGAATGTAATTTACAATTTATAGGGAATGGTGGAATTTTCTACTTTTTGTAGTATATTTACACTAAGAAGATATCAAACAAACATGTATGAATTATCAACCATAACCTTGATTTCATGTTGGTTTTTGGTGAATGGCCATTTTTGTAACATCTGGAATGACAATATTATTAATTAGCTAATTAATGTCCATTGATTCTATACCAGTACTTTACTGTTTTTTCTGTAAAGTATTTTAACCTCGTTAAATCAGACACACAGGGCTAGCTGCATCATATGAGCAAAATGGCCACAAAATAATTAAATTGGTTAAAAATTAAAAAGAACATTTAAAAATAGTATGACTTTTTGAATTTCCATTCAGGCAGATGACAGCAGACTTATTCTGAATACCATCATAACAGTGTCTGACAAAACTTGTGTTGAAACCAGTACTGGAACTATTAGATCTGAAAACTATATTCTAAGCACCAAAATCTATGTCTACTTCCTAATGAACTATCACCAATCTATTCTTAATTATATAATATAGTTTTGAAACACAAGAATAATGTTCATCAGACCTTTTATCTATAACCCCTTTAAATTTGTGTAATGGATCTGCCCAGCTTTCATTTTTGGAACTGTTCATTATCATTTTTGGGTATGTCAAGATAAAAATTTGATGTCGGTCAGCCAAATGTGTAGAGAATGGTTATACCAGGTTTTCCTTGCTCTATATTAGTGACCAAGGGTTATCAGTTTATGTTCCAGAAAGTAAAGACTTTAAGAACTAGCATTGCATTAAGAAAAGGTTTGCATAGATCTCCATATACTGTACATGTTTTTATATGTGTTTTTAAAATAGGTGTTTTTCCCCATAAAATCTAATGGTATTTCTGCAACTTTAAATGTTTATGAAGATTTTATTGTTTTTGATTTTATCTTCACTTCCAAAAGGAAGAAAAAATCTTTACTATTTGTCATCGTCACTGGTCATTTTACCAGGAATATGGTTAGTGTTATTTTTATGTTTTTTCTACTCCAGATATAAATTATTTAATAAAGTGCTCGCTTGGTGTTGGTGCTTCTTTAAAATAAAACATATAAAAAAAACACCCATCAGTTTATTATTTTTTTTTTTACTAAAAATTGCTTCACTTGAATACAGATTTTTTGTGTGCTTCGTAGACTATTTTGAGTGAAAAGCATTGCAATGGTTTTCATTTTTTGGGTCATTTTGCACATTCAAAATGATCATACTCCTGGGAAAACAGTTTGAAAGAATGAACTGACAGTTTGTTATCAGTTAAAACCATACATCAAAAATGGTACAAGAATATAATCCCAAGCCCATCATGTCAAATAGAGAATAACCTGCTACTGTCTTTTGATATCAATTTTATCAGGCGAGGCTGATATGGGCTAGAAAGGGCGAGGCTTGCCGAGCCCTTTCTGCCCATATCAGCCGAGCCTGATAAAATTGATATCAAAAGACAGTAGCATGTTTTTCTATTTATCATGTAACACATAATAACTGTCAAAATAACAAAAAAATATACTTTTAAATAGCGAATTTCGTTAAAAAGGGGGATTTTTGTTCAAAGAAATAATTCTTGAAAACAAATTCCTCCGCCCCTGAAACTTGTTTGAAACAATTTGTAATTGGCGGCCATTTTTTTCTTTCGACTCGGATAAAAGATACAACATTCTTACCTTTAATTTAAACATCGATCCAAAAATCTGCTTAGAATCACATGTATGAACTAAAATTTTCTGCAATTTTTGTCTTCACTTGTCAAATTCAAAAGTACACTATAATTTCAATCAAAGAAAATTCAGATCGGCAATCAAACACAAGCTACACAAATATTCGTCTTATTTTTTAAACGAAACAATTTGTTCACTTATTAAATAATAATCCGGCGAAATAAAGTAAACATTTATAAGTTCTCAAGCCTGTTTGTTATGATTACATGTATAGTATGACGTGAACATGGATGATGTCATTTGCAATATAAATTATGACGTCACTTCATTTAGTTGGTGTTAAAACTATTCGCTATCTAATTTATTCGTAATTGAAATCGAAATAATAAATAAATAAATATCGCATTTTGATGCAAGACTTGTAAGGGTATGAGATTACATTGTAGAATTCAAATGTTGATGAAAATGAGAATATAAGCAATTGAAAAAGGTCCGTTAAAAATGGGCGGGGCTTATTTTTGATATTAGGTCACTGACCTGATATCAAAAATAATTATCAGGCAAGTGTTATCGGGCAGTAACCATAGCAGTTGCATGATAAATGACCTCGGTGGAGTCACTTTAAAGGAGAAGTCTATTGTATAATTATAACAATGTTGTTATTTTTTGTGTGTTGCATCAACACAGTATAGGTCATATAGCAACTTTACAGCTTACTGGTGGAAGAATACCTCAGGTGCCCTTTTGTGCATTATAATTTCAGGCCCAAACAGACACTTGAGTAGAACCACAGACATTCTGTAAGCTGTCTGAATAGCTTACTCATAAAAGAATCCAGTCCTGATTTGAACACACAACAGTGAGGGGCAAGTGGTTTGAAGCCTACGACCATAAGCAAACAGCAACAGACACCCCCAACATAATGCAAGGAAGGAATTATATTATAGAATTTATTGTTACATGGGAATCAAAACAACAACAACAAAAAAATACTTCCTTTCAATAGTTTATTTCCTTAAAATCATTTCTTCAACTTAAAAATGCCATGAAGACATATTTCACTCTCAGTGATATATTTCACTGAAAAAAGCTGAAATTTCCCCTTTTTAAAAATTAAAATATCACAATTTACAGTAAAAACTTACACAACAAAAATTTACATTCCAATAACATGATTTTGTGACATAGTCTCAATTTAAACTGCAATATTGCTTAATGGATTAAACAATAACTTTTGCAAAATACAATGTATTAACTATGCTTTTTTTATTATTTTATTTTAACTTAAGGGCAAGAAATAGAATAAATCACACTCAGCCACCAAAAATGAAATATCCGGCTCTTGGGGTAACTTTTGAGTGTAAACAGTTCCCCAGTGAAAGAGATATTCCGGTCTGTACCGGCAGTCAGAGTATGATTCTTGTAATTTTAAACTTGGCTTAATAATAATAACAATATTAAGTGACCTATAACATGTACATGTATAATAGTTGTTTAATTTACATGATAATCAATTGATGTCTGTGTTAACGTTGTTTAGTTCTCTACTATATGTGTGTAGCATATTCTAATCTGATTTTAAATGTGGAACACAGTCATAAAATAAATGTACTGACAAGAGTATTGTGTAATGTAAATCTAAAAATAGATGTGCGACATATAAATCTAAAAATAGATGTGTAACATATGTGAATCTAATAATAGATGTGTATGGCAAGTAAATCTAATAATAGATGTGTCACATGAATTTAGATAATAAATCAAATTCTAGAGATATGGTGATATGCGCGCCATTTTCACCTGAATATGACTAAATAATCTACAATGTCATTTATAAAAAGTTCTGCTAACAACAATGCCTGGATGAAAAAAACAAATTTTCCATGGATCTTAAAACCTAATTCATGCAACAATATAGAAATGAATTAACTAAAACATTTTCCAGTACCGTCGAAATGCCAGAAAAATGTACAATGTAGTTGTTTTGAAGTTTTAACAAAATATCTATCTTGTATTTAAGCTTTGATTTTTTAAATGTTATTTACAATTACATGTTGTATAAGTCTCAGAAATGATTCAAAAAAAGGCAGTTTACAATGTACGAGGGTTGATCAATATATTCATGGACGCTATTAATAACTTAATAATTAATCAAGATATTATAAAGAATTTCCGCTATTTAGGAGAAGAATTGAATACTATTACAAAAAAAATCTCATTTTGTTGATTATATGTATCGCCATAGCAACCCTATGCCGTTTGAACGCCGCAGCTTATAAAAGTTAAATTTACCATTTTAAAATACTTAAAAATTGGCCTTATTTTGGCACGCTTCTTTAAAATATGAAAATGACGGCAACGTTCTTTCATATTGTTTATAGAACATTTAAAAAAAACAAGCGTCGCTACGATTTCTTTTGTTTGTTGGAGATGTTAATGGAGACAGGGGTGTGTCACCAGAGAGGAGCACGACGTTGTTGGAGCAGAGGGCAGTAATTAAGTCTGTGTAAATCTTGGTATGACGCCACAGCAGACTAAGGAAAACTTGGAAAGTGTATCTTGAACAAAAAAAAGTGTCTTATTCGTTTGTTTATAAGTGGCACAAACACTTCCATGAGGGTAGAGAAGAACTTCTCGATAATAAGAGATGCGACAGACCAGATCTAAACTTGTTGCAATGAGAACGTTATGCGAGTGAAATTGAAGTCAGAGTTAAAGGGACAAAAGTTTACCAGGTTCCATGATTTACAGTCCATGGCATTGTCTGTGTTGCGTTCATTTGATACTTCATTTAATAAGAACGTTTTCAGTCAGTGGGTATACAGGCATAAACGATGTGTAGAAGTGGGTGCTGCATTTTTTGAGAAGATGTAACGCCGACATAACGTAAGTTGCGAATGAGCTGCGGCGATCAGCTTAACATGTAGTTTTAAAAACTGTCATTTTGGATAAAATATACGGATTATTTATCTGAAACTTACACATCAAATTGATAAATGATTGAATAAATGTCAAATATAATTATATTAACTTTCCTTCCCCACAAAAAACAATTTATGGAGTGTGTCCACGAATATATTGATCAACCCTCGTATATAAAAAAACCCGACATATTTTTAAATGTGGCCTAATACATATAAATATTCATGATTTTGAAGAAAAATGATGCAATAACAGATAACGTACAATTAGACATGATCAAAGATCTATACCTTCAATTTATAAATAACACCCTAAATTTTACTTCACTGGCCAATTTTATACTTAACATAAGGTAACAATTAAAATACAAATATTGTATGGTTAAGTAATTGCCGAGAAGAAGGAATTATAATTAGTAAATAGTTATTTCAAGACTAGAAACCGGTTATTAGTGGAATGTCAGTAAAGAAAAGAATTCTTCTTTGAATCCTTTACAATCATATATTTCATATTTTATTTCTTGCATGCTATTGCTTTTGTTTTTTTTTGTTAGGGCATTGGGCTCAGTTTTAAGTCACATCAAAATGGTCTATGTCAACATGCGAACATCAACTTTCCAACTTAATTGTTGGCAGATGAAAAAATATCCCACACTATACATTATTCTTGACAAGAGCGGGCTTTTCACTATCAATTATCTAACAAATAACATTTCACATGAAAGCTCATTCATAATCTTCACAGTAATATGTATTTCAGGTTTTATAAATCAGTCTGAAGAATATTTTTGGGGCATCAAATTCAGTCAACCATGTTCAAAACCATGCACCAGTTCTCTGACAAGTTTACCAGAAATTGAGATTCTAAACTTTATATTAATAATACTTGTAACATGTGTTCATAATTTATCATGTGTACTTCTACAGAAATAAACATTTTTCTTTCTGTAAAAAGGGTAAACAAGTTCTTTACAATTTTGAAATTATGGATTTAGAACATTTTAGATGCTTGCCCCTGAAATAAATAGAGTAAAAATAAAATAATTTCTGATTAAGGTAGCAAAATGAAAACATGGTTGTGAAAATACAAGTTTTTTACACACAACACTTCATAAGAGCATATTTGAATGTAACAATTCACAATTTCTATAGTCAATAATGTTGCAATTTCAAAATGTGTTATTATTCTTTATCGTTATGATAAAGGCTACTTATTGAATCTTCTATTTAAACTTGTTTGTAGCCAAGTTCCATACAGCTTAGCGCATACAAAATTCCTAACTTTTCTTTTTACAACAGTTCATTTAAGTTAGTTTTATAACATACTGTGTCAATTTTTTTTCTTTCATATAACAAACTCACAATTTTTCTAATAAATATGAATACACTTGTACTTTTGTTCATACCAATAATTCATACAAATACCTCAAAACATAAATTATATACATCATATACTAGTTCATACAATAAAAATATACACTCATTACATACTTCATGCAAAATAGTTTACAAATCATACAAGTATCTATACAATTAACAAAATCCTCATACAAATAGCTCATACACTTAACCGTATATACAAACTTAAAACTGATTTAACTAGGTCAAAGTTTATACAAATATCCTTGGTTAGAAAAATTAAAGGTCAGGTAAAAGTGGTTATTTTGTACTCGGTACAGCACAGTAAGTAAGCCAAATAAAAAGAAACTGGATGAAACCTTACTCCCAGTTGTAGCAGCTAAGTAAGTTTATTGTTTCAAAATTTAATGATACCAGTATAATTCATTTATCTCAAAATCAATTTACAATGACAGTGTGTTGCATAAAATTTTTAAAAACTGGATAAAAATAACTTTTAGTTGAACAATAATCTATACACAGGTAAAAAGTTCATGAAAAGAACTATTGAAATTTCCATACAATTTTTCTTAATAAAAAGTGTGTCACAGGGTGAGAAAAATGTGGAGCTTGACTGGGACTCGAAACCTGCCACCCTTGGAATACTTACTGCGGCTCTATGGACTGAGCTTTCCAGTAGCTTACACACTAAATCTCCCCTAAATAGTGAACAGTTCTGAACCGTGACAAGTGCATTCTTTATCTGGTGGGATAAGCTAAAGCATAAAACACAAAGCTTACAAAATAGTGATAAACACATCCTTGGTCCCTGGGTCTAATATACTCTTATAATTCATTAAGTGCCTTTTCTAGTCAAGATTTTACTGACAAACAAAAAATGATGTTTTAAAGTGTTATTAACATTTCAATTCCATTGGTCCATCATTCAAACCATTTTTTCCCCATAAGTGTTATATACCAACACATTACTAGTTGAACAAATAAAATTAATGTAACATACAAAATATTGTCCATTGTATATTGTTCTGATCTTACTTTCAAATAAGAAACATTTATTAAAAAATAATAGTTAGAAAAACCAGTTTTCGAAATTTTTGTCACTAAGTGTGTGCTCAAAATTTCATGTATCCATAGAAAACAAATAGCCCAGCATACAAGGATGATATCCAGGCAACACATTACATGAACCAGTATTAAAACAATGATGCAAATACATATGGTAACAGGAGGTAATAATTTCAGTATGTTTATGGCAAAGGGAGGTAAAAATTGCAGCATATTTATAAAATCTATGTCTTAAAAAGCTTACTATGGAAGAGAAAATAACATGGAATGATACTGACATGTCCAACAAAATGCAATGAGAATCCAAATCCAAACAATATAATGTCAAAATGATTTTATCACATGATGTATGAGCATGAAGATCCTATGAACAATGTAATTTTGTTTGTTTGTTTGTTTCATTTTACGCCTTTTTCAACTTTATTTCAGTCATATAGGCGGGTAGTTTCCTAACCATCGTTCCTGGAGAGTTACACCAGTACTAGACTACCTTCCTCCGCGCTAAACTACCAAAGCATCTCCCGGGGATCGAACCCACACCAGAGAGGTAACTGGATTAGAAGTCATCGACTCTAACCCCTCGACCACGGAGGCGGTGAACAATGTAATAAACTATGGGCATATGTAAAACAATGCTGTGTTAACATGAAGTCTATTTATGCAAGCAATACCCCTCACCATGTCATGTGACCATGACTTAATGCTGAATCATATCAGCAATGCTCATCAATATTTGATGTGAGCATGACTCAACATTATGTCATGTGAGCATGACTCAACACCATGTTATGTGAGCATGGCTCATATGTGAGCATGGCTCAACACCGAGTGTGTGAGCATGTCTGAACACCATGTTATGTGAGCATGACTCCACACCATGTTATGTGAGCATGACACAACACTTTGTTATGTGAGCTTTCAACATCATGTTTTGTGAGCATGACTCAATGTCTTATTATGTGAGCATGACTCAACATAATATTATGTGAGATATCAGCATGACTCAATATCATGTCATGTCTATCTATATTGTGCATGAAGAGCTCAACAATATGAAATGTGAGCATGACTTAATAATTATGTCATGCAATAAATGAGTTAACATTCTGAGGAATGAACACAACTGTTCACTACATTATGTGAACATAACTGTATGTTAAATGATCACTGTTGTGTAAGACTAAGAGGAATGCATTGCTTTTAATGTGTGGGCATGATTTAACAATAAATATTAACATAAAAAGAACACAATATTGGACTGTGCATGGTTAACCATAGACTTTATGTAATTAGGACTTCAAAATTCTCTGTGTGGTTGTACATAATCAAAGATCCAACTGTGAGTCATTTAATCCATTTCTATGTTAAGTAATGATAGATTTTTTGTGTGAAAAACCATGATGGAACTACATTTTTGTCTATGGGCACAATGGAAGATGTTAGCATGCTAGAAGATGTGAGCATGCTAGATGGGAGCATGAGATGAGTTTCATAAAACAATGAGCAAAATGACAACTATAAGTAAAATTACTAACAACACTCCTATAGCACAACACTGCCGTTTATCTGAAAAACAGAGGAAAGAAAAATGTTAATATTTACAACACTAAATATCTTAAATGGACTTGTGCATCTCTTAATCTAGACAAAATCATTTTTAATTTTTAAGGGAGAAAATTCAAGATGTTCTGACTGATGGTTCATAGTGCTGACCATGATCAGACAGGACATATGTGCCGGCTAACCTTGGTCAACACTGGTTGCATTAATAGAATCTGTTGCAGCCAGAAGAATTAATTAAACTAGTTAGTTAAAGGTGTTTAACTTATACCTACTGTTGTATTTTGAAAATCCAATGACATTTTCTTTTAACAGAAACATAGCTGTGAAAACCAAAGCATGGAGGTAAGAAGCACATGTGAGCTTGGCTTTATGGTATTATATAAGAAACCATTTATTATTAAAAGCCAAAACCTATATCTTGGTTTAATGTTAGAAGCCAAAACACATACAATGTATCTTGATTTAACATTTAGCTGCCAAAACACATATCTTAGAATAACAGCTTTACCATCAGTTCAAAAAGTTCTTTGAACCTTGTTTAAGTAACAAAATAATACACCTTTAACTACTGCCATATTATGCAATTCAATGCAAAGAAAAATACCAAATATTAGATTACAATCACTTCTTACTTTTTCTTACTTATACTACCAAGCAAATAAAAAACACAACTATTTTTTCTAGAGATCTAAGGCATCAGAGCAGCAGTAATTCTCAGAAACACAATCTGGAGACATTGAAATTCCAGAATGTTGAACCTTGGATACATTGAATATTTTGGACACATAGTCCATGACGAAGCAAGGGTAAAGATAATGCCAGGAATAGGGTGGCTAGAAACATTGTGACTTTGGCACCTATCTGACTGATACTCCAGTCTCCCTAACTTTCACATAATCATTGATAATGGTTGACTCAGAACTCTGATTATTCCAGAAAATTATTATCCTTGTAGCAAAAGAAAAGGGTAATAAAGAAGGAATTTTTATATCAATATATAAATGATTTACCTGAAGACATATGTAAAACTTTTGCCATTTTCTTCATTACTGTGTCCATCCTAGATTCTGTCTTGTCCATCTCATGGTGAAAATCATCTAACATTCTATAAGTATATAATTATAACCTTTGTTGTAAGAAACTGCAAATCAAACAACCCTATTTTAAACTGGGAAGAATATACTCTGAATATACTCAAATATACTTTCTGTTTCAGACAGCACTTTTAAATAAGAATACTATTTTTTTTTAAATACCTGCAACTGCATAGTGGTCAGTTTCAAATTCAAGCAACACTAGTCTGTTTTAGAAATTAATTATTAACATACTGAATGTGTGCAATGGAATTGCCCTGCTTTGAATTTGAAACATTCCATCAAAGTTAAAAGCAGCATGCCTCCATATTCATGCTTATTATTTTTTAAAAAATTATCTAAAAGTAAAATATTGTGAAGTGAACTAAGAAAGTAATTTACACATTGCAAATCATTTTGAATTGAAATGGCACTTACAATCCACATAAATTACCAAAATGAGGTCAATATATGCAAAACAAGCCCTTATTGACATATTTTTTGCTTATCTTGAGGCATGCACCTTTAAGGGATTTCAAAATCAAAATACAAAACAACAAGGTACTAAGTACTAACAGTATAGAGCCAGCAGGTCATACAGCACTGTTTAATTCTATACCATTTTATCTGCTAAATTTCTTAAGTGGACTTGTCCAGCTTTGCATTTGGAACATCCCATATTTTGATATCCGAATAAAAAAAAAGCTACCAAAAGTACAGAGAGTCTGGACAATCTGCATATCTCTGCAGTCTCACCAGGATCTAAACTATTGGCTTATACTGGCTTATTAACTTTTCATTTTATTATCTCAAGAATGATAATGGACAGTTCCAAAAAATGTAAGCTAGACAATTTCATACACAAATACAGCATGGTAAGTGGTTAAGTGTTAGTTTATACAATGTTATTTTAGTTTGATTGTGTTGGCAGCTATAAGCTTATTGAAACATTCTCGAATTCCTTCCTGGAACCAACCAGTGCAAAGCAATGAATGTTAAATTTCTTGGTGAAGGAAACAGCAGCTTGCGTCTGACGGGGTTTGAACCCATGCAGTCAGCAATCCTTAGATTCCAACAACACGTAAATCACTCAGCCAAGTCACCATGTGTTAACATGGTATGCAATAAGAAGCGCAAAATGCTATGCTGTTAGAATGAAAGTCACTATAGGTTAACTCACCTATTCTGTTCCTCTAATTCGTTGCCTATTTGATGGCTCATATTTTTCAGGGCACCAACACTGGACCCAATCATGTCAAGCTGCTCGTCTTGGTCCTTTATAATTAACTGGAAATAACAAATTTGCCACATTTAAGTACCATTAACATAATTAACCATAGTTTATTCCTGATACGAATATAACTGATGAAGTCAGATTTAAATATTTTAATTAAACTAGATACACACAGTTTCATACAGTTTTAGGTATAACGGTAGCCAGTGTCATTTTCAGAATCTACTATCTAATCCAATTTACTTTATCTGTCATATACAGCGTAACAGCAACACCTCTCTACAACAACTTTCAAAAGGGTATTTCTCTGAAAGGGTTTATACTGTATTAGATGACCTGTTGATTTTGGGTTGTTTATTTAAGATTACCTGTTGATTTTGTGTTGTATCATCTATAAAACTTTGGTGAGAACGTTCCATCTCAGCGTCCAGTCTTGAATACTTGTCATAGGATTTACTGGGACTGTTGGAATTCAATAATGACTGAAATACAAATAACACAATCAACACTTTTACTAATCAATTTATACAAGTGTCTACTTCTAACAAGAGGGCCATGATGGCCCTGAGGTCGCTCACCTGTATATAGGCCCCCCCCCCCCCGGGCCAATTTTAACCCAAGGGTTTTTATTTGAACAAACTTGGTAGACACCAATAAAATGTTTCATGCTAAACATCTTAGCTCTAGCTCATTGGGTTTTTTTTAAAGAAGATTTTTTAAGTTTTAACTATACACATATAGATAAAAACAATGACACCCCTGGGGCGGGGCCAGTTTTGACCCCAGGGCTTTTATTTGAACAAACTTTGTAGACACTCACTAGAAGATGTTTCATGCTTAACATCTAAACTCTAGCTATTTGGGTTTTTTCAAAGAAGATTTTTTAAGTTTTTGCTATACACATATAAGGAAAATCAATGACCCCCGGGCGGGGCCAATTTTGACCCAAGGGCTTTTATTTGAACAAAGTTTGTAGACACTCACTAGAAGATGTTTCATGCTTAATATCTAAACTCTAGCTATTTGGGTTTTTTCAAAGAAGATTTTTTAAGTTTTTACTATATGCATATAGGGTCAAAATCAATGACACCCCTGGGGCAGGGCCAGTTTTGACCCCAGGGCTTTTATTTGAACAAACTTTGTAGACACTCACTAGAAGATGTTTCATGCTTAACATCTAAACTCTAGCTATTTGGGTTTTTTCAAAGAAGATTTTTTAAGTTTTTGCTATACACATATTAAGAAAATCAATGAGCCCCTGGGCTGGGCCAATTTTGACCCCAGGGCTTTTATTTGAACAAACTTGGTAGACACTCATTAGAACATGTTTCATGCTAAATATCTAAGCTCTAGCTCTTTGAGTTCTTTAAAAGAAGATTTATTAAGTTTTTACTATATGCATATAGGGTCAAAATCAATGACCCCCTGGGACGGGGCCAATTTTGACCCCAGGGCTTTTATTTGAACAAACTTGGTAGACACTCTTTAGAAGATGTTTCATGCCAAATATCTAAGCTCTAGCTCTTTGGGTTCTTTAAAAGAAGATTTTCAAAGTTTTTTCTATATGCATATAGGGAAAATCAATGACTCCCTGGGGCGGGGCCAATTTTGACCCCAGGGCTTTTATTTGAACACACTTGGTAGACACTCACTAGAAGATGTTTCATGCCAAATATCTAAGCTCTAGCTCTTTGGGTTCTTTAAAAGAAGATTTTCAAAGTTTTTTCTTTCGGTTGCCATGGCAACCAGAGTTCTGCATGGAATTAAATTCTTTGAACAATTTTTAAAGGTGACCACCATAGGGACATTCCTGTGAAGTTTGGATGAAATTGGCTTAGTGGTTTATGAGGAGATGTCATTTAAAGTAAAAGTTTACGGCCGGACGCCGGACGAAAAGCGATCACAAAAGCTCACCCTGTCACTTTGTGACAGGTGAGCTAAAAACTAGATTAAAGTGGTCTTCAACTTTTATTTTCTGTTGGAAAAACAACTCCTGTGTTGTTTCAAACTAAGCATTTCAGTAATTTTATCTTGGAAAAATACATCATATCACTGTTAAGCCTTCTTCAAAACAATGTCCTGAGAGCTATTTATAACCAAAAGTGATGCTTGTTTCTAAAAATAGAAGCTCAGGAAACAAATCATCCACTTTACTCATTTAAATATAGAGAGCAGATTGTTACATGTATATAAGAGGTATCAAAGGGTTTCCTTCATGTTTATGTATTTTATTGTCGGCAAATTTGATTTTCCACTTAAATTATTTTAATTTGACAATTATACACAATGATTTATCTAAAAATAACATAACCTTAAGAAAAAGCTGCTGAAGGCTGCTTTAAACTATTTTAAGTGTTCACGTCTGACCTTACCACCCATAATGGGATTTATTTCTATTATATTGTATAAGATCTTAACATTTAAGTTTTTTATGGCATAGTTAATGACTATAAAAAGAATCTCCATATATAATAATAGTTTTCAAACAAATCAAATTTCCGCCCAAACAATTTAATAATCTACAACAATGTGAATAGACTTTGTAAATAATAGCACCCAAAGGAATATAATATTGTACAAATATCTTTTTTATCTTTCGTTATTTCTTCTGATCTCTTTCCGACAAACCAGACATTTCTCCATGATAACAGACACAGATAAAGATGAAAGCATATAATCACCCCTATGGGACAGATCTAAATGTTACATCTATAGCGTTGTACTGCTGGGACACATTGTTGTGTTCTAGCTATACAAGAGGAAATACTTCAAATGGCGAAAAAAGTGACATCAAAACAGGAATTAGTCTGAAAGCTTTTCCAACCTAAGATCTAATCTATAGAATTGTGTGGAAGTACATGTGTATTGTCATTCATTTACAAATCACAACCTTTAACAGCATTACTTACAATCAGTAAATTATTATTTCAGATTTAACACTTGACTGAGTGATTCATTGACTGAATGGTTGACTAACTGACTGATTGATTAAATGGTTGGTTGTCTGGTTTGTTGATTAACTGAACAATTGGCTGGTTGATTTATTGAACAGTTGCTTGGTTGGTTGCCTTATTAATTCATTACTATATATAGAAATTGCATCAAAGAGTGAAATAAATAACTTCACTGAGTGAAAAAATAATTTCACTTTTCTATTATCGGGTATTTTATCAACTATCAACAGTAAATTTGTCTACAGGATTTGTCCTGCTTAATTTGTATAATGAACATGTACTTCTGAATTTGTCTAATGGACTTGTCCTGCTAATTTTTTTAAAAGGGACTTGTCCTGCTAAATTTGTATAATGAACTTGTCCTGCTAAATTTGTATAATGAACTTGTACTTCTGAATTTGTCTAATGGACTTGTCCTGCTAATTTTTTTAAAAGGGACTTGTCCTGCTAAATTTGTATAATGAACTTGTCCTGCTAAATTTGTATAATGAACTTGTCCTGCTAAATTTGTATAATGGACTTGTCCTGCTAAATTTGCATTTCTATTCACTTTTCTATTATCGGGTATTTTATCAACTATCAATGGTATATTTGTCTACTGGATTTGTCCTGCTCAATTTGTATAATGAACATGTACTTCTAAATTTTTACAATAGATTTTGTCCTGCTAAATTTGTCTAATGGACTTGTCCTGCTAAATTTGTATAATGAACATGTCCTGCTAAATATGTTAAATGGACATGTCCTGTTTTATTTGTTAAGTGGACTTGTCCTGCTAAAAAAAAATTTATGGACTTGCTCTGCTAAATTTGTATAATGGATTTGTCCTGCTAAATTTGTTTCATGAACTTATCCTGCTAAATTTGTACAATGGAATCGTCCTGCTAAATTTGTCTAGTGGACTTGTCCTGCTAAATTTGAAAAGTGAAATTGTCCTGCTTAACTTGTCTTTTGAACTTGTCTTGCTAAATCTGTATAATAAACATGACCTGCAAAATTTGTTAGATGGTCTTGTCCTGCTAGAAACATTAATGGACTTGCTCTGCTAAATTTGTATAAAAGACTTATCCTGCTAAATTTGTATAATGAACTTGTCCTGCTTAATTTGTATAATAGACTTGTCCTGCTAAATTTGTATAATAGACTTGTCCTGCTAAATATGTCTAATGGACTTGTCCTGCTAAATTTTCATAACTGACTTGTCCTGCTAAATGTGTATAATAGACTTGTCATGCTACATTTGTATAATGAACTTGTCCTGCTAAATTTGTATAATAGACTTGTCCTGCTAAATATGTCTAATGGACTTGTCCTGCTAAATGTGTATAATGGACTTGTCATGCTACATTTGTATAACGGATTTGTCCTGCTAAATTTGCATAATGGACTTGTCCTTCTTAATTTTGAAATGTCCGTTGTTAATGTGAGAGATATTGATATCCACATCAGAGTGTAGACTGGTTTAGCTTTATGGTGTTGGCAAATTATTTTTTTTCCATAGCATTCATAATGGTATTCATTTGCTCATGACATACCTGTCTAACATTTGACTCTTCTGTGGCATGTGACTGGGGGCTTGTCATCTGAGATTTCATCTCCTGAAATATACCAATGAAACCTTTGAATAAAGCCTGTCAAATGAATGAATAAATGACAGTTATTTATCCTAAAAGACATTTTTTTTGTTTTAGTATAGCCCCAGAATTATGATGCTAGTATTCTATACAGAACTACATTGTATCAGTAAAAAAAAATTTCCCACATCAAAGATTCATAAATTTTTGATATCTACTAATGTATAAAATGAAAGAAACAACATAAATTTAAAAACAAAAAATTGATACAATATCTAATTGATTTCTTATTCAGTATGAAAATTTTCAACTTAAGATATAATTATACATATAAAGGTTATAGACCCTTTCATTTAAGACCGTATTTAAGTTGTCGCCCTAGGATGACGTCATTGGGGGATACGGTGGACAATGCCGATACGATTAAGTACACTAATAGAGGGATATAAAGGTCTTAATCCTTTCTCTTGTAAGATTGGCAGATACATTACATAAAAAGGATGGTGAAATGAATAAAAATGTTTACTATAATAAGGTTAACGATTTGTTTTAATAGTAGACCATATTGCTGGGTAACTGATCATGATTACCATTTTCGTTATATTCTTAATAATGAAAATTTTACCAGGCAGTTAAATCGTACTTACTTGCTTATACCAGAGATAGATAATGTATCATATGTCTCTGCTAATATACAATACCCAAAACATATTTTGAGTTTCAAAAATGTAAGGATTCTGTCGTCTGGAAAAAAAGGCGGCGTAATAAGTTGTGAACACGTTCACAGAAATTCGTTATTAACTGAATTATAATTTTACGTATTTTTGACTGTGCCAGTTGGTAGGACTCTGGATCGAGTATCAAATCAGTAAGGCATGACCAATAAAGTCCCTAGGATGATCCATAACAAACTTCGGACCATAAATATTTTGACAACTAACAAAAGTGACGTAATCTGATGTAATGTTATAACTCTGAAAAATGCACCCTGGTGATTTATGATATCACAGCCAAGTGTCGCTTGTATGCACCCTGTTTATTAATATGTTACAGCCCAGTGGCCCTTAAATCTATTTATCTATGAAATATATGAAATAAGTTACTGGGGAAAAGGTCTTTACTCTTATAATCAGAAGAATATATTTTTAATTTCAAAATTATCTTATTATCGTCTGGTGCGAATCTAACATTATAAAAGACATTGCCACATGATTTTCGTTCTTTCCGGAATATTTATAAAATTATATCCTTCACTGGTTCTTTGAAATATTTTTTTGTACAGCATAATGTAAAAGAATCAGTAAGTATTGACAGAATGCATGCTGTTATTGTTCTATTAAAGCTTGAAAAACAATCATTAAAAGATATATTGGCAATCTTTTTCTCATGTTTGTCACAAATTCGCCGGAATTTTCTAAATGACAGAAAATAACACAGAAAACTAGAAAATGACCATTTAAATTTATAATAGGCAATTTCAGTGTGTATGGGTGTTTTTCAAATATTAAAATTTGATTAAGTTACTAGCTTTTTATCCTGGCATTAATCAGAGAAAATCTAGATCTAATAAATATATTCACTTTTTTCACTCCGTAGCGAGCATTAATCTCAATCTTTGTTTTTGTATTTTTTTCTATTGTCTTGATATTGAATTTATGTATGCATGCGTAAATTTTTACATGTTATAATCATAATTGAAAAGGGTCTATATATATATAAAGATTTACGTACCCTAACAGCTGCCTTAGTTCGCTCTATAAATTCCCTCCTCTCCTTCAGTTCCGGGACTTCTATTCTAAACTTACGAGGATTTTTCTCGACAATACTTGACAACAGTTAAGATCATTTTCAAGTTTTTTTTAAATTTTGGGTTTATACATGTATTTATATCATTATAAACAGATAATAATGTAAGCTTTACATACAAAATTCTGACGTTACAAAGCAAGGTTTGACATAAAGTAAGTCTGTTTGCTTTTTTTGTCTTCACATTGATTTAAAAAAATTATTTTGTTGACATAATTATCTTGGTAGATTATCCACCTAACCAGCATTCCTGAATAACTACCCAGTAATTATCAATTTCTCTGCAAGAGACTGACTACTAATCCCAAATAATCACCCTGAGCTTGCTCAGATGAGCTAAAAATTTTGAAACATATTTAAAAGCCTTCAAATCTATTGTTATTGAAGACCTCCATTCATCAAAGAATTCATTCCAGTCAGATCCCTTTAAAGATGATTCTTAATCAATCTAACCCAACAAGAAACAAAGGATATCAATAGTTTCCTCTAAATCTTCGAGATCCCATTCTATACTCCGCAAGCTATTTCTCAGCTCATTAGTTGTCCAGTTGTATTCTTCTACGGAGACGAGATTTGGGGCATCTGCTAGTTCACACCATCTTGTGTACAGGTTTTTGGATGTCTGTAATGCCTTTTGGACCTCCCTGTGATACAAGATGAAAATTGATTACCAACAAGCATAATAGTATACCTTACACAAATATCTTTCATAATTCTATATCTTGAATGACTTTTAAATAATATAATTTTTGGAATGACATCAATGATCAAGGAAAAATGTTATAGTGACTATTAAAGTCACTGTTATTTCTTTTATTGGGCTATTCAAATTTACTTAGGTACATGATTTTAACATATGAGATATTCATCTAATAACTTATTTAGAGTACCGTTATGGCTATAGAAAACTTTTGATTTCTTTATGTTATTAACCTATATAGCCTAATGGCGACAACTGAAGCAACCAATGCAGCCCACAATCATCGTTTTAATGGTTCACTAGTTACGGTAGTCATTATTACTACATATTTTGAAATTTTCCTAAAAATGATGAATTATCTTGTCCAGATTGAAAAAGAGTGATCCATGACCATATGTGTCGCCTAATAATAGTCAATTAAGCAGTTGTATTAAGGGGTGATTGGACAGTTTGCTGGAAATGTAAATTGACTACATTTATATGGATGCTTGAGTGTTTTCTGTAATGTGGAGAAAGTCAGAATAATCCAACTGATAATGATGAACATTGACTGCTGGAGGACATTATTATGTTCTATGGATGTACAGAAAGTTGACGCAGATTTGATCCCTATAGGTGCAGCTACTGTGGTAGCAGGTGACGCAAAATACATGTACATAACAGGCTAAAATGCCTTTTTAAAAAAATTAAAATCATTCTACTGTAACATCCTGCAACATTTCACTCAAATTGCTTTAGTAGTATTAGAGTAGTGCGGACAAATTCTTAAAATGAAAAGAGCACTGCATGCTCCCATCTGTTAAAATAACCACTTTTGACAAAAAATTCTTAAAGTTAAAAAAGAGCATAACTTCAAAAATAAAGCTTTAAGAATTAAGCCCCTTATTTTACAACTGCCTCTTGTCATGATAAGTAAGTACTCTAAGTTTCATATTCATATTTATACCTTTAAAATTGTTTGAGTAATGGATCACATTAAAGTTTACAGTCTATTTACTATACATACATGTAATTATTCAATATTGTTACTTTCACTTTGCAACTTCAATGTGAATTTATTTAATCTCCAAGGGAAAAATCTGACAGATTACTTTGACTATTATTAATAAATTAAAGCTTTCAGAATGGATCTAATATTTAATGAATTATTAACACCTGTAAATCAATATAATTATATTTGTTAGCTTAAATAAAATACTTCACTGGGACAATCATACTGCAATAGGACAATCATGAATAAATCATCTTTGATCATATGAACCAGGGTGTCCGTTTGACCCTTGAAATGACACTTTGACCCTTCAAATTTCAAAAAGACCTGATTTGACCCACAGAATTTTAACTGAAGGGTAAAATTTTGTTAAAATCATGGGTATTTGCCTTGTATCTGGTCAAAATGACCCTCAGGATTTCATGGCTAGTGAACACCCTGTGAACAATGATCAAAAGGCAACATTTATTATTCATAAATCAAGTGATACATAGCAATAGAAGAAATAGCTTCAGTGGCTGTGTGACTGAGTTGTCAACATGTTGAACTAGAGTAGTAACAATTGCTGGACGCATGCATTCAAATCTTATCAAGGGCAAGCTGTTGAAGGTAGGTAAGAAACGTTTTGGCTTGTAATTCACCATAACAAAATGAAGTGTGGTTTGTTAGAGCTTGAAAGCAAGCATTTGATGTTACGGTTTCATATTAATTATATAGTATGTACCCCTAAAATTGGACATCGACGGTCGCCCTTCGTCCAACAAATAGTGCGCCAGGACTTTTTATTAGCGAGCTTGTCGAGCTGGCCCGAAGGGCCTGCTCGCAAAGCGAGCTTTACGGTAACGCGAGTACCTGCTAAGTGATGGTTTTGAAAAATTTCGTCCAAAGTACGGAAATTGGACACATCGCAACCTTTCGAATTTAAAGATAACGATAAAAACTGAGGAATTCTAAATGAAAACGGATGTCTAGACTGGTCACCCGCGCACGTCTATGGGAACCATAGTTGGACAGGGAACCAGAATAACGGAAGCTGTGTATAAAAAAATAATAATTGAAGGCGCCATTTTGTTTGAAAAATCTGATAAATAAGAACAATTTTTTGTCGAATTTTGTTGTGAAAACTATCTAGAATGAAAGAAAATGGTCTTATTAAGAAAATGAATCCGAACACCAATATTTTTTATTCAGTCGTTAACGCTGTACAGACGTTTAAAGTATTGTTTACTTGACGTCACAATGTAGCGCCAAACAGCACGTGCAAAACAAACAAATCAAGTACGCTATTTTAATGTCGCAAACGTTTTAAGTTTTACATTTGTTTCACTTTAGATAATCTTTATTTCGCTTGAAAAATTATAGAGTGAAACAAAAGAAACAAAGTTTTATCAACGTTTTCAAAACTCGTTATTCATTTCACGACAGGGGCGGAGCCATATTTAACGAAGTACGTGTGACGTCACACGCACTCGTTACTGCATTTGAAATAAAATTGAGCGATTATTTCATACTATTTCACGTAAAAAGTGCATCGAGCTCGCTTTGAGGCTTTGCCTTTTTCATATTATCTAACAACAGACATCTATGTACATATAATATCAGTTTGAAACATTAGTCAGTCTAATGAGAATAATATACAACACACAATTCCTGGTGATCACTGATGCCAGTGATGGTATAATTGAGTCTGAGACTTCTGTATATTTTTTCTAATCATGTCACTGCCCACTACTGATACATGTATAAACATACTGATTTGGATTCTTTAGATGATTAGTACATAAAATATATATTTTGACTGTGGAAACCGGCAAATCTATGACTATGTACAGATTTTGAGATTATCCAAAAAATTAAAGATACATTTCTGAAGAAAAACTCGTTCTATCAACGAAATCAAATGTTATAGATATCAAATATTGGAAAAACACTTACTCTTTAACAACGAAGAACGGATCTTCAAGTGCCATTTTGGTTGATTTCTGTCAAAATTACAATATTTTTATAAAGTGCTGTCAAGTTCCATCTTCTCCCAACAATTGTATGCGTTTCGTAAAATTATTGTGTCATGAGAATTGTTGTAGAGTCGGTATACTGCTACTAGTCATTTCATGGTCTTAGGCCACTAAATATGTTATCGGAAATTCGTTGTATGGTGTATTATTGTTTGTACATATCATTATGTTTGTATTTTCAGCCTTATATGCTGTACAAATGTTTTTGTTGCTATTGTGCAAGCGTTATCTAACTATGACATCGCAAATTGTATGCTCATCATCAGTAAATCTATCACGACAGCTAGTCGGTTAACAATTAAGTTAATTTACATCTAGATCTACATATTACTCCTGAATAATCAATTCTGACCATCACTGGCTGGCTCTTCGTCAGGAAAACTGTTGTAAAAATGTTTATTCAAACCAAAACAATCAAATAGTTTTCACGCGTGGCAACTGGGAAGAACAGCTGGCATTCAATACATGTATACGAAGATTAATTGCTTTGCTTTTAGTTAATTTACACCTTTTTCAATGGTTGGTGATCCACGCTCTGGAATCTATTGACATGTTTTGTTAACCATTTAAAATAGTTTACAGTAAGATACTCTTTTTGTAAGAACAGATGATTGGCCTACATGCCATACACTTGCAAATGTTTCACGTTTTATGCCCTATCATTCCCCTCCCATTCTTTAAAATCCACTCAATCAATCAATTAATCAATCAACCAACAAATCAATAGACGGATCGATCTATCGGTCTGTCGACCAATCAACCAAACAATAATTTAATCTCAACTCTTGAAACTCAGCTCAAATAATTTAATTGCGTTAAACATATAATATATGATTATAGCACATACAACATATCATAAGGTAGAAGACATGGATTTTTCAAGGAGCGCAAAAATACAATGTAAAACATATGAATTCATCATTATAACGTGTTTGAGGTTCTGTAAGACTATTTTCTAACCAAATTTGCATAACATAAATATTTAGAAAGATCTCTTACAATTATTTTAGATTCAGACAATAATAAATTAGTAAATTTCTGCAATGTAGGTCATGTATAATATCTATATAGTTACTAAGCGTCTACGATATTTTTGCGAAGGTCAGCATATTGTGAACATGTAAACAAAAAGTGAAATTCGTTTTCAATTTGTCTGGAAGAACAATTATTGCATATTCTTTCTAGTCTAGGTACGTTTGTATATCTTCCCTTTTCAATAAACAAGTCGTGAGATGATGTTCGAAATTTTGTTAGTGCAACTCGAAATCTTTTGTCCTTAATATAATCAAGATAACTTTCAAATTCAAATTTATTTTTCATAGAACTGTATGTATTTAGACGTCTAGAATTATTGATAAACAATAAACAAATTGTGTAATGAGTACGAACTGTGCTGGGCTATTCGCAAAATCATGGCTTTTGTTTTGCTGGCATTAAGACGTAAGCCCCATGTATTGCTATATTCTTCTATGTCGTTCAACATGGACTGTAGGGAGTTTGGAACTTGGGCAAATAAAACTGCGTCATCGGCAAAATGTAATAAAAATAATTGAATGTCGCCAATGTTCATTATTCCATTAATATCTGTATTTACATTATTAACAATATCGTTTAGAAAGAAGAGACACAAAATGCTGCTGGCGGGGTCACCTTGTTTCACTCCAATGTTTGAATTTATAAAGTTAGAGTTAGTCGAATTATACCTTACAAACGATTTAACCGTTGAGTTCATTTACTTTATAGCCAATACTGTACTAACATTGCATTCTCAAGTAAAATCTATCAATTCTGGCAAACATTAAAATTAAAGGCTACATATATTTTTTTCTTTTCAGCAAGAGTTTTTTGAAATAAGAGCGTGTAAAATATAAATACAGTGAATCGTTGAATTTTTCTTTTGAAAACCTAATTGATTGTCAATTAACTTTTTGTTTTTATCGGCCCAATTTGTACGTCGAGTTAGTTTGGAATATATTTTTGAAATAATGTTCTCTAAAATTCTTAGCTTCCGGATTGCCTCCCTTGAATATGGGAACGATTATGCCTTGTGTCCAATTTTCTGGAAACATTCCGTGTGTAAAAATTTCATTATGCAACTTAACAAGAAATGGACAAATTATGTCAAATGAGAGTTCAAAAACTTCCGCTATAAGGTAATCAGTCCCCACACTTTTTGAATTATTTTGCATTCTTAACTTCTAATTCAGAAAAAAACAGCATCTAATTCATTATCACATACAAAATTACTATTAAAATGCGAGCTTGTGTCAGTGGTCGCTTCGTTACCGTAAATGTTATTGAAATGAGTAAATAGTGATTCAATTGATATATTTATTTGTTCCTTTGAATCCGTTTTATACTGCGATTTTATATTTTTCCACAATCAATTACTAGTACTTTCTCCCGTACTTAATTTAAGTCTTCATAACATTACATAAGTATTTTCAGTTAATAGTTAAATTCTTATCTTTTGAATAATACATTTTACAACTTTACAACTTAAGAAATTCAGACTTGTATTTAGTACAAATTATTTATTTTAGTCTAGTTGATAATAGACTTTTTTACATGTATATGCACCTGAGTTTTACGGCAGGTTAGTATAGGCTTAATATATGTTTTTATAGGTACATAAAAGTTCTGTTTTACCTGTATGAATTTCAGTCATTGCCATATACTTCTAACATATTGTCAGTTCCAATATGCAAATACGTTTTTAAAGTAAATAATATTAAACGCAAGGGGATAAAAAGAATATCTTGGCATGACCAAAAATAGAGAAAGCAAATTTCAGGGAAGGCGGAAATGTGAACAGAACAATGTGAGCTTGCTAGAATATTTTGACTTATGGAACTTGGCACTCAGAATGATTCTTTAAATGTCTGCAATGAGTCAACCACTGTACGAGTACCATTAGCCTTTTGGTGGCAGCAAATTCTGCTCATGCGACCAGTGCATACCAAGATCAGCCATAATTATCTGGACATAAATAACATTTTGATAGAGGATTTCAAAATTTGTACTGACTGAATATCGGACCACGACATGTCAATTGATCTTGGTTTGCATGGGTAAAAAATCTGTAAGTGCCAGTTACGGTATTACTTTATGGCCAGAGCGTTTTTCTCTGAGAAAAAAAGTGCGAAACATGACAGTACCTTGGTGACATTTAGCAAACTTAAGGAAACCTGGAAACCAAGCAAATGTTTTGGAGTATGTTTAAAACTTAAACTGTTTAGCAGTTTTGAACATGACCCTAACGGAACACTATTACCAGCAGACTAAGGGTCAAGGTTTCCAATTATAAAATAATACCTTTCTTCCTCTTTCAACGTGATTCAATCCGGAAAAGCTTAACAAAGAGTTAATTATTTAAAAAATAATCAGATTGGAAATACAAATAAAACGCAACATTTAGATAGCGTTTTATAAATATAACACATAATTATGACAGCGTATGGACTACCGTTTCCGTTAATTGTTTATTGTTTCGAGACTTTATTACAAAGTTCAGCAAATGTTTGAAATAACAAGCATGAATTTAACTGACTATAAAATTATATTTTCTTTACAAAGGAATAAAGAAAAGACTGTTAAGATACAGTTATAAATTAGGCAGATTAGCCTGCAAGTCTTAAAGTCTCGTTTTAGTTTGCAATTTATTTAGATACTTTATAGAGAAATGCAGTAAAATGTTAAGACAAACAAATAAATTCAATTTTCTGCATGATTAGATTCTCCATAATGCAATCAGAAATATCTCTTAAAATGTAGTTATAAACAAATGTATGAATTATTTATGCATGGCAATACTGCAGAAATGGAATTTACTTTTTATTTGTTTTGTATGTTATGTTCTCGCCGTAATGTTTCTCTTCAGTATAATATAGATTAAAGTTAAAGTACATGAATATTTGACAAAACTTTACGATGCATTTATATGTAAATGGTGATATATACATTAGTTATACAGAATTCATTAAAGTTTGATTATGTAGGAATCTATGAAGTTATAGACACACTCTCGAGACTGTTCCTGGAATCAACCAGGTACTAAGCAGTGATTTTAACTTTTCTTGCTCAAAGACATGATGCACTGCTTCTAGCGGGGTTTGTACTCACGAGCCCAATTTCTAGTAACTTGGGAGAGCGCCGATCTGGTCGTATATTCCCCTACCTTCCCACCAGGGCTGTCTAAAATTGAGTTGTTCAATTTCCATTTTTGGTACTGATCATTATCAATTTTGGGATATCAAGATAAAAAATTAAAGTTTGTCAGCAAACAGGGAAAATAATGCATTTACACTAATTTTTTACTTTAACGTAGCGCATCGTAAAAAAGGAAGTACAGGCTTGCCTGGCTCTATACTGGTGGCAAGGTTGTTTTTGTCACATAAAACATTTTCGTTGAAGCAACTTGAAGATTCCTTGGAATAATTGTGGTTGTTATAATATTGTTTATAAATATTGACTGGTAAAGTTTCGATATTATTTTCCATTATTATAGTATTAATAACATTTAACCAAATTCCTTGAAATGATTTTGCAAATTTAAAACTATTTGACGATTTAGACATGGTGGTACAGTGTACGAGTATATACTTATTTACAAATACAGTTTAAAGTTTGAAGAGCGGCCCTCTTTACAACAAGTACTTCTTAACGTCAGAAGTTTTAGTTTTTCCAAAACAAATTTAACCTTTGTACAGCAACACCTCTTAATAGCAACCAAACTATATGTTTCCAAAAGGGGTGTTGCTATACAGAGGTTGTACTGTATCTTAAAAATGTTTGAAATATATTTTTTGCTTCGAAATATGATTATTATGGTGCTCTTATTCAATTTTCAACGGTACTGTATAAAATTTGATTGTTATATGATTTGCTGAATAATAATCATACATTATACATTAAAGTTTAGCTAAAAAAGGCTATATGTATGCTATACTTGAATATGATCTCAAAGTTGAAAATGTATTTTAGCTTAAGTTGTCACCATGTTTTCTTTTTATTTAGCTGTTTTTATTGAGCTCTTATCTAGCTTGCGGCATCTGAATATACTCAAGTGACAAGTGCAGACCACGATAAGACGGCGCCTGCGTACCGACTGATCGTGGTCTGCACTGTTTGCTATACAGTCAGTGGTCAGGTTTTGAAAATTATCCTTGAACATAATAAATGGTTTAGATGAAAAACTTGAACTCTTTATGCTAAGGTTAAAGGTCAGTAATAGTGACACGTTTAACATATTAAACACAAGTCTCAACTGTTACAAAATTTTATTTCATCATAATTAAACAACATTTTCAGGGTTTGTATACTAATATATACATTTTCTGTACAAGGCAATGCTTAAACTGTGTATAATTACAACAAACAATGGTCTGAAAAATAAACACCAATATCAAAGAAGGCAAAATGTCAATTATAGGTTAAAATATAAACCTCAAATAGTATTTAGATTATGAAGATTGACACTCCTAAACTCTGCTAAATCCCTTCTTCGACAATTTTATAATGTACCACTTTAAGAGATTTTCGTTTTTTTTTCACAACTAAAATAGTACCCAGCTTCTATCTTATGTTGTACATGTACAAGTTTCCTCCAACCATATTAAAAAATGGCGCCAGTTGTTTGTTGACGCTTCGTGGAAACGCCCTGTCAGCATGTGTGAAATAACATTCATCTGTAATCTTTTAAAGATGCTATTACTATTAAAACTCCGTTATTTCGTTTTGATAACAAAAAATCTAATACCATAAAAGTACAACAAGAAAAAAACAACAACATAATGGTAACAACTGACAACACCGACACAACCAGATAGAAAACATTCAAGATGAAAACAATTGTCAAGAGTTTTATGAGAAAAAAAATATCTGACATTTAAAAAGTAGACCAGTTTCCTGCAAGTTGCATCTTTATAAAAAAAATCTTAATGATCAAAATCGTGTTGAAGTTTTCTAAGCATTTTACAATTTGACTTTTTATGACTAGTGGAAAAAGAGTCCAGGGATGCGGATTCGAGCTCAATACTAGAATATGACAACATTGATAGTTCAACGAATGCTTGGCGTTTAGCTAAATCCTAATAACTGCAAAACAGGTAAAAGATCAGAGAAAATTTGAAAGTTAAAAGAAAGACACCGTAGTATCAATGATGTAGAAATAATTTTAAGTGTAAGATTATACTGAGCTACAAATAATGATAAAAATATTGTATACAAGTATTATATTAAAACGCATCATTCTGTAACCTAGTATGTTCACGACATCTCTATCTCTCTGTCCGTAATACTTAACACTTTTTTAAATGACTTGTCAGTGTTTTTATTTCAGTTTTAGCAGCTAATTCAATTGTACAATTGTAATAAAATCGTAAAAATGTAAAATAAAAGTATATAAAGTGCATGCCTGCAAATGAGAAAATCAAATATGCGTTTATTCATTGCATATATGCAAATATTGCATAGGACTAGATATGAAACAAAGTTTGTAATGTTAACATCTTTACATTTTGAGATCTTATTTCATTCACAACTTTTATAATCGTTTCTTTCTATTTGTGTGTATATATATTTGGTATTGGTGTCCAAAGTTTACGGAACGGTGGGTGGATTGCAAGCTCGCACTTTGTACTGTTGAGCGGAGGTTGCCACTGTCCATTAACGCACGTGGCTCCACCGGGTCCAGTTATACGGTATCCCACGTCACAGTCGAACTCGAGTCTGTAGCCGTGCCGTATTGAACGTATATACGGCTTGAAATCAAATCTCCGCTCCATGCTTTTCTTGTAAACCTTTCCGTGTGAAATGGTCCCTGGGTTTGGACAATAAACTGTAAACAGATAAATATTTGAATAATAAATACAACACACAAGGCAGATATATTTATTTGCTGCTCAAATATATTACATGTACCAATAATTTGAAGGGGGCGATGAAATTGTGGTCAAAGTGTCTGCCTCCCAACCCAAGAATCATGGGTTCGAGTTTTACTGGGATTATGATCATGTTTTCTTATAATATCAATATCATGACACACGATAAGCTAATAACTTTCTTCACAATCCGGCTGAAAAAACTTTCGTATTTAACGGAAAGTGAGTTTCGTGGCAAATTTACATCTCTCTCTTTATCTTTGTGTGCAATAGCGTACAACAATGCCATTCTCCTTCATATACCAACAGAAATTCAAAACGCACACAGATTTTCTAACAAAGATGTTTATTTTGTAAAGTTGCATGCCTCTAGATGAGCCAAAATATTTTAACAAAACCAATCTTGAGAAAAATGTACTAAGATTTTAGGAAAAGTAAAAACATACACAATTTAAGAAATAATTAATGATTGTTTTTGTAGTATTTATTTCCATATTTCTGCTGCGTTACTAACTCACTAAGGGATATTTTTGCATTTTCTGCCATGATTTTGGCAATTTTCGCAGATTTAAACTGTTGTTTGCGATGTGTAAATTTCTCTCTTTGTTCACTTGACAATTTTTTACTGTTAAATACATTTCAAAAATGTTCACTAAAATTACCATGAATCTGGAGGCATGCAGGTTTAAGCATGAGCAAAGATATATAAATTTGGACGAATTAAAAAGTCTAAATATTGCAGTAATAAGATAAACTTACATTCCTCACAATGTGGTCTTCCACCATGCCAACTCCCAAACTCACATGTCAGATATGTCCCATTCATACCAGTGAGACGGAACCCGGCAAAACATTTATATTTTGCTCTAAATCCATGTTCCTGGCCCATATAGATTCGCATCCCATTGTGCACGTGCGGAGGGGCAGAATGGCATGGCGCTGAAAACAAGCACATTGAATTCATGTATTAGTAAACAATGGAAAAGTATATCGACAAAAACTTATTTGTAAGTCCGATGGAAGCACGCACTTTGGTATATTTGTATATCTCAGTACAATTTCATTGTAATATCTATTTTTGCATTACAATTATATGCAATGCAGTAATATGTCTTTAATTTATACACGTACTTATAAATCATTCAACATTTCTATAGATGTAAAAAAAACTAAAATACATGTAGTTATTTAGTCAAAATATTTGGGTTTTTTTTTGCTTAAAATTAACGTATCAGTTTAGCAGCCCAAACAACATCATCTTTTCGTCGTGACTTTTTGAATTCGTCAAACGTTCTTTCCTTATACGAGTATCTTGATAGTTTTTAAAAGAGTCAGTAAATTAAGCGGTCATTTTGAAAGTCACTTGATAGATTTAAAAAAGTAAGTAAATTAAGCGGTCATTTTGAAAGTTACTTGTTACCTGGAACACATTCAGCGGAGCTTGACCATGTTCCATTATTACACGTCATGCTTGACGAGTCACGTGGTACTAGTCCGCCTTTACACTGAAAACGGACCTCTACGCCATGATTCTCGTATTTCAACTCGCTCCCACCTAGCAGGGTTGCATTTGGTATAGCCGGTACTTGACACTGACCTGAAGAAAAATGAATAATTTAACATTTTGTTATCAAGGGAAATGAAATAACATTATAAAAATATATGTTCAGATATGGTCTTAAATAACTTGTATTCGAACGTCCAATTATACATCTAGAAACACAAATGTTGATAAAAAGCTTACGACGGTTCCAAAAGAAGATAGAAGGTTCATCGAATATCTTACAGAAATATTTTAGACAATTTTAGGATTTCTTTAGAATCAGAGGCTGGAGGCAAAGCTGTGCAGAAAGACACTGTAATACTCATAATTGACGATACATTTGTTTTCCGACGATGTTTTCAATAACTATACATAGGCTTCATTTAGCTTGGGCTTGCTTTGATTGATTACACCATTGATTAGTACCGGTACATTATTCACAAGAAGTTTTACAATATTTCATTTAAGTAAAATAAGGAAGGTCTCTACTCCAGATAGCCATAAAATCATACTGTGCCATAAAGGCGATTAAAATACGGTTATTAAAGGATCAGGCTTAAAGCTGCATACATATGAGTGAACATGTTGCAAGAAAATCCAACTTGAGAAGAAAGTACTGTGATTTTAAGAAAAGTGAAAAGATTCCAGATAAAAGTAATATTTTCCATGTTATCTGCGATTTATGATCGATTTTTGCCAAACGTTTCACCATATTTCTAAGGCTAATTTTGTATCTTTTGACCTCGTTTTGGTAATTTTACATGGATTCTAAGTGTTGTTTGCAATGTGAAAATTATTTTTTTTATGTTCACTTCTCAATATTTCTTTTTTAAATATATTTTCAAAATTTTCATGAAAATTTACTCAAATCTAGAGGCGTGCTGCTTTAAAAGATTTTCTATGATTTGACTGTCAAGGGATTGTTCTTTTCTAGGATGTTAATTGTTGACGTAAGTATATAAGATAAAAGTAATCTTACCCCAGCATATTGGTGGCTTATTTGACCATTCACCTGTCTCTAAACACTGTGTTTGAAACGTGTCACCTTCAAATGTTGTTCTAGCAACGCAACTGATATAAAAAAAATGATTTACATATATTATATTAAAATCATTAACAAAAAATAAATATAATTATACCGGTATGTGAACATATATTTTCATATATTTTGATTTATTAACATTAATTTTCATCACTTTATATATATTTTTCATGACAAAGAAATCAATGTACGTTTTTATGTAAATATTCACCACGATAATTGAATTTTATTTCTTCTATGGCTGTAGGGGTTAATGATGATGATGATGATGATGATAATAATAATAATAATAATAATAATAATAATAATAACAAGAGGGCCATGATGGCCCTGAGTCGCTCACCAGAAACAACTGCTTTTCAGTGTTGGAATATCAATATTTTCTAATATTAAATTTGAGCATTGAATATGTTTAAACAATAATTTGAAGAAATGCCATGACCTGGGACATTTAAGCTTTAGCTTAAACGGGGCTAATCAAATTAATATGAGCAAACTTGATGAATGCTACAAAGTTTGGTGATCATCTATCAATTATTTCAGTGGGAAATGATGTTCAGAGGTTTTTTCTATTTTAAGCTATATTGGCCCCTAAAAGGGGCCAATCAAATTAATGTGAGCAAACTTGATAAAAGACTACCCAAAATGCTACAGACAAAGTTTGGTGATCATCCATCAATTAGTTCTGTCGAAATAGACGTTTAAATGTTTTTCTATTTTTAACTTTAGCAGCCCTTAAAAGGGGCTAATCAAATTAATATGAGCAAACTTGATAAAAGATTACCTACGAATGCTACAGACGAAGTTTGGTGATCATCCATCAATTACTTCTGTAGAAATAGACGTTTAAAGGTTTTTCCTATTTTTAGCTTTAGCGGCCCTTAAAAGGGGCCAATCAAAATAATATGAGCAAACTTGATAAAAGACTACCCAAAATGCTACAGACAAAGTTTGGTGATCATCCATCCATTAGTTCTGTAGAAGAAGATGTTTAAAGGTTTTTCTATTTTTAGCCCTAAAGACCCCTGAAAGGGGCCAATCAAATTAATATGAGCAAACTTGATAAAAGACTGCCAAAGAATGCTACAGACAAAGTTTAATGATCATCCATCAATTAGTTCTGTAGAAGAAGATGTTTAAAAGTTTTTCTATTTTAGCTCTGCTGACCCTCAAAGGGGCCAATTGGAATGACAGTGTGACTGTCACAAGGATGCTACAGCAAATCTGCTTAGTAGTTTTAGAGAAGAAGACGATTGTTGACGCATGACGACGGACGACGGACGCCGGAGCATCCCCCTTTGATACTAATAGCTCACCCTGAGCCTTCGGCTCTTGTGAGCTAATAATAAAAATAATAATAATAATAACAACAAGGGCCATGTTATCATGGCCATCCCCCGCCGAATGTGTTTGCTCATTGGAAGAATATATATGTAGTAGAGCAGAATAATTCAATTTTAAGAGGTTTTTTGGTAATGAAAACTTATGGCTGGAGTGATAAAAGCTATTGAAACCTATGTGAATACTGATGGCTGAAAATAACAAAGGGCAATAACTGAAAAAATAATGCAGGGTAGGCTATCATTCTTGTGTGCTGCACTCCTCCTCAATGAGATCTATCCACCTATGAAGTTTCAAGTTAATACCTCTAACACTCTTTGAGATAAGCTCCGGACAAAAAGTATGAAAACTAACAAAGGGCAATAACTGAAAAATTATAAAGGAAAGAGTTATCATTCTTACACACAGCATTCCTCCTCAATAAGATCTATCCACCTATGAAGTTTTATGTTGACATCTCAAAGACTTTTTGAGTAATGCTCCACTCCAGTGAAAAATTAAGTATAAAAAATAACAAAGGGCAATAACTAAAAAATTATGAAAAGTAGAGTTATCATTCTTGTCCACTGCACACCTCCTGAGTGAGATGTATCCACCTTTGAAATTTCATGTTGATATCTTAAAGTCTTTATATTTTATGCTCTGGACAAAATTAAGTTTAAAAAATAACAAAGGGCAATAACTCAAAAATTATGCAGGGTGCAGTTATTATTCTTGTCCACTGCACTCCTCCTCAATATGATCTATCCACCTATGAAGTTTCAAGTTGATACCTCAAATACTTTTTGAGATATGCTCCGGACAAAATTGTCGAACGGAAGGACGGACGGACGGACGCAGACTATTTCTATATCCCCCGCCGCCTTTCGGCGGGGATAATAATAATAATAATAATAATAATAATAATATTAACAAGATATGTTTGTAAAACATGTATGCCCCCTATCGACAGTCAATTAGTCATGTGATCAGGTTATTATGCATGACTTCTGACCCAGTGAAGAAACAATTAATAAGGGTTATCTAATATCTACTGGTCATGACTAGTCACAAGGTAATAATTATTGTGACCCCATAGGTTGTGTGCAGCAATATAAGTTATTACAAATCTTACCAAATAATATATGCATAAATTTTATGAATCATGTAGGCCTCATTAATGACAGCCAAGTTGTTATATTACATAAGACCTTAAAATGTGTAAACCATAAGCATTTTTAGTTTAATATAAAAATATATACCAAGTTGTTGAGTTATTGGTCAGAAACTGTCATTAAATACAAGGTCAATATGACATTGACCCTTTGACCACAAAATCAATAGCGGTCATCTACTGGCCATGACCAATCACCATAGTTCCTAGGCCTAAGCGTTCTTTAGTTATTGATCAGAAACCGTTTTTACCTACAAGGTCAATGTGACCTTGACCTTTGACCCCTTGACCCCAAAATCAATAGGGGTCATCTGCTGGTCATGACCAATTACCATACCAAGTTTGAAGTTCCTAGGCCTAAGCGTTCTTAAGTTATTGATCGGAAACCGTTTTTACCTACAAGGTCAATGTGACCTTGACCTTTGACACCTTGACCCCAAAATCAATAGGAGTCATCTGCTGGTCATGACCAATCACCATACCAAGTTTGAAGTTCCTAGGCCTAAGCGTTCTTTAGTTATTGATCGGAAACTGTTTTCACCTACAAGGTCAATGTGACCTTGACCTTTGACCCCTTGACCCAAAATCAATAGGGGTCATCTGCTGGTCATGACCAATCACCATACCAAGTTTGAAGTTCCTAGGCCTAAGCGTTCTTTAGTTATTGATCGGAAACCGTTTTTACCTACAAGGTCAATGTGACCTTGACCTTTGATCCCTTGACCCCAAAATCAATAGGGGTCATCTGCTGGTCATGACCAATTACCATACCAAGTTTGAAGTTCCTAGGCCTAATCGTTCTTTAGTTATTGATCGGAAACCGTTTTTACCTACAAGGTCCATGTGACCTTGACCTTTGACCTCTTGACCCCAAAATAAATAGGGGTCATCTGCTGGTCATGACCAATCACCATACCAAGTTTGAAGTTCCTAGGCCTAAGCGTTCTTTAGTTATCACTCGGAAACCAATTGGTCTACGGACCGACGGACCGACAAATGCAAAGCAATATACCCCCTCCTCTTTGAAGTGGGGGCATAATAATAATTATAATAATAACATCTTATAATAATTTTAAGATTATTGAATAATAATAATGATAACAACAACAACAATAATAATAATAAACTTACAGAAGCAATGTGCTGTGTAACTTTGTACTTTTAAAGAGAAATATTTTCTTTCTTCCATATGCGTTTTATTCTTTTCATGCATGTGATTATAATATAATAAGCTACAGATAATAAATACTAAGATTTTATATTAAAAAAAGTTGTGACAATGTATCAATGGTACGTTTAACAAATATTTAGTAGGTTACCTGAAGAAGATTGTTGAGCCGACAGTAGTCTTGTGACCAATAAGGTAACCATTGAAGAAAGGTCCCGGCCAACCACAGTTAATTTCTGGAGAAGTAAATGCCAGATGATAAATGAGCCGCGTCACGACAAAACAAACATAGTGCGTTTGCGACCAGCATGGATCCAGACCAGCCTGCGCATCCGCGCAGTCTGATCAGGATCCATGCTGTTCGCTTTCCAACTCTATTACAAGTAGAGAAACTGATAGCGAACAGCATGGATCCTGATCAGACAGCGCGGATGCGCAGGCTGGTCTGGATCCATGTTGCTCGCAAACCCATTATGTTGGTTTTGTCGTGACGCGGCTCAAATGTGGATTAATGATCATGTTTAACCATTACAAGATAGAATCAATCATTATGGAAGATTTTATTACAAAGAAATAATATTTATCCCATACACGTGCCGCTTTAACGCGGTGCATATATTTTGACGTGACGTCTTTTGCGATATACAAATAGAAGATATTGAATGAGTGAACAATACTAAATTTAATGAAGGAGCTTAATAAAATCATAATATGCAAGCCTCTAGCAAACATAATATTGTGTTTTTATTCAATTTAGGATTGAATCTACACAAATATAATATTCTATTTATGTTATATCCAAAATAAGAATGGTATACAGTTAAAAAGAGTCATTTTTCATTGACGCGCCTATATATAGTGTAATATAAGGCTAGATATGTATGTGCATGTGTATAATTAATTTTCTAGTCGCGTCAAAGTAATGTTAATAAAGAATTACAAGTGACGGTTACCTTGAACTAAAAAAAGTGATTGGAAAAACACGCAATCCTACAGATGCATTGACATGAAAAACAATTGCCGAACAGAAATGCCAAATATTAACGGACTTTTTATGAATTTCTAAACTGTATAGATATGTAGTTGTTTTTTTTTTCTCTTTTATTTCTGAATCAATCAAAAGTACAATATACTATTGTATACCAGTTGTTTATTTCTGTACAAATCATCCATAGCGACGATTAAAGAGGAACATTACAAAAATGTAGAAAAGAGTTTATTTGGATATCATTTTTTGCATATACATTTGTGTAAAAGGAAATTTGAACTAAGTCTCTGAAACTTTAATTCTTGAAAGACTTAACATTATGGGAAGACTTGATGTCTTCCCAGTCTCAACGCATCTTGTTTTCCGTATCGTATATTGTTATTAAGAACATATCGTAAATCTTAAGCACAAGTCATGTATCGGGACACTCAATCCAGAATGCAGCTGGGTAAAAAAACAAACCATTCGAAACAATACCAAAACTTTTTGATATATCTAATCCCCAATGTAAAGTGAACTGGACAAAGGCCTGTAATATTATGAATAATAACGTTATAAATATTTATTATCAGACAAACCACAAAGTAATTATACATTGAAGTTTTTGGCAAGTGCGAGATTTTTTATACGATATTACATATATCCATATACATTGTACCAGATATTAAAATGTTCTAGAACAAAATAATTATTTATCGTATAAATGTTCACTCTAAATCACGAAAAGTTTTGCAAGCAGCTTTTTATTAGAATATGCAAATGATACAGTACATTTACTATTGTTTTTATCAATATTTAAAATATTAATGGAAAATGTGCCCTATTTACTTTATAAGATTTGAAATTACATGACAGTAACAATATACTGAAAGAAAGGCACTTTCCTTTCACTATCATATTACCTTTGAATGTGTTTCTGGAAGAACAATGTGTATGAAATATTGAATAGAATTCAGAAATATACATAAATTGATTAAACGTTTGGCAATGAATAGATCCCTGACCTGTCTAAATTCTAATGAACAGATGAGTATGCAAAAAGAATTTCACCAGAACATATTTGTTAAATAAAGAGCACATGCCAATGTTTGTGGTAAAATCTATTGTTATTCAAATAAAAGGTCATAGTAGGGATTTATTTATTAAATCCCTTTTATAGAGATCACAGTGATGTGAAATAATGATTCAATATTCTCTAGAGAGAAAAGAAAAGACAGTTGCAGTTTATTTTAAAACACATTTTTAATGAACGCCGGTATAGAAAGATAATAAAAATGAAAAGAAAATGTGATAAATAGATTTAAAGCTGCGTGTCACCAGATGAGTCAAAAATTTAAGAAAAATCAACTTTGAGAAAGATGTACTTTGAGAAAAATGTAGTAGGATTCCAAGAAAAGTAAAACTATTCATATTTCAAGCTGTGCTTAATATATAATATGTAACGAATGACTGATGCTTCAATATTTATCACCATGTTTCTACTGTTGGCTATTTTTTGTATATTTTGACCTTAACTTGGTAATTTACGTGGGTTAAGAGTACCGTTTCCGATGTGGAAACTACTTTCTTTTGACAAAATTTAACTTTTTTCATTTTCATGAACAGTAGTATGAATCTGGAAGCAGGCTGCTTTTAAGATGGGTAACTTGGCAAAAGTTATGCAATATTCAGATAAACTTAGTTGTAATGTTGACGAGAATTGAAAGATTCTTTGCATTTCTATAGTTAAACATAAGAACCTTTGTAACCTTCACATTTTGCTGCAGCTCCGCTCCATGTGCGGTCCGACTGGCATCGTCTCTCTGACGCCCCGATGTTCTTGTAGCCATCATCGCACTGAAATCTAATAACTGTACCGTATCCCGTACCGTCACCGTACATATGACCATATACCGGAGCAAACAGATTTGGGCAAGTCACAGCTGAAAAAATACATCTTTGTGAAAGTCTTCAAATTCACCTTGGTGCGACAGAGCCGCCATATAGAGAGATCAAATTTCGTATTATGTCAATAATGAATTACGCAATAAATGGATCAAGAAAGTTCGGTTCTGCCATACTCGTGAAATTAATGTTCAGAATTAATATTCATACTTATACTCGTATGGGAAGCAGTCGGCGGATATGACGTAAACACTGATAAAAGTATTTTAAACAGAATAATGAACGGACGTCCATGACTGTTAAAATATTTATTCCACATGTACAGTACTGTATTTGGTTTGAAATATGCAAGTTCTAAATACATGTATATGAAAAAATACAATGAAATTCTCACAGACTCAGTGAAAGTGCGGTTGTTTACCAAATAAAACTAAAATAGAAAACTCACGTTCACATATAGGTTTAATTCCGGACCATCTGCCATCAGCTTGACATGAACGATTACCTTGACCCACTAGCTCGAACCCATCATGACAGAAATACTTGACCACGTTTGGAAATGTAAAGGCGTAGCCAGTGCGCCATCCGTTGTCGATATCCCCGGGGAAACCACAACTCCTTGCTGGAATGGAGAGACGTAAACTATGCAACATGTTTAATTTATATTTAGTTATCTACAATAGATACTGTTAAATTATGTTAGTGGGTACGGTATGCCTCAAGATTTATAGTAAATGTTAAAAAAAATGAAAAAAATGATGATACGCGCCAAAATATGCATAAATCACTTGCCCATTAAGGGGTAAATATATGATGTATAGTAAATACAATCATATTTTCCATAACGATTGCAGTAACGTAATCTTACACCTAAATTATCTTATCTAAGAATGATTTAAATGTTTTAAAAAAATCTTCACCTGGAGCATGTAACTTTAGAATCATTTAGTCAAACTGTTTTGCTAACATAACTTAATTTAAGTTATCGGAAGTGTAATTTTTAAATGAGTTTCTAAACTACAAAAGAAAAAAACTTCTTACGGGAGCACAGCAACGTGAGTCCGATCCATTTTCCTTCTCCACTACACATTGCACGTGGTTCACCGTCGGCATAGTAACCATACGAACATTTATACATTAATTGTTGACCGGACGGATACAGTGGTTGCGAGTCGCCATTATGCTCTGCATGCTCAATTTTTGGAGGATCATTACAGGTTACTAGAATTACAAAACACATGATAAAGATATTACATCCGAAAGTGACAAAATATAGGTTACTTTCTGTACATCGTATATATATATATTTAAGCGTTCGTATGACAATATTGTCACATCATATCACCGCTTTACATGTGAATTTCAACATTTAGTTAACTACACAACTATCGTATTTCTTATAAGAAAAATATCTTTTAAATTTCTTCATAAACTGCGTTTAACATTTTATCGAGTCTGAACATTAACATAGAAAGAACAGAATTAAAAAAAATTGTCTAACATTTATAACTCATCGTTATTTATTTCTTGAAACAATTTGACATTGTTTAAAAAGGTGTTGAATGTTATTGAATGAAAGTCCAGTCACATTGTAACTTTCTGTAAAACATCCATCTCGAAAAAATATACATGGAAATTTATGTAATATAAAAAGATAACAATAATAAATTCTTCTGAAAATAAAATACGTTATTACAATATTTTACTACTTTTTCAATATATTCTCGTTTGTTGATTAAAAAAAAACATACATGGACGCTTATATCTTGGAATGCTTTGTGTCCTAAATGTAGTACTTGTTGAACACACTAATACAAAATGAACTTCATCTTCAATATTGTTACACTAACGCACAGTTATTTTGTATATTTATATTAATTTAGACACATGATATACTGCGGTTGTTTGTCATTACCAGAATGGCAGAATCTAAGACACTTAGCAAGATAAAAAAATGCTAGAATCCAAAAAGAGATTTACCTTATTCTATAGCCTACAAGCTTAAAATTTACAACTATAAAAAGTACATTTAATATATCAAATTTGGTTTGATATCTTTGATCTTCGTTAGTCGCCACAAACCCCAAAATCTTTACCACGCTAAATATCTTAAATGAATTCGCCCATCTCGCAATCTGAACAAAACCAGTTTTCTGGAAAAATTTAAAAACATACACCGTGTAGGTCTGTATTGGTCGAATGGGCGAATTCAGTATAATAGCTGAATTTATTATATACTTATAAATGAAATATTGAGAAATATACATGTAGATGAAATAAAATGCGTATTTTCATTTTCCGTATTTTCACTGTAAACATTTATTTTTCACTGCAGTGAAACATATTTCCCGTATTTTCACTGGTGTCTTGCCGGACTACTTTCTTTTAAATTCTGCCAGTACACATAATTCAAGGGAAAGTCTTTCAAATTTTAATGTCAAAAAAGAGAAACATGTATATAATAAACAGAAAATTCAAGTTTTTTCTATAAATACATTATTTATTTTCATCTTGTGGCATGAAAATTACCATATTTCACTTGTGGCTACCGCCACTCATGAAACATTTATTTTCATACCACTCGATGAAAATAAATAATGTATTTATAGAAAAAACTTGAATATCCTCTATATATTTTATGATTTACCAGCTTCACAACTAGGCGGTACTCCTTCCCACTTCCCTCCACTTAGACATTTCCTTTCCTCTCTACCAGCCAGGTAAAACTTCCGTTTACAATGATATATTGCTACACTTCCTACGATATTTGATGGACTTTGTTCCACCCAACCATTGTGTATATCTTCAAGTCTTGGGCACCCAGCGTCTGTAAAATTATCATATTGAATTTACCAAAATACATGTAAATCATTTAAAAAGATAAGTTTTAAAACTGGATAAGTACGAGTATAAATTGGATTACATGACATCATTTTTATCTGTTAGAATAAAATGAAATAAAACTACAATTGGTCGGATAAGAAGATATTGTGATTAATGCAGAGGGAAGAATTTTTACTAATAACTGATTGTTTATTACCAGAACATTGTTTAAATATCATCTTCAATCATTTTGTTCTGTATTTATAAAAACCTAAAACGAATAAAAGCTTGCTGGTGCTGTAGTTGAGAGGAAGACGAATTGCTGAAGGGATTTTTTTTAAATTACAGGTAAAGAAACTGACTTAACTCAGCAAAAAGGTTATCAAATCAAAATTACACTAAACTCTCAACCTATTTTTACAAAAGTGATTTTCTTGAATTTATTAAAAGTCCTCTTAGACTTTATGTAAGACGATGGTCATGCGAACTGATTCAAGAAGTCAATTACCCAATTATTATTTTAATACGTTTTTACCGTCCTGTAAGAGGTTGATAAACAAGAGGGCCATGATGGCCATGAAGTCGCTCACCTGTATATAGGCACACAGAGCGAGGCCAGTTTAAACCCCAGGGCTTTTATTTGAACAAAATTGGTAGACACACATTAAGAAAATGTTTCATGCTAAACATCTAAGGTCTAGCTCGTTGAGTTTTTAATTTTTTTTTAAAGTTTTTACTATACACATATAGTTAAAAGCAATGACATCCCTAGGGCGGGGCCAGTTTTGACCCCAGGGCTTTTATTTGAACAAGCTTTGAAGACACTCACTAGAAGGTGTTTCATGCTTTATATCTAAACTCTAGCTATTTGTTTTATTCAAAGAAGATTTTTGAGTTTTTGCTATACACATATAAGGAAAATTAATGTCCCCCGGGGCAGGGCCAATTTTGACCCTATGGCTTTTATTTGAACAAACTTTGAAGACACTTACTGGAAGATGTTTCGTGCTTAATATCTAAACTCTAGCTATTTGGGTTTTTTCAAAGAAGACTTTTTTAAAAAGCTTTTGCAATACACATATAAGGAAAATCAATGACCCCCGGGCAGGGCCAATTTTAACCCCATGGCTCTTATTTGAACAAATTTGGTAGACACCCATCAGAACATCTTTCATGCTAAGTATCTTAGCTCTAGCTCTAGCTCTTTGGGTTCTATAAAAGAAGTTTTTTTAAGTTTTTACTATATGCATATAGGGAAAATCAATGGCGGGGCCAATTTTGATCCCAGGGCTTTTATCTGAACAAACTTGATAAACACTCATTAGAAGATGTTTCATGCTAAATATCTTAGCTCTAGCTCTTTGTGTTCTTTAAAAGAAGATTTTATAAGTTTTTGCTATATGCATATAGGGAAAATCAATGACCCCCTGGGGCGGGGCCAATTTTGATCCCAGGGCTTTTATTTGAACAAACTTGATAGACACTCATTAGAAGATGTTTCATGCTAAATATCTTAGCTCTAGCTCTTTGTGTTCTTTAAAAGAAGATTTTATAAGTTTTTACTATATGCATATAGGGAAAATCAATGACCCTCTGGGGCTGGGCCAATTTTGACCCCAGGGCTTTTATTTGAACAAACTTGGTAGACACCCATTAGAAGATGTTTCATGCTAAATATCTTAGCTCTAGCTCTTTGGGTTCTTTAAAAGAAGATTTTTTAAGTTTTTACTATATGCATATAGGGAAAATCAATGACCCCCTGGGCGGGGCCAATTTTGACCCCAGGGCTTTTATTTGAATAAACTTGATAGACACTAGAAGATGTTTCATGCCAAATATCTAAGCTCTACCTCTTTGGGTTTTTTAAAAGAAGATATTTTAAGTTTTTTCTATCGGTTGCCATGGCAACCAGAGTTCTGCATGGAATTAAATTCTTTGAACAATTTTTAAAGGTGACCACCAAAGGAACATTCCTGTGAAGTTTGGATGAAATTGGCTCAGCGGTTTATGAGGAGATGTCATTTAAAGTAAAAGTTTACGGACGACGGACGACGGACGGACGACGGACGGACGGACGGATGCCGGACGAAAAGCGATCACAAAAGCTCACCCTGTCACTTTGTGACAGGTGAGCTAAAAAGGTCTAATGTGTTCATACCGATTATATAATTATTTTAAAGGTACATTTTGCCTTTAACAAATAGATTTTTATTTCTTGAGAAAGGGCAAATATGAATTTTATAATGTTAAAATAAATAGATGCTCCTTATTTGAAGAAAGTAGTGATCAATGTGAACATATTTGTAATAAAAGTATCAAAATGTAAACAAAGTAATATTTTGACTGCCATACAAACTACTAATTCGCTGTAACTTTACTTAATGGCAAAAGCAACAGATGAAAAAGATACTTTAGGTAATTGACCAATGAGTATCTTTTTAGGAACTATAAAAGTACACCAAAATATAAAAAACGTTTTGAGGAATAAAAATAAAAGCATATCTAACACATAATGGTCCCCTAACTATTTATATAATTAATAACAACAATAAATAGCATGAGAGAAACACACGACAACGCCGAAACAAGTTTAAATTTTGTTTAAAACCTACTAGTTTCGGGTATTCACTACCCGTTTTTCAAGGTAAAGATTTCTAGAAATTTGTCTCTAAAGTATACAAAATCAGCGTTACGCTATTTAATTGTTTCTATATTTATGACAATATTTATATAATTATATCCTTCATTTCACTGTGTAGAATGCATGATATTTATACTGTTTAAAATAGAAAATACTGCGCAAATGAAAGAAAAAACAAACAAACAAAAACATCTAACTTTCTGATTTAACAGACAACAAAAAACAAGCAGTCGAACAAATGCACGCATTGACCTTTGAGAATCTCGTCAAACAGAGAAGAAATAAAAACGATTAGTTCTAATGAAAGAGAGATCAATATGAATTGAGGCTAATTAGATAAAAAGAATCCAAAGTGAACAAATTGCCGGACTTTATAAATGGCTTTGTTAAAGTATCCCTGTAATGATGATTAAAACCGACTCAAGTTACACCATTACACAGCTTTCTTTGAAAAATGTGAGTGAAATATGATTTCGAAAGATTTATTGGGAACATGTAGCATATTATTGTAATATGTGGCCATACTGAGATTTTAAAACTTCCAAAGTTACCTTTTTGTTTTGTATTACCAATATACAAAATCTTATAATAAATAATTATATATAAAAAAAATACAAACATTTCCCCCATTTGAATTGAAAACAACATGATCACCTGAGTAGTGAATACCATTGGACAAAATGACAGTGCCCACTATTGTCAGAAATAAATCTGACAGCTGTCTGCAAAAATGTCCGAGAATTCACTTCAATATTGTCATGGTTTCCTTTTAGATCATCGATTTTATCATCTTTATTTGTTGAGGATTAAATAACGCTTAAACCGGTGCTAGGGTGCATGAAAGATGTTGCATCTTCTCCTGAACAGTTACAATCAAACAATAAAGACAACAAGAAAATGATGTAAAAGTAAGTCAGTCCTATTTTCAGTAGACTTGAACGTAAGTTTAAGACGTAGGTCAATAGTAAGGTTAATGCCACATAAAACTCAAAGAAAATGCGCGCTAATAATGTTGCGACAACAGCAGCTTCCAGTAAAGTTTCAATGAGACCGATTAGTTGTGAGTTAATATTTTAAAAGTTTCTGAGGTGGAGGGCGGGTCATCTTTTCAGTTTACTAACCTTTTTCTATATAACATTGCCCAGAGATCATTATCATTTGGTTCGTTAAATAGGCAATAAATTACCCATTGATTGGCTTAATACATTATATAATAGTATGTCGTAAGCTCAGTTAAACAATAATGCTTAAACTACGTAATAAATATCGTTTTAGGCAAATGATAACACTTAAAGAATTAACCTTATTTTAATACGAAAGCAACCGGATGGCTTTCAAATAATGTTTTTTTTTTCTGGCATGTAGGTCTGAAAGTCGATGAATTCCCCAGTGACTATCTAAATACCCCATGCAAAAGTATGTCAACAGCTCAGTAAAACTATTACGCCACAATTAGATAATAGATGTCGTCGTAGGTAATGCTAATACAAAAGAGGTCATGCCTTAATTTAGACTGAAACAGTGCTCTCAAAGTTTTGCCCTGTCCTATTTGATGTCCTGCCGGGCTCCTTGCCAGTGGTCCTGTGTTGGGGGATGCGTTCATTGAATGCCTCCCTTCCTTGTTGACCTTGTTTTTCATATTTTATTCATTTTATTGAAATATGTTGATCATTCATTTTTTTCTGATGTAACGTGAAGAGACTGACTGACCCGTAACTTTTGTTACTTTACACAATATGTAGTAAATATAAATGGTTGGTTACCCTTACGTGTGCAGGTCATGTTTGGTCCCACCCATCCAGTTATACCCCCGCCCACACACCACGCCCTCACAACAGCGTCGCTGTTTAAAGTAAATTCCGGTTCGCATTTGTATTGTAGCATTGTCCCAAGTTTAAACTTGCGCTGATCTGGCGATCCGTCATGGACTGCGTTGTAGATACTGGGTGGCGACGAACACTCTACCTTTTCTGCAATAAATGAAATAAGCATTGTTATAATATTATTTCTCCCAAAACAAACAATTATTATTATTATTATTATTATTACTGATATTTTTATTATTATTATTATTTTTATTATTATTATTATTATTATTACTGTTATTATTATTATCAGTATTATCATTATTATTATTATTATTATGTTTTCGCTTCAGAAGAATAAATACCATTTGATCAAATTCATTTAAACTTACTCGGTATTAACAAAACATGCCCTAAAATGCTTTGTCTTGATATTTAAAACAATGAGCAAAGGGTTATTCGAAACTAAAAAAATATAGCTTAAATATTTAAAGAATTAAATACATTAAATCTATGTTATATACTGTATTGTACATTTTACTCACCCATATTATGGTCAACAAAACACTGTGGTATAGAACCACTCCATGTTTCATCACCTTGGCACACCCTTGCCTGGTCCCCGCGGAGTTTATAACCATCTTCACAATAATACTGAGCTATAGCACCAAAACGGTTATTAGGCTTAATATCCACCCGCCCATGTGGAATATTAGCCAATGGTTTACATTCTTGGTCTAAAAATAGATCGGCACTTGTTAAACATTACATATAATATTTATTAAAGAAATAAATTTGAGGTCTGTATCTCAGGGAATGAGGAAACAATGTCTAAAATAACACTGGCATTTTTATATATATATGTTTTTCATTATATATATACTAGTACATGTAAAAAGCAGAAAAAACATTTAAAAATATTTAAAATGACTTAGAACTATAGAGTAAAACATGAAACATTTATTTAAAAAAAATATACAACGGCACAAACAAAGCTCGTTTCAAAGCGTACTTTATTAGAAATGTGGTTATTTCTTTAAAAATCTATTTTCTGGAGGTTTATATCTTATAATTACAATATTAACTTTTAATGAAATATCTTATTTTTTTTATAGTAATTTTGATATTTCTTACTTAGCTTTATACAGCTCATTCCACAAATTCCATCGCACTGACATTTTTTCTTGTTCGACCGACATTCACGATTGTGTTGGCATGCTTTGCGACACTCTCGCCCCGTGGGTAATGGATCTTGTCGTTCCTGGCACGCCCCTTCAACTGCTGTAATTAGAAAGAATACAAAAAATAACTAATTTACCATCTTTTGATATTCTAATGTACACGGAGGACTAGTTACAACCTTCGCAGATTATCAAATATAATTTTGTGCATGCGCAAATAATCTGATCTGGAAAAGTTTATTTAAAGGCTATTTAACATTGAACCTAGGCTAAATTGTGTTCCATGATTAATTCTCTATCGTTTATATCTGAGAATGATGCACAATCAATAGCAATTAATGCAATCCTAACAATGCTTGTTCAGTTAATTGAACACTATCCTGTTGGTTTGCTAATAAATTTTGTTACATTATAGACATCTCCATAAATGATATTAATAGAGGGAAAAAATAACTGGTTGTCTAATGTGAAATCATTTTAGAAAATGCAGGTTTATCATATGTATGGTATAATCTAATTTTCATAACCTTAAAAATGTACATTTATGTTATTGACCAATTCATCCAGTCATGGTATCATAATGTAACAACTAGCCCGAGTCTAGGCACAAATAGACTTTTAAGACGTCATTTGATTACTCACTGTATCTTGATATAATGCCAAAGAAATTAAGGATTGATTTTGCAAAACGTAGAATAGAAATTGGACTGTCTATAATGCTTATAATAATATACGTAAACAGTACTTAAAGAAATATAATTATAATAGACCTAGTGCCCATAAATGCGTTGAATTAATGCAGAATACCAACAGCAACATTCAACTTAAATTATGTAAATATATATATGAAGAGTTTGAAATACGTCAGGGTATTGTTCATATCTTATCTGGATAAGCTCATTGCAGTAGCTTTATTTTAGAATAAAATTGATATACAAATTGTCCATGTTATGCTTCAATAATTTCATGAAACATTTGACTTATTTTGGCAGTAATTTAGCAGTAAGTCATAAAATATACGTTCAACCTATAGCTACTTGTTTTCTAGCTTCCATTTTCTCTCTTGTTTTGACTATGTGTATCATATTTTTTCTGCTAATATATTGTCTATAAAATTTCATCATGTTGACAAGTTATATTGTATCATTGTATATGTAATAGAAAGAGCACCGAAACACGAGGCTATCTGATTTGTACGAGGGGCGTAGCCCCCGAGTATTAATCAGATTGCCGCGTGTTTTGGTGATCTTTCTCTTTTGTATCATAGTCAAACATAAAAGCACGTTCCCTGTTGTCACAATATGAAACCCCGGCAAAAATGAACCAATGAACGAACATCTGAAGATGACATTTCTGTCGCTTTCCCTTTCTCTGCCGTCACAATATGTAAACCCCAGCAAAAATGAGCCAATCAATGGGCATGCTCTGGAGTGCGGGTAACTAATACCCGCACTCCAGTTAACGCACTGTGCATGTATATGTATACGATTTAACCCCGACACATTTTCAACAGAAAGGTCTCCAAACTATGATACAAATGTGTTGTGTAGCAAGAAACGTCATGTTTACCCTATTAAATAAAATATTTTGAACTTTGAATCTTGAATATATAATGTAAACATAACGTTTTCATAAATTTGGATACTATTTATTGGCCGTCACTGTATATTATCTTTCTTGACCTAAATCACTCAGACAAATATCAAATGTTTTGATATTATACATATAGATTTTTCTATATAAAACAACAGTGTTACTGATAATTTGGTTATTATACTATAAAAAGAGAGGGGCAAATATTCCGACGGCGTTATCAAAAATGAATTGACCCATGTTCATAAAGATATAGCAAGTGTCAGGATCAATTCCAGAACATAAAAAATCTCCATTGTTTTTCCTCATAGATTTAATATTCAATGTTAGCTAGTTAAAAGAGAATTTAAAGTAGCAAGTATGTGGAACTTCAGAATAAAATTATTATTACTTTACATGATATTGACATTTCAAAATTTAAAAAATTGATCCAAATATTGATCTTTATCTTTAATATTGATCTTTATCTTAAAATTGAGAATTATTCTTGTAACTGTTTTATCATTATTCCTCAATTGTAGCCCAAAACAGGATTATGTCTTTGCGTAACAGCATTTATAATACATTTTAGTGATGTACCATTTAATTTCAGTCTCATACGATCAAGTGTTAAAAGCAATGCAAATAGGATCATAGGATCATTTCAGGTTTTCGTAGTAAATACGAGATCATGTTATTGTGGATAATTGTAGCTTAGAAATTCAGCTTATTTACAGGGGGCAGGGCGTTATACATTCTTCTACAAAGTCTTAAATATTTATGACAGATTAAATCCTAAATGAGGAGTCGACTGAAAACGATATGTACAAAAAAATCAAAGTGGTGTAACAAGCGACAAAGATAAATGTATGCAAATATATAGCTATTTTTCATTACAAACAGAACACATTCTTGTTGTTATTGTTTTGTCTAATAAATTCACGAAAATACGAGATAATTGCTCCATTGATCGACTTCCAGAAACTGCAGCCTTCTCTCTCGGTGAGTAATCCAAAATAATTTGTGATGTTACACGTAATTATTCAAATCGTGTCCGGGACATTAATGAAAAACGATCTAGTTTTTATGTTGCTATCGTTTACAAACGTTTATTTGTCTGAATAGATGAATTGATAAAAACTCAATGGCAATTTGTTTGTAATACAGTTTGAAATGATTTGCATTCAACAAATTTTAGAGGGCTTATTTACCACAGTGAGTATCTATGGAAACAGACATAAAGTTCCCTTATATAACGTTTTAATTGTTATTTATGTGGTTTTCCTACCAACAGCAAATAACTATGTAAATGTTTAACTTTGACTTTAGTTAAAAAATTAATGAATGATTACACATTCAAATTATTCGGGAAATGTAACTTAGTATGGAGTGCTAGCGTAACAATGCTATCTTAAGGTAGTTGTTTCTGAAATGTTACTTTATTATTGTGATGAAATGATATAAATATTCGGGTTTAATTTACATTCGTATTCACCATATGAAATGAAATTGAACAACAATAAATGTTAATTTGATGTATATGTCCTATCATGAATGTATTTAAATAATTAAAAAACGTGCGTTTTCGAGTTCAAATCCCTGGACACTTTTCTAAGCAATATATTTTAAATATTAAAAAAGAGCTGTGATGACAATTTTTTTTTGGATAAACATATGTATTTTAAACCACAATGTTACCTGTATTTATTAACATGTACTCATATATTGTTTTAAGTTTAGTCAGCCTGAATAATTGATAAAGAGAATACTAGAAGTAACAATAATAACAACAACATATGCTACACAAAAACAATTTCTGAAATTGACAATTTGCAATATATTTTGTCGGATAACGTTAATAACATTACAATTTCATCAATCAGTCTTCATTGTGTCATGATAACTATTTATCAGATAACTAATTAGAAGTTGAACCTACTTCACAATATAGCTTCTTTGAACGCATTAATATAAAATGAGAGCTTTACGACTGACATCTAGTAATACAATATTTACGAGATAGTTATTAAAATGTTCTTAGCAAGCAATTGTTGTTTGCGACAGAACATATCCATATTTTATCGTTTATTTTACACCTTATAAATGTAACAAATGAACTTCCAGAACCTTCAGTCTTTCCATCATTTGATCTCAGATTAAATAAAAACGTTATTGGACCTGAATCTTACCAAGTTAAAATTCACCAGTTCCAAAACTTAATATGAAATCATTAGTGTTCTTTAAAAAAGTTCATACGAAGAAACAATATTTAAGTTCATATTAGTTATAAGAATTTAAAATAATTATTCCCTAAAATTTACAGCATTTAACAATAATTCAAAAGAAACCATTGTAGCTCTTCATAAAAAATCTTGTTTGATTCGTACTTCAATTCTGATACATTATTTACATATATGTCACATCAACTGACAGCTTGATGTTGGTCTAGAAGAGGAACTTCCGCTCTCTTATTCTGCTTAATAAAATTACTATTAACTGTTTGTGAACCAATATTGATTTTGCATGATATTGTAACTCAGAGTATATTTTTGCTGTACCTCAATCTTATTTGCTCGAGTAGTTATGTCAAATAGAATACAATAATACTTGTTGGAGGTGCGAAGCGCTTTCTTGCTGGTATTACAAGAATAATGTCCGACCATTTATTTCAACTAAATCAACTTATAATAATTCTGACATTTCTGTGTGGTTATTACATTAGAATAAACAACCATGGTTAATTTTATATAAAGTTTAACAATTTACAAATGTCTACAAATGAAAGTTTCTGGCATTTTTCTTTTCTGATAAACAGGTTGACATTTAAATGTTTTCAATTGTTACTTTAACTAATTTTATGTTCAATAAACTATATCTAGTAATTCCAATTTTTAAAAAAGGAAAAAAAAGTATTTCCATACTAACTGAGCTTCATTCTAGTGTCACCGATTCTCACACTTATGCAACAATTTAGAAGCAGGAAAGTGTTAAAACTAGTTTTTCCCTAAATAAATGTACGTTTTTTTTTAAAAAAACTTCCATTGAATTCTATATATTAAATAAAAAAAAATGCGATAATCTAAGATATAAAGACATTAAAGGCATACAGCAGGCTACAATTTATCACTCCAAACGAAATATAAGATAACGTTACGTAATTCGAAATATTTTGTAAACAAGATAAAAGTGTATTATGACTTACCTGAATCATATCCTAAATTTATCCACAAAACTACGCAATATATAAGTACGCACTGTTTTCCTGTAACCATTTTTTCAAGTTTGTATACTAGTACTTCGATTTAGTCCGACATTAAATGTACACTATTAAAAGTATGGTATAAAATATAGCATTTTTCCTGAATATTAAGCAATACACACTTTATCACAAATATGATAACATCAACGCGTGCTGTTTCTCACAAGTTGCACTACATCTCTCAGGTGTACGAGAATTTAATCACACAGCCAATTACTTGTGTGATATTATGCTATTTATATCGAAACTACTTGTATGAAATGATTTCTCCCGTCTATTTATAGTTTGGAATCTCAGATCAAGAAATTAAATTCCCAATAAATAACTGATGCTATCTCGATATCATCACTGCACATCTTATTCGAACATTCGCTAAACAGCAAATGATTTCAGTAAAAAATCAGTGAAATGAATCACATCCTAGAATTTCATATGCGTGAATAACGAGACATGTTAGAAAAATGCCATTTTTACTTGTAACAATCCGAATGCAAAAGACATGATCATTTCCACCGAAAGATCATTCAAATTACGGTTTAGTATCAAATTAATAAAATATTTTTATAGCTGTGCACCATCAGCTAATTATTTTGCTTGTGATCATGTCCAAATTGACATTTTGACATCAGTCGTTTTGATAGTTTTCGAAATGATTGAAAGATTGAAGCACAAAGCGATGTTATCCTGTATGATTGTAGAAGAAAATTTCCCATTCTTTAAAATCAGGCAATAACTCCTAAAGACTGCTATCGTTTGAAGGAATACATAACTATGCTTGGTGAGCTTAGTAATTTTTATATTTATTGCAGTAAACGCAAACAGACTGAGTATTAGAACTAACGAGTAAATGAAGTAAAAATATGAATTTTGTTTATCACGCTTTGTCCAGCATCTTTGTTCGAGAAAACTTAGCATTAATAGACAAAAATTCTGTTTTTGTTTTTGCTAAACTATAAGTAATGCCCAATGAGTTAAGATTTATTAGATAAAATTTCAACGAGATTTAAATAAAATCCAAATCTGATGTAGCAGCTGCACAGATGCAAATGACATGAAGTGAAAGGTTTTTGCTAGGGCGGTCATCAATCCTTGATACCGTTTAAAGATTACAAAAATAACAATATATAAATACCTCTAATTTAATAACACAAGTATTTGCTTTGAAAACTTCGAAAGCATTTTAGTTTTATGAAGCGTTAATCGTTACATTTATTAATTAATTCCATAATTTATCGGAATTCAATGCGATAAATAAACTAAAATAACTAAAATACTTAATTATTTACAATCGCCATGATCGTGAAATATTCTACACATTTTGATCACTTTTATATTTCGTTTACGCGCCCAATTTAATTTCCTACGATAATTTTTGATCAAATGATACTATTTAATATTGTAGTGGTAATATAGATGAATTCAAAGTAATATTCAAAAACTGATATAAAATAATCTAGAAATACCACTATTTGAATTTTTTTTTGAAATCATACCTACAAAAAAATTTAGGTTGATTTTTGTTGTAATGATTTAAAATTCCTTTAAACGTTAGCCTTACCGTATGCGAATTAACATTGCAAAAACATGCACTTATTGATAAAGATGATAGTTGTTGTCCCTACTACTTATAAATTATTGCGATATATTTCAACTAACGTTACTGATGAGAAAGAAATATCTATAATAGGTTATAAATTCAATACTGACTAAACTATATCATTATTGATGAATCGAGATTTGTTTCATCTATAATTTAATTTCTTATACATGCAATCTAAACTGACACCATTAAGGTCTGTGTTGGTCTACAGGGGAAATATATCTCTTTCTACACAATGAAATAACTATTTACTGTTTGTGCATAATTATTGATTTGGCTTAATAGTGTAATTTAGAAGTAGATGTCTTTTTGCTGAGCCATTTATTATTTACATTAAGTACTTATGGTATGATACAAGATTGAAGGAAGACGTGGATTCAATTCATGCAAAAAAGGTAAAACAAAATATATATATACATAAAAACATGATGCTATTTGAAATTGTGAGGTGGTGTGCGAATATAGTTAGATATTACCTTCATGTATTGAATACATAGATGCCGTACTTTTCCTTTCCATTCACTTTATAGAAGAAGAAATCAAACAATTTAAAAATAGGAAACAAAGGGAAACAATACACAAATGGTCTTTTTTAAATGATAAATAATTTCTTTGAAATTTCATTCATTGTCGTGAGAAACACGTCAATTTTTTTAATTATTATGACCGCCTAATCTCCTTCGAATATTGATTCATTTTAAATTGTCTAATGATACAAATTGAATAGAGGAAAAAAGACTCTTTAAAGAGCGCCCAGGAAAGGCAAAATTGAAAATGTTGAAGGTTTGGTTTGATTGAAAAGAAAGTTGCAATTTTTGATTCTTTAGCGGGCAAAGGTTTCTACTTTAAACATACTGTTCCATGATTAAATTCCTATCGTTTATATCTGAGAATAATGTACAATCAAAAGCAATTAATGTAATCCCGATAATGCTTGCCCAATAATTTAAATACTCTCCTGTTTGATTTGCTAATCCATTCTATTACATTATAGACATATCTTTTATCTGAACCTAATGTTTTCATAAATATGGATAATAATTATTGGACGTTTATATATTTCTTTTCTTGATCTAAATCACTCGGGCAATATCAAATGTTATAGATGAAGATTTTCTAAATAAAACATCAGTGTAATTTATAACTGGGATATTTTACTATAAATCTGCAGGGAAACTTAATCCCAATGGCAATTTGTATAATAAGCTGGTCCCTTGTTCAAGTTCAGGATAAAAACAGTAAAGAACATCTTTATTGTTTATCCTCATAGATCATATATTCATTATTAACTAGTTCAAATTAGACATGAATAAGCAGATATATGAAATTTTAGAATAAAATTATTATTACTTTACATGATATTGGCATTTTACAATTGATCCAAATATTGATCTTTATCTTAATTATTCTTGAAATTGTATTATAAATACTCCATTAGAGTTGTTTCTTTGCAGAGTCAGCATTTATTGTTCATTCTGTTGATGTACCATTTAATTTCAACCTAATACGATAGGATAAATAATCATGATCAGATTCAAGATTTAAAAGGGAAAAATAAGAATTCTCCATTGCCTGTCGTAATAGATTCAATATTCAATATTAACTTGTTAAAATTAGACATGAAGACAAATGCCATGCAATTTTATAAGAAACCTTTTATTATTTTACATAATATGGACATTTTACAACTGATCAATATTTACCTTTATCTATTCTTGTAGTTATACAATTATTCCTCATTTTTAGGTAAGATAAAGTTGTTTTGTTTTGCAAATCAGCATTTATTTTACATAATGTTGATGGATCATTTAATTCTAGTCTAAAATGATCAAATTTTGTTGAATTAAAAAAAAAACATAAAAAAACATATGGATCATGTTTTCTTCATAAATACGATGCCAGGTTATTGTGATTAAATGTTGCTGGTACATAAAGCTTTGTACAGGAAGTTTGGCATTCTTCTCCAAAACCCTAGATATGTATGATAGATTAACTCCTAAATGAGGAGTCGAGTGAAATTAATATGTACAAATAATGAATAATCAAAATTGTTTCATAAACTACAAAAGATAAATACTTGCAAATATTTCTATTTTCACCTCATTATAAAAAGTAAGATTTTGGCAATATATGCTTGTTGTTATTGTTTTGTCTAATAAATTCACGAGAATAGCAAGATAATTGCTCCATTGATTTACATAGATAAACTGCAGCCTTCTCTCTCGGTGAATAATCCAAAATAATTTGTGATGTTACAAGTAATTATTCAAATCGTGTTTGGGACATTAATAAAAAGGATCTAGTTTTAAGATGATATCGTTTTCAAACGTTTATTTGTCTGAATAGATGAATAGATAAATACTCAATGGCAATTTTTTTTGTAATACAGTTTGAAATGATTTGCATTCAACAAATTTTAGAGGGCTTATTTACCACAGTAAGTATCTATGGAAACAGAAAGAAAATTCCCTTATATAACATTTTAATTGTTATTTATGTGGTCTTCCTACCAACAGCAAACAACTATGTAAATGTTTAACTTTGACTTTAGTTAAAAAATTAATGAATTATTACACATGTAAATTATTCGGTAAATGTAACTTGAAATTTAGTGTGGAGTGGTAGCGTAACAGTGCTATCTTAGGGTAGTTGTTCCCTAAATGTTACTTGCGCATTGTGACGAGATGATATAAATATTCGGTTTAATTTACATTCGCATTCACCATATGAAATGAAATTGAACTACATAAAATGTTAATATTCTGTATATATTATAATATGAATGTGTTTAATAATTACGAAACGTGCGTTTTCGAGTTCAAACCCCGAAGACATTTGTGGATATGTGATTACAAATTTTTAGTATGATAAACATATGTCATTTTTAAACCACAATGTTACCTGTATTTATTTACCTGTACTCATATATTGTTTTAAGTTTAGTCAGCCTGAAGAATTCATGTAGAGAATACTCGAAGAAATAATAATAACATATGTTGAACAAACACAATTTCTAAAATTTACAATGAGCAACATTTTCTGTCGGATAACGTTAATAACATTACAATTCCATCAATCAGTCTTCATCGCGTCATGGTAACTAGGTATCAGATAAGTAATTAGCAGTTGAACCTACTTCACAATATAGCTGTTTTGAAGGCATTACATATAAATGTATCTGGAAATATCCTATTAACGCAATAGTTATTGAAATAGCAAGCCATTGTTAGTTTGCGACATAGCATATCCATATTTGATCATTTATATCACACCTTTTAAAATGTAATCAATGACATTCCAGAAATTCCAGCGTTTGCATCATCATTTGATCTCAGAATTAAAAAAAACGTTATTGGACCAGAATCTTACCAAGTTAAAATTCACCAGTTCCAAAACTTAATATGAAATCATTAGTGTTCTTTAAAAAAGTTCATATGAAGAAACAATAATTAAGTTCATATCAGTTATAAGAATTTAAAAGAAGGTATTCCCTAAAATGTACAGCAATTAACAACAATTCTAAAGAAACCATTGTAGCTCTTCATAAAAAATCTTATTTGATTCGTACTTCAATTCTGATACATTATTTACATATATGTCACATCAACTGACAGCTT